CCTCGGGGCCAGCGCCCGGTCCTGCGCAGGCGCGGCATGGGAAATGCGGGTCCCTGACGTCATTTTTCGGCGACCCTCCCTTAGCCCCGAGTCCCAGTCCCGAGCCCTGAGCTTAACCCTGACCTCCTATCCCTACTTTCCGAGTCCCCAGCCCCCCCACCCCCAACCTTCAAATCCCGAGCCCCCAGTCCCGAGCCCCAAACCTCAGCTCCAGTCCCAGCCCTGAGCACTAGACGCGATTCTCTTAACTCTCCTGAATTACAACAATTTATCTTGTTGAACTAAGACGTGCAGAACAGTCCTAGGGTGTGTTGATTTCTTTTCTCCCTCCCTTTCGGCATTTGAGGAAATGAGGTGGGTGCCAAAGATGGGGCCAGCCCTATCAGAAACCTCACAAGTCCTTAAACATTTTAGAAATTTAAGGTTACCTAGGCTGCAAGTTACATTAAGACAGGCTTTTGGGATCTCAGGTGAATTAGGGATGACAAGACCAAACCCTGAGACCTCTTTCCCACTAGGTCCCTCTCCTGGCTTTGGCCTGCCAGTCAGAGCTTTAAAACAGACACTGGCTTTAGTCTTGGCTTCCTGGGGACCTGCCCCAGGTATCTGTAGGAGGGGATGGCTCTTGTAAGCCTGCAGTCACAGAGAGCTAAAGGTTTTGGTGGTGGCCTGCAGGGGCCCTGAGGGTCCAGCACAGGGAGGAAATGGCCCAGGTATATGATGGCCTGGAGGCTGGAGAATGAGGAAGGAAGCCGTGCTCAGGTGAGGATGAGTGGTTGTTGGGTCAGTGTAAGTTTTTGGAGAATAGGGCATCTCAGAGCAGTGCGTTCCAAGTTCTTACCTGGCAAGCAGGCAGAGAACCATCTGACTAATGAGGCTTGAACTAAGAAAAGTACTGACACTGGGCTCAGCTGCAGATAGAGTGGCGGGAAGCCTCTGGCAGGCCCAGGCTGTATGAGCTTGCAGAGGGTCTCTGGCTGTTCCAACTGGGAAACCACACCAAGTGACAGGGACAAAGCAGGGGCTGCCAGGAACTGTGGAGAGCAGGCTGGGCCAGGAGGTCATGCAGAAGCATCCACTGTTCCAGGTAAGGAAGCTGCTGGCCGATGGAAGGAAGCAAGCATGTGCAGGAGTTGGTTCTGGGGGAGGCCGAGCAGGCATGTGACAGGGTGTCGGATGTTGCGTTGTGACAGATGCCATTGAGTTGGCAGCTGATGAGAAAAAGGCTTTAGGGTTGTTGGACCCAGGCTTGGCCCCCCTCCTCCTGCATGGACTGGTGTGGCCCAGGCAAAGGGACCAGTCAGGTTTGGGGCAAGCCATTCCAGGGAGGGCTTTGGCCTGGGCCCCAACTCTCTAGCCTTGCCAATTATGAAAAGTGGCATCTGCCCGCTGTCCCTTGGCAGTGGCATCTGCCCCCTGTCCCTTGGCAGTCCCTAGGAGAGGACTGCGCCTGGAGGGTTTTGCGTAGGTGATGGGGGTGAGGGAGAGGGGTGTGGAGACCCCATAGGTCTGCTCAGAGTGGGTCAAGGACTCAAATTCAGGGTATGTGATTTTCCAGCACAGAAGAATCACCAGGCAGCAGGGACCATTTCCCCAGAGTCCGGGTGGTCTGGGCACCTGGCAGGACACATCTGCTCCTCTTCTTGGCTGAAGCTGGGGCTGGGCTCCTGTCAGGCCTCCTCACAGAGGGGAGAAGGAAGACACAGAATTGCTCACGTGGGCTGGTTGAGAAGGTGGCTGGGTGTGAATTAGTTGGAGGTCCTGGTGACTCAGGCTTGATCTAGCATCTCAGTCTTCATTATCAGGCTGGACCTCTACCCTCCCTGACTCCTCCAATGGCCACACCCAGGTTCTCCACACCCTCCATCCAGGCCGTACTCTAACAGCGAGCCCAGCAGAAAGAATGCTTTCTCCCAGTGAGTCAGGTGGAAGTTTGGGGATTGGCCTGGCTTGGGTCCCATGTCACCTAGAACCTGGGGCTGTGGCAGGCTGTGCACTGCCTGACTGCTGACCTGAGAGGGGAGAGATCTCGAGGAACATCCAGGACGAAGGGGAAACCATGGCTGCTTCTGGGCCTTAGTGGCCCTGGGAAAGGTGAGCACCACGCCCTTTCCTCGAGTCCGCTACTCAAACTGTGTTATTCCAGTGACTTTCCCCTCCCAGTGGTCACTCTGGTGGCCCCATTCACAGAATTCCCACATGGACGGTGCTCTGGGGTTGTCACTGTGGCCCTCATGGTCTCTGCTCTCTTTCTTAAAAAAAAAAAAAAAAAGTAATCTGGCATCTCTAAAGGCCGTGCCGTCTGAGTCCAGTTCTAATCCAGCTGAGTCATGAGCTTCATTTCTGCCCACGCCAGGTGCCCGCACCTGCCTGGCTCCCCCAAGCCTCCGAACCAGCATTTCCTGTGCGTATACCTATTGCGGCTCCTCCTTACTGGCTCTTTGAAGACTTTGGGACCATGGAGACGGAAGATGCTTCCTGTTGCCAGATGGCCTGCAGGGTTCTGGGCTGCTGTGCAGTTTTGGTGATGGTGCTGCTCCAGCAGGGGTGACAAGGGGCCTGCTCTCCTTTCTGCTGCCCGCCCGAGGGCATGCCCTCTGAGAATCACCTGTAGGAGCACGAAGGCAGGCCCCTGTGGCTCAGTGTGCACAGCTCCACCTGCGTGGTGGGACACAGCCTGGAGCTGCTGAGGTGAGAACTCTGCTCTCTGCAGGTGGGCGGGTCCAGCACTCCCAGGGGTTACAGTGGGGGGGAGGGTGTTGCTAGCAGTCACACCAAGGGTGCTGGTGCCGGGAGAGGGCTCCACTCGGGCCCTGCTGGCAAAGCTGTTCTGACCACCCAATGCTTCCCCACGCCCACCTTGGCCCAGGCCCTGCCCTGGGCCTCCTGTTTGCTCCATCCGCACTCCCCACCCCCATCCCAGGTGACCTAGTTCAGGCCACAGCATCTCATCTTTTCAGCTGTACAGGTGGGCTGTCGGTGACTGTATCACAAACTGCCTTAGACTTAGCAGCTCAGGGCCACGGACAATTATCATCTCCATTTCTGAGGGTTGGGAGTCTGGGAGCACCGGGGCTCAGTGGCCTGGCTCGGGGCCTCCCGTGAAGTCAAGCTGTGGGCCAGGCTGCCGTCTCTGATGCCCTGAGTGGGGTCTTCCAAGTGGGGTCTTTACTTTCACCACAGGGCCTCCCAGAGTGAGTGAGGAGGTAGGTAGCGGAGGGACAGAGAGAGGGCGGGTCCCCTTGGTGGTCCCTGGGCAAGTTCTTTGGTTTCCCAGAGCCATAGCTCTTTCACAACGAACAGGGGATGAGGTTCCCTGCCACAGCGGGCCTTGACTGCAGACATGGGGAGCTTAGCATGGCGCCTGGCAGGGAGCGTGTGAGCGGTGACCTCCTCCAGGGACCTTGGGGCTGGTGCTGAGAGGTCAGGAAGGACAGCAGACCGTCGACAGGCTCACACCTGCATCCAGACCCGGAACAGACGTTTAGAAGAGGAGTGACCTGCACTTACTGATTTGATGAAGTGTCCTGAGAGATTACACAGGTGAGGGGCCATTTCCAGCTCCATGGGCATCACTGTCGCTATGGAAACATGCCCCCCATTAGAGCGTCCTGAGCAGGCAGGCAGCAAGGAGAGTGTCCCCAGTAGCTACACCAGTGCCTGCAGTCTCTACACCACCCCTCTTCCCCCCTGGGCAGCGCCGTGGCCCCGTTCACGTTTGCATTTCACGGGAAGTCTTCGGCGATAAGATGGTTCTGGAGTGCAAGTGACCTGTTGACCTTAGAGATGAGGAAAATCGATGGTGTCCCCAGCATGAAGCCCACTTTTCTCCGGTGCGCTCTCTCGCTGGACCAGGATCAGCAAACCAGCCCGCAGGCCAGCACCCGCCATTGCCCGTGTTGGTAAATGAAGTGCTATCGGCACACCACCATCCCCATCCACGTTTTGCTAATGGCTGCTTTCTGGCTGCAGTGGCAGAGCTGAGTACAGAGACCGTGGACCGGCAAAGCCTGAAATAGTTACCATCCGGCCTCGTGCGGGAAAGTCTGCAGCCGCGGCTCTAGCTCTGGGCGCTGGCTCCCGCCCTGCGCCCTCCCACCTTCTGCTCTGTTCCTGTGTATTATTCATAGCCGGACCACGTTGATGCCACACGGTCAGATTGCCATCCTGCTCCCTGATTGCGGTTTTCCTCCGGCTGCCAGAGCAAGAGGCTTTTTATCTTGGGCAAGATGTTCCTGCTGCGAACAAGCCCTCTGCTTGGCACTTTATCTGAACTCGAAACAGCCCTCAATCAAGACCAGTACATGCCGTGTTCCCGCTTTACAGTCACGCTTTTTATTTTTATGGAAGGATGTTTCATAATTGCTCTTGCAGTGGTGTGTGGCAGATGGCACGGGGCCTTCTTGTGCAACGTGTGGTTTTTCAGTAAGGAAGGAGCCACTCGGGGACAGCGTGGGCACAGATGTTTTGTCAGAAGCCTGTTTCCTCAACTTCTTCACCTCAAGCGAGGTTCCCATGGGGGCCAGGGAGAGTTGGGGAAAAAGGCTGTGTGCCTGCCCATCACACAGCTCTGCCGTTACCGCTGTCCCGTGGAATTTTAACAGCCCAGCATGCTTCGGTCAATGAGATGGCCCCCCAGGGAAGGTGAATTGGATGAGGGTCTGGACACAGCTGCTAACGCCCAGCTGCCGACACGGGCAGGTCTCAAACCCCTCCCTGGGCTGTGGCGGTGGTCACAAGCTTTCTCCTGCAGCAGGCAACCTCCTGGTGCTAACTGGTGGCCGGGCTCTGAGAACGCAGCAGTGATGGGTGGAGAGCTGTGCCCTGCTGTGTGTGGTCCAGCAGAGGAGAGCCACCGCGTCCCCAGTCGCACCTGCTGCTGCCTGTTCCACTCCGCGGTGCTCCCAAAGTGTGTGAATAAACCATCAAGTGCTGCCCTGTACATGGGGCTCTGGTGGGTTCTGGCACCTTCCCCACCGCTGCTGGAGACCTCCGACGGTGGGATAGTGAGACAGGGGACATCCGCCGGCCCGTGGACCCGTGGCTGCTTTGTTGGGAAGCAGGGGCAGGTGGAGGGTAGGGGCCTTCCAGAGGGCGCTCTGGGCAGGAGTCTGGGCACTGCGGTTAGTGAACTCAGGGGAGGAAATGAGGGGAAGCTGGTTGGCCAGGCGTTAGCTGGCAGCCTTCTGGCCCTGATTGGAGAAGTCACAGACAGGACACTTCACTTCCCTGGACTCTGAGCGGGCCCAGGAGTGGTCATGGGGCATTTGGAGCTGGCAGCCAGGAAGGAGAGGGCAGAGGGCCTGTGCTGGGTGAGAGAACCGTGGTCTGGGCCTTTAGGGAAAGCCGGGTCAGCTTTTCAGGAATCAGAACTCAGCGCTGGCCAGTCCCCTTGAGAAGGGGCAGAGCTCCCCGAGGGGGCGGGCACCTGCCACAGTGAGTGAGGGCAGCTGCAGGGTCTGGCAGGGGGCCGTCGTGGGAGGGGCTCACCCAGCCCAGGTCCACTGGGGTCTCACGCCCCTCCCCCTGGCCCGCCTCCCCCCCTCCCCGCAAGGGTTAGAGCTTGAGCAGAACTCTTAACTGAGAAACTTGCCACTGACTAGCCCCTTAGGAGGCAAGCTCTCGCCCAGGTCAGGAGTCTGGGGAAGGCCGGGCGCAGCGGCTTGTCCTTGGCTCTCCGCGGTGCGGGACGCGGCAGGCTGCGCTCTCCAGCCGAGTGACGCAGGGCGCGCTGCGGGCCACGCGGAAGGTGCGGGCGGCGCGGGGTGCACGCTCGGCTCGGGATTCCGCCTCGGGATTCCGGCAGCCCTGCCGGGCCGGGGGGCGTCCCGCGCAGCAGCGCGAGTCACCGGCAGGTACGCGCTCTGGCGGGGTGCATACCATCGGGTGCGGCAGCGGCGGGGTGCGGGGACCGGCGCTGGGCGGAGGCGCGGGCGCGGAGAGGGCGCGGGGGTCCTGGGGCGCGGGCTAGCGTGCGGAGCCGCGGGCTGCGGGGACCTGGGCTCAGGCCAGCAAGGGCGCGAGCTGGGGCGCGGCCGGACGCAGGGAAGATGCGGGCTCCGGGTCCGTGCGGGCGCGCGCGCCGTGTTCTGGTGCCGCGGGCGCTGCGACAGGACGGGACGGTGCACGGTCCGCCCGGCCTGCAGTGCCTCGACCGGGAGCCGGGGGATTGACTTAGCGGATGTTGGGCTCTGGCTCTGGACCCCGGACAAGACCACAGCACCCACTTCCTCCGCCCCAGGTGTGTGTAGCAATTTCTGGTCTCAAAATGCTTTCCTAACCGGGAGGTCAGAAGACCCGGAAAGGGAGTCTGCGGGGCAGGGAGCAGCTGCCCGGTTTAGAGAGAGAAGTAGGGGCGGCCGCCCGCCGGCCCCACATGTAGTTCCATTGCTCTGTTTCCTGGTCGTTGGGGCCGAGGTGCGTGGGGTACACGGAGCCCCTGTCTCTGTGAGTTCCCACGGTCCTGGGTCCACGTGGCAGCTGTAAAAAGTTGTGCCCAGGAGCTCTGTTCTTCTGGCCTTGGTGTCTGTCCCCGAGGGACCGGTGATTTACACCGGGGATAAGGTCTTTCCGCCCCCGCACCTGGGACGCGGGAACCCCCGGCTGTGAGGGTTCTGAGCTGAAACCCGTGGGGGTGGACGGCCCCTCCCACGTGCACGGTGCTCTGTTCCTGTGGGATTGCTCAATGCAGCGCTCAGCATCGGACACTCACCACACCTGGGCCTCGATGGCAACAGCGCCACATTCTTGCCAGGTGCCCTGTGCCAGGTGACATTCATGGTGTGCATTTTGTGTGCCAGATCCTTTCTGTGTTTGCATCTGTCATCCATCCATCCTCCTGGAAGTCAGTCATTTCAGAGCACTCTCCACACTGCTCAGTTGGGCAGCTGCCTGAAGGATGCGTGAACCAGCGCTTCCGAGTTTCTTAGACAAGGTCCTTCATGGCACATACGTCTGCTGCTCGGCCCATTTCATGCCTACCATCCTGTGTCCTTGTCCTGTGCCCGGCCCAGCCCTGGAGAGGGAGCGGGAGCCATCTCTAGCCCAGGCCCCCACGACAGAGGAGCTGTCTGCCTGTGAGATTCGGGCCTCATTTTCCTCTCTGGCAGCTGGGAACCTTCCTAGCTCACCTGTGTCCATCGGAAGCTAACGGTGAGGCAGGTGAGCTGCCGCATAAGGTAGCTGGTAGCCCTGCCAGGGCCACACAGGGGTAAGGCGTCACCTCCACATGAGTGCTGGCCGGGACCTGGGGGACGGCTGGGCCAGCGCAGGTTCCTGTTCTGTACATTTCGGCTGCTGTAACAGAACACACAGATTGGGTGGCTCATAAACAGAAGTTTACTTCTCACAGCTCTGGAGGCTGGGAGTTTGAGATTGGGGTGCTGGCAGGGTTGGTGAGGGCTTCCTTCCGGGATGCAGACATCTTGTGACCTCACATGACAGAGGGGACAGGGAGCTCTCTGAGGTCTCCTTTATAAGGGCACTAATCCCATCACGAGGGCTCCATCCTCTTGACCTATTCACCTCCCCAAGGCCCCACCTCCAAATACCATCACCCTGGGGGTTAGGGCTTCAACACATTAAGGGACCAGGTTCAGACCACAGCATTCCACTCCTGTTCCCTCCAAAGCCATGTCCTTCTCACATGCAAAACACATTCATTCCATTCCAGCAGCTCACAAAGTCTTAACACATTCCAGCATCAACTCTGAAGTCCAAGTTCCCATCTAAACCTTATCTAAATCAGATGTGGGTGAGCCTGGCTGGTGTGGCCCAGTGGTTGAGGGTAGACCTATGAACCAAGAGGTCATGGTTTGATTCCCAGTCAGGGCACATGCGGGCTCGATCCCCAGTGCGGGGTGTGCTGGAGGCAGCCAATCAATGATTTGCTCTCATTATTGATGTTTCTATCTTTCCCTCTCTGAAATCAATCTATGTGTGTGTGTGTATGTGTGTGTGTATGTGTGTGTGTGTGTGTGTGTGTGTGTGTGTGTGTATATATATATCAGATGTGGGTGAGACTTGAGGCAGATTCCTCCCAAGGCTCATACGTTCCTCTCCAGCTGTGAACCTATGAAACCAGACGAGTCATATGCTTCCAAAATACAGTGGTGGGACAGGCAAAGGACAGCAACTGGGGTGGGGCCTGGGCTGGAACTGCCTGCCCCCACGGCTCCACCGAGCACTGGCCTTGCAGTGTCCCTTGCCTGGGCTCATGTTCCCGAAGCTCTGGGTGCCCCAGGCTTGTACACTCTTCACACAGCATCGCAGGCTTTTCCTAGCACCACCCCCAAAATCTTCCAGCCTCTGCCCATCACCCCATCACATCATGGGGTGCCGTTGTTTTAAGGCCACGTCCACATGTGTACGGTTTGTCACAGCAGCACCCACTCCTGGTGCCAGTGTTTTGTATTCATGGAAGGGAAGTGGGCCTCCTCTGGGCAGGTCTGGGATCTGGGAGTGAGCCTGGCCAAGGGGCAGGGGGGATGGGGTGAGGGTTGGCTGGAGCCCTGCATGTCACTGAGAGCATTTCCCCAAAGTCAGCGGCCAGGTGCCTGAACTGCAAGTGCCTAGCACTGGGCTGAGCCAGGTAAGGGCTGGATGGGCACCTGGCTCCTGACAGGTCCCTCACACCTCCCCAGAGCACAGTGACCACATGTCAAAGCTGGACGAATGGACAGGGGAAGGTCTGTCCGTGAGGGACCATCTTGTGAGGTGGAAGGCGACATGGCCAGAAAGGGCTTCCAGGTGGGAGAGGGAGGTGAGCCCTTGTGATTCTCTGGCCCCAGGAGGCCCCTTTCACACTTTCAGAGCCACTGGGTCGGGGAGTGACTCCATGGATGACATCATGGGGTGCCGTTGTGGGGTGACTTGGGGTGATGTTGTGGGGTGACAGGTGACTTGGGGGTGACGTTGTGGAGTGACTTGGGGGTGATATAGTGGGGTGAATTGGGGGTGACGTTATGGGGTGATGTGGGGTGACTTGGGGTGATGTTGTGGGGTGACTTGGGGGTGACATTCTAGGACGTGATCTCCAGCATCATGGCTTTCAGGAAATCATTGCGCTGCTCACTGTGGCCTCAGTGGTGGCGACGGTGGCATTAGCACCCGGAGCAAAGGGTTTGAGAAAAGGAGACTTGTTCCTTTTAGGGACTTGTCTCGTGGGTGGAGAGCTGTGCCTCAATTCGAAACCACTTTGTGCTTAGTAGGGTCTTTTCCTTTTTGAAAATGAAAGTAGTGGACAGACGTTAGGAGCGCGGAGACAGGATGTGGTGTGTGCACCGTGTGACAGGCCAGTTCCCTCCCGGGCCCGGCTCCTGGGTGTGACTGGACATGTTGAGTGGAGGGTGCGGGTGGAGCTCTCTCTCTGGCCCTTCACACTGACCTGAGCTGTCACCATAGGAACGGGCCTGGGGCCTGGGGCCTGGGGATGTGCTTGTGCTTCCAAACGGCCCAGGCACCTCAACTGAGGGACAGGGTTCCGGGCAGACGGAGAAACGGCCGGGCTCCACCCCAGGAACCCGACGGGCCCGCTCAGGACACCTGCCTCTTTTCTTCTCTGTGTGTTTCAGCGCCCCCTCCCCGGCGTGTTCCCCGAACCCTCCGCCTAGCCAGGCTCAGCAGCGCCCGTCGTGGGAGGCGGGAGACCGTGGAGGCTGGAGCTGGCCGTCAGGATGGAGCCCTCGGCCCTGAAAGCTGGCTCCATGCAGGAGGACGGCTTTGGGGTGCAGCCCAGGAGGGTGGCAGACCTGGGCCGGGTCCCCAGCCTCCAGCGGAGCAGCAGCAGCCTCTGCAGGGGCAGGAGCAGGAGGTCGCAGTACGCCTTCAGCAGCTGTGAGAAGGTAGGCTGCCAGGGGCCGGGGGTCCCAGAGCCCTCTGGGCCCAGTGACCACGGAGGGGGGTGTCCTGCTGGGCAGAGACTCCTGCCCTGGGGGCTGCAGCCCAGAAAACCCCGGAGGAGAGAGAACCGGAGAGAAGAGCAGGCGCCCCTTTGTCCCCCCATCCCACCCCCGAGTGGGTGCACGGTCACGTCCTGTTCTTGGCCCAATTGGGAAGCGCTGGGTAAACACTGCCTGGGACGCACCGAAAGTTGTCACCCTGACCTCATAGAGCAGTGACTTCCTTCTCTATCTGGCTGGGAAGCCCCGAGCGCAACCCAAGTCCTGGGCCAGCTCATGGAAGGCCTTGGACAAGACTATGGGGGCTGAGCACGGGTGCGTGTCACAGTCCCCGTCAGCCTGCCGTCCCGCCGGGACCAGGGCCGGTGTCCAGCCCTCAGCCACCGCCTTTCCACCGCCCCATGGTGTTTCCAGGAAGGCAGGGCTGACATAGTCTGGAAGGGGCTGTGCAAACTCAGGTTGGGCCCAAGAGGAGGAGCTTCGGCAGGTTCCCTCCTCCGTCCGAGCGCACACCGGGGCGCCAGGGGTGGCTCTCACCTCGTGTGGGCGGGCCTGGGCCTCCTTTTTCCGAAGCGCCCCTTGGAGCCTGTTGGGGTGGGAACATGCGGGTCTGAGGGAGGTGAGGATGTGCAGGCGTGAGTGCTGTTGATTTGATGCCCGAGGATATCCAGGTATCGTTCTCTACCCACAGCAGGAAAATCTGAGCTCGTGGATCCCGGAAAACATCAAGAAGAAAGAATGCATGTACTTCGTGGAAAGCTCCAAGCTGTCTGATGCTGGGTAAGGACCCTCTGTCCGTCCCCACGTGCAGAGGCTGGTGAGAGCAAGGCTGACCAGGGCCTCAGCCGGGCACAGGCCCCGTATGCACCCGGGGTGCTGGGAGCCTCCCATCTACCCCAGCAACTTGCCGTGGGGAAGGAGGCTCGCCCCGCCCTGCTTGGCAGTTGAGGTGCAGAGATTTTAAGGGGCTTGTTTCAGGGTCAGATCATGGTCACTCCGCGATCATGGGTGCTTGGACCCACTGTGGTCGGGGCTCCACGTTGCCCACCTCGAGAAGAGCTCATGTCCCCTCTGGAATAGTGTCATGGGGCTCGGGGACCGGAAGGGGCCTCGGGGAACGTCCACAGCTCAGACTTCTGAGAGTGGGGACGGGTAAGACCACCAAGGCTGCTTCCGTGGGCCCCACTGTGGCCACTTTGCCTCGGAGCTGCCGGAAGTTGCTCTCCTGGCCGAGGGCTCCCCAGCAGGGTGCCCCTGAGTTGTGTAAACCTGAGGGCATCTGGGGAGGGACCCCACACATTCCTGTTCCCGGGAGCCCTGGAGTGGCAGCCCTTGTTTTATTAAATTTGTTGGGATAACGTGGGTTAGTAACGCTGTATACATTTCAGGCATTATGCAACTTTATAATTTGACATCTCTGTACTCTCCGGTGTGCTCACCATCCAAAATCTAATGTCCTCTGTCAATGTGTATTTGACCCCCTTTGCCCTCCTCAACCTCCCCTCTAGGAACCGCCATACTGTTGTCTGTGTCTGTGAGTTTGTTTTGCTTTGTTTGCTCCTGTGTTGCTTTCTGTTTTATATCCCGTGTGTGAGTGAAACCACATGGTTCTTGTCGTTTCCCATCTGACTTACTTCACTTAGCACAGTACTCGCAAGCCTCATCCATGCTGTGGCACATGGCAGAATTTTTTTTTTTTTTAAATATATTTTATTGATTTTTTACAGAGAGGAAGGGGGAGAGATAGAGAGTTAGAAACATCGATCAGCTGCCTCCTGCACACCCCCCACTGGGGATGTGCCCGCAACCCAGGCACATGCCCTTGACCGGAATCGAACCCGGGACCTTTCAGTCCGCAGGCCGAGGCTCTCTCCACTGAGCCAAACCGGTTTCGGCCACATGGCAGAATTTTATCTTTTTTATGGCTGAGTACTATTCCATTGTCTATATGAAACATGGGCACCAAGCTTATGGTTTCAGAGGGTTTTTTGTGAATTTGACCCCAAAGGCAAGGGAAGTAAAAGAAAAAACAAACGAACAAACCAGTCAAACTAAAAAGCTTCTGCACAGCGAAAGGAGCCATCAACAGACAGAAAGGCAACCAACCGCAGGGGAGACGATATTTGCAAACAACACCTCTGATAAGGAGCTAATATCCAAAATACATAAAGAGCTCATACCACAAACCATATAAAACAAACAATCTTATTTAAAAATGGGCAGAGGATCTGAACAGACACTTTTCCAAAGAAGACGTACATGTGGCCAATAGATAGATGAACAGGCGCTTCGCGTCACTAAACATCAGGGAAATGCAAATCAAAACACACCTGTGAGCAAGGCTGTTCTCAACACGGCAAGAGTTGGTGAGAACGAGGAGAAACGGAACCCTCATCCGTTGCTCGTGGGAATGTAAAATGGTACAGCCACTTGGGAAACAGTAAAGCCACCGTATGACCCAGAAACCCTTCTCTGTTGGTATTCCTTGAGGACGAACAGAGCATGGATTCTAGGTTGTGTTTCCCTTCCAGACACCGTAGGCTGTGCTGTGCCACAAGTGGGCCACACTCTTTCTTACTTCTTGTCACCTGAAGAACTCCTATCTATCCTTCAAGGCCTGATGCCGCCTCTGCCATGGAGCCCTCCTGGACCACTCCCCAGGGAGTAACCTCTTGACCTCTGACCAAGGCAGGGTCACTTCTTACTCCCCATGATGGACAAATAGCATCCAGCTCACATTTGCTGAATAATATGGGAGGAGGCGTGTCCTGGGTGGAGAAGATAGAGGAGGATTATGACTCGGAGTCAGATGTGAATGATCACTGGTTTCTGGGATGCTGTGATATGCCCAGGGTGTTCTCACTAAAAGTGCCCCATGGCTGTGTGGGGCTTTACACCCTGGCTTGGCTCCTCCTCCTCAGATAAGAGCCTCATTTCTCCCAGGGGGTCCTAGGGCAGACCCCGAGTTAGGGAAAGTTGCCACCAAGCTCCAGCTGACAGCTTGTGGCTGGTGCCCTTGAATATACTTGGTGCATGGTCGGAGTTTCAGGTTTACCACACATTCTGACAACAGACTGCAGGCTTTGCATTGAGTTCTCCAGTCTTAGTTATTTTAAAATAGGTTTATAAAAATAGCCTGGGAGGGAACGTGTGATACACAGGAAGGCTTCCCGTATAGGAAACATGGGTTTCAAAAACGTTTTGAAGACTGTAATCTGGTTTCTAGTTTGTAGGGTTCAGGGGTGCCACCGATGGAACCCTGGAACCTTCTTTCCTCTGAACTCTGAACCAGTGGAGACACATTGACAGGGTTTGGTGAGGGCTGGGGGGGGAGACAGGTTGGATTTGAGGCAGAAATGGAGCTTTCTGCTCCTGTGGTGCTTCTGTCCACTTCGAAGAAGTAGCGCTCAGTATGCGTTTGGTTCTGAAAACTTCCAGAAGCCCCTTTATTAATATGGGGGTCGATGCAAGGAGCTGCTACAGGGAGATCACAGGTAGAGTGGCCTGTTGGTGCAGGTGTTACCTGAGAGGGTGTTTGTGTGTGTGTGTGTGTGTGTGTGTGTGTGTCTGCCTGTAGCAGCTTCGTCAGACTGCAGGCAGCGCCCCCAATGGGGGGAAGGGGTGCCTCCCACGGCTGCTAGCAGAGATGTTCCCGTTTATGCCCATCTAGGCCAAGCGCTGGGAGCCATTCTGACCAATTTCTGGGTCAGCGGTTTCCGTGTGGTTTCCTGCACTGTGTCAGGCTTGGAAACGCCACGTAGATTGAAGCTCTTATCTCGTCAGAGGGCAATGGTCAGAGGAGGGAAAGGAGGCAGCTTGCCTCAGGCTGACTGTTAGAAACATAAGGAAACCTGGGGCAGCCTTGGGCCAGGGTATGGGAGCTCAGGTCCTCATCCCGGCCCCTCTCTTCCCTGCCTTGGCCCATACGCTGAGGAGGCCACACGTGTGTTCCCAAAGGTCCCTGCGAGTCTGAAAGTGCCTTGCGTCTGCCGGAGGGGCTGGAGGGGAGGGTCAGATGGGCCTGTGCTCACAGCCCCACGACCCCCCACAGAAACACGGCTGGCAAGGGGCCCACTTCACGAGCAGGGAAAGGACAGCTGGGGGACCAGCACACTTGTGCGTCTCTGAACCACCCTTGGTTCTCTGCCTGGTTAGATAATCTGCATTAATAAAATAACTTCATAAATGATTGCCCACCTACAACCTCATTAGACCTCCACAAATTTTGCAGGGTTGGTATCAAGGAATGTATTATTTTTCCCATTTAATGATGGAATGCCTGACATTCAAAGCACCTAAGACCGTGGTCGGCAAACTGTGGCTCGCGAGCCACATGCGGCTCTTTGGCCCCTTGAGTGTGGCTCTTCCTCAGCCTTAGGAGTACCCTAATTAAGTCAATAACAATGTACCTGCCTATATAGTTTAAGTTTAAAAAATTTGGCTCTCAAAAGAAATTTCAGTCGTTGTACTGTTGATATTTGGCTCTGGTGACTAATGAGTTTGCCGACCACTGATAAGATCACACGCTTAGCAAGTGTCAAGACATCTGTCTTGTGTCTCCTGGTCCAGCAGTCTCTCCCTGTATCATCCGGCTCAGGTTTTAGACTCTTTCTTTTGGTCTCATCTGTGTCTAGTCCTTTAGGTCATTTGTTAACAATCAGAGAGAAGGAATGTAGAAAATGTGTAGACTTGTCGTGGAACAAGGTGTAATTGGCTGGGTGGGGCAGGGGTGCCTCCTTACTGCCCCACGTGGCCAGCACGGACACTGTGGCCATGGCTGGGGCCTCTGGCTGTGGGTGCGGGTGAGTCCTGGCTCTCCGCTGGGCTCCCTCTGACACCCTCAGCGGGGAGCAGGGGCACCTCAGGGCCCGTGCTGACCGTGGTGTCTCTGCAGGAAGGTGGTGTGTGAGTGCGGCTATACCCGCGAGCAGCACTTGGAGGAGGCCATCAGGCCCCAGGCCTTCCAGGGCAACGAGTGGGACCCCAAAAAGCACGTCCAGGAGATGCCGACGGATGCCTTCGGTGACATCGTCTTCACAGGCCTGAGCCAGAAGGTGGGAAAGGTTGGTTTCCATCGCCCCGTTGCTCTTCCTGTAGACCAGAGCCCGCCACTGGTGACCCACAGGGGCCAGACGCCTGGGGTGGGAGGGGGAGGCTGGCTGAAACCCTGGGGGCACTGCACCCTCCCGGTGTAAGGACGGGGTGCCTGGGGGCTTCACAGGGTGAGCAGGGGACACCTGCTCTCAGTGTCTTTGGTCACTGCAGAGCAGGCGGGGCTGCAGCCGGGGGAGTGGCTGGGAGGCCTGGAGGCATCAGGCCTGGGAGGGCAGGGGAGCACCTGGCACAGGCACGGGGTGAGGATGTGGGACGGGACCTGGGGAGGCTGGTAGCAGAGGTGAGAGCTTCACCAGGAGGCCGAGCAGGGTGGGGCGGGATCCCAGTGGAACCTCGGACCTCAGGGTGGTCCCTGGACTAGCAGCATCACTAAGCAAGGCCTTGGCCGCACCCCAGACCTGCAGAACTGGGAGCCCACTCACCTGCGTTTCCACCAGCCTTCTGGAGGCTTCTGCCACAGCTCCTGGCACCACTGCCCTGTGGGGTCTGGTGCAGCCACTGGGTTCTGAGTCAGGTTTCTGAAACCCCTGAACCTCATAACAGCCGGGTGACACCTTTCCCCTCAGCTCCTCCGAGCTGCCAAGACCCTGCCCACGTGGCCAGGGAGGTGGAGCCAGGAGAGTCCTGGGGGTGGTGTCACATGGCCCCAGCTTCCTCCAGCCCCAGAGCTGCATCAGCACCGCCATGTGGGGTGCGCCCCAAGCCCCTGTCCCGTGGAGCTGCTCCAAGGAGATTGCAGGCTGGTGGCCTCTACCCCGACAGGAGGAGGAATCCCCGAGGAGCCAGGACGGGGGTTCTTGGGCAACATGGAATAGGGGGGCGGGCGCGCTCAGAGCAAGAGCAAGGTGTCTGGACACGAGTCTGAGGACAGCTGACCTCACATGACAGCCAGATATGGGGACTCGGGACAGGGTGCTGCCGTGAGGGAGGTGGCACTGGATGAGGAGAAGGGACGACACTCCAGTGCCAGCTAAGAGGAGTCAACGGTAGCTGCGGCTCTACAGCGACATTGGGATGGGGACCCAGGGCCTCGGGCCGAGGAGGAGTGAGAGGAGAGGGTGCTGTGGCCCCCAGCTGGGGAGCTGGGCCGGGAGGGGGGGTGAGGGTGACAGCTGGCACCGCGGGCTCCTGTCACTCCGGCTGGCCTCCCCTCCGGCCTTGGCCTCCCTCTTCTCTTTATATTCGAGTCCTGCCTGGGCACGGCCCCTTGTACTAGTTGGAGCCAGACCCAGGTGTGCGGCCCCCCCACTGGGCAGGGGCTCTTGGACATGGCTGGTGTGGGGTTTCTGGGGCCTTGGGTGGTGCCTGCTGACCCGGGGGCTCCTCTGCTGTCTCCTGACTCCCCTGCAGTACGTCCGCCTCTCCCAGGACACTCCCTCCAGTGTGACCTACCAGCTCATGACGCAGCACTGGGGCCTGGATGTCCCCAACCTGCTCATCTCGGTCACGGGCGGGGCCAAGGACTTCAACATGAAGCCCCGGCTGAAGAGCGTCTTCCGCAGAGGCCTGGTCAAGGTGGCCCAGACCACAGGTAGGCGGGGACAGCAGGCCAGACCACAGGAGGCGGGACAGCAGGCCATACCTGGCGGGTAGAGAAGTGTCTGTTCAGATTCACCCAACCTCACCTGCCTGAAGCACCTTTCTTCACCTCCTGCTGCCATCCCTGGGCTTGCTCAATGGGGCAGACGTGGCTCCCCGCAGCTCCCCGATGGTGGTGCCCTGCTGGGCATGGAGAGGAGGCCGGAGGAGGCTGTGTTAACCATGAGGTGTCGGTGAAGCGCTTCTCCGTCAATGTATCTCTTTGAACTTACACCCGAGAATGAATTTGGAAGCCCTGCAGAGACGGGGCAAGGGTGTCAGGAGCACAGGTCCCAGGTGTCAGGTGTATGCATGGCCGGGTGCACACGGGGACCCAGGGGCCTGCCTGCCCTCCGCTCCTTCCCAGGGGCCTGGATCATCACCGGGGGGTCCCACACCGGCGTGATGAAGCAGGTGGGTGAGGCCGTGCGTGACTTCAGCCTGAGCAGCAGCTGCAGCGAAGGAGAAGTCGTCACCATTGGCATTGCCACGTGGGGCACCGTGCACAACCGAGAGGGCCTGGTCCACCCCCTGGTGAGCGCACGGCCCCTCCCGGGGAGGGCAGTCTCAGAGGGGGTGCTGCTGGGAGCTTAGGGGTGCTGCCGTGGACAGGCCATCATCTGGGCACTGGCGTAAATGCACCATGGAGGGAAGAGGCTGGGCAGGAATAAAGGAGACACGGGCTCAAGTCCCCCATGTCACAGACCCTGGGGACCCAGGACAAGTAGCCAAGTTGGTTGGACTCCGGTTTCCTGCCGTAAGATTCCAGGATAGGTTCATAAAAGGTCCCTAACTTGCCACCACCGGCCACCTGAACGGCTGTCCGGATGTGAACTGGATGCAGCAGGAGGATGTGGCATGGCCAAGATCACACGGTGGTGAGCACCTGCCATTGTCTGTGGACAGCAGGGCTCTGTGCTCATGTCCCGGGCTTGCCATCATTAGTGATTATGAACGTTGTGACTTAAAGCCATAGAAATGCCCCCCCCTCCCGCCCCGCCCAGCCTGGAGACCAGAACTCTGAGATCAGCATCACTTGGCCCAAATCTAGATGCTGGCTTCCTCCTAAGGCTGTAGGGAGGACCCATTCCTGCCTCTCCCAGCTCCTGGTGGCTGACGGGTTTCCTTGGCTTGGGGCCCCATCACTCCAGCCTCTGCCTCTGTGGTCACAGGCTGAAGATGGTTATGGTGGCATTTAGGACCCAGCTGGACAGTCTAGAATAATCTTTCCACATTAAGATCCGTAACTTGGTCACACCTGCAAAGACTTTTTCCAAATAAGGTCCCGTTCACAGGTTCGGGGTGGGGGTGGGGTTAGGGCCTGAAGTCTCTCGGGGTTATTACCTGCCCCCCAGCCCCCACTTCTAGCATTCTCGATACAGAACTTCCCGTCCACGCGTCTGACTCTTCCCTGGCCTCCCCAGGGCGGCTTCCCTGCCGAGTACATCATGGACGAGGAAGGGCAGGGCCACCTGACCTGCCTGGACAGCAACCACTCCCACTTCATCCTGGTGGACGATGGGACCCACGGCCGCTACGGGGTCGAGATCCCCCTGAGGTCCAAGCTGGAGAAGTTCATTTCGGAGCAGACAAAGGAGAGAGGAGGTGAGGCGGCCCACTCCAGGGGCGCCGCGGTGGAGAGGGGAGCAGGCTGGTCACAGTGATGGGGGCACAGCTGTCGGTGACCAGGACGTCCCACAGGCGGGGCGCTTAGGGCACAGTCCGAACACACCTGGATATCTTTACACTTAGTCCGGGAGGTCATCTCCTCGTGCCCCGCGTAACCAGGGGCAGGAAGTCAGGGCAGGCCCCGGCTCTTCTGCTCACTCTCAGGTCAGAGACCATCCTGCAGTCACTTTACAAGCTCGACCTAGGTCAGAAGTAAGAAAGTGTGCCTGGGGGACCCTGCATCTTTTCCCCTGTGGGTGGGATGGGATGGCTTCTCGGACAATGGGGATCAGAGACAGGTTTCACACGTGCTGTGAGGAGGGGTGTGGGCAGGACCTGGGATAATGGAGGCTCTAGCTCTGTCCCTGGGTTCATCAGGCACTTTGAGAGCAGAGGTTCTCAAGCTTTGCTGCACATCACAGTCCCCTGGAAGGCTTGTCAGTCCCCGCCCTGGGCCCGCCCCTGGTCTGTGTGGCTGCACAGCAGAGTCCCCTGGAAGGCTTGTCAGTCACCCCCCGGGCCCGCCCCTGGTCTGTGACTCAGGTCTAGGTGGGCAGGAGCTGCTTCTAGGCTCCCAGGTGACACTGACTTGCTGGTCGGGGCGACCCTTTGGGCCCCCGGCTTTGACTGAGAGGCCCAGGTGGGAGTGTCAAGCTAGAGTGTGTGGGGCCAGTGTGACTGTGGCAGCTCTTCGAGAGCAGGTTTGCCGCTGGGGAAAGCCATTTCTAACAGGACCCCTGGCTGCCGGCTGGTGAAAGGCTCATGGTGGGGCCGAGCGTCTGGAGAGAGGACTGAGGTTTGGTCCCCGGGGTTCGGAAGCTGTGCTCCCGGGCCACACGGTGCGTCATGCCCACCTGCTCGAGGTGTCCCAAGGCCTGCCCAGACTTGAGGCGCCATGAAGGGGCTGCAGAGAAAAGCAGGGCGGTCCTCTGGCGGAGCCATCACGCGGCTCTTGAATTGCTCCCTTACGTAGAACAAGCAGACGACGTGTGACTCCACAGCGTCAGCCTTTTTTTGTTTTATTTTTTTGTTAATTCTCACCCAAGGATATTTTTCTATTGATTTTTAAGAGAGTGGGAGAGGGAGAGACACACAGAGAGAGAGAAACATCGATGTGAGAGAGATACATCGATTGGTTGCCTCCTGGGGGATCGAGCCTGTAACTGAGGCATGTGCCCTTGACCAGAATCAAACCCGGGACCCTTCAGTCCACAGGCCGACACTCTAACCACCGAGCCAAACCAGCCAGGGCCAGAGTGTCAGCCTTTGAAAGCGGCATAGCCCTGTGACACTTCCTCGCAATTAGCGTGGAGCTGCAGGGGGTGGGGAAGCACCCAGGTGGAGCGGAGCCCCACATTCCCTCCCTGGGCTCTGTGCTTCGTCCCAGGCGTGGCCATCAAGATCCCCATCGTCTGTGTGGTGCTGGAGGGAGGACCTGGCACGCTGCACGTAAGTACTGGCCAGGTGGTGAGGGGCCCCTGGGGGTCAAGTCCTGCTGCAGGTGGGACAACTGACCCAGCGCTGTTACCAGCGTTCTATTGGGTCCCTGGCAGGAGAGGGTGAGGAGCTGCCCCAGGAGATGGAGAAAGGGCAGTCCCCATGCGGCGGGCCCTCTCCAGGTGACGGGGGATGGGGCACTGGCTTTGGCCCTGGGCGATGGGTCAGTGAGAGGGGCTCCAGAGGGGACTGCAGCAAGGATGGGGGTGACGGTCCTCTGCTTCCAGGACCGGGCAGCCATGGGTGTGGCAGCTGAAGGTAACGGAGGTTCCTCAGTGGTGTTAACATGCTGCCCACGGGCCTTTACTCTGAACCCACTCCACAGTGTGTGGCTCACCTCGTTCGTGGTATCTCGGTGCAGGAATGGATATGACACCCCAGCCTGCCAGTGTGGGGCAGGAGCATAGAAAATGTCATTAAATGTTCAGTAATCCCAGGAGGTGAAAATGAAACTCTGGGGTTTCCCGGGGAGATGGGGACACATCTGGTCCCCACTCCCTCCATTCCTGGCTCCTCCTCGTGGTTTTCCCGCTCATGGCGCAGTTTCTGTTCCTGGGCAGGCATCCTGCCGCTGGGTGAGGGGCCCTTCCTGAAGCTGCGATCACACTGGGCCCCTGGGGGCCACCCCTCGTTGTCCTGGTCTCGCCCTGGGCCTCAGTGAGGGAGGGGATCTCTGGCCCAGGCGGCACCCTCTCTCTGGAGATGCCCTGGTGTCCTCTTGCTCTGGCGCTGTTGAGTGGCAGGTCTGGAGGAGATGGTGTGTCCGCTGTGCGCTCCCCAGCATCTCAGGCTTGGCTGCCTCTTCCCTCTGGGCAGTGGCTGCTGCTGCACTGACCAGTATTTTCAGTGAGTTTCACTGAAGCCCTGAGCTCTGGCGTTAAATGCTGTCAGAGATTTCTCCTTTTCAGAAAGTGTGAGAGTAGCGAGGGATCAGGTCCCGCTCACGGTCGGCCCCTGACTTGCAGACCATCTACAACGCCATCACCCACGGCACCCCGTGCGTGGTGGTGGAGGGCTCGGGCCGCGTGGCTGACGTCATCGCGCAGGTGGCCGGCCTGCCCATCTCCGAGATCACCATCGCCCTGATTCAGCAGAAGCTGGCCGTGTTCTTCCAGGAGATGTTCGAGACCTTCACCGAGGGCACGATCGTGGAGTGGACCAAGAAGGTGAGGCGGGCCGGCACGGTGGTCACCAGGAGCTGCTGGCTCCCAGGTGCCGGTGGCCTGGTACACAGGACCAGGGCACGAGGGACCCAGAAACAGAGCCCCAGGGGCCTGGGGGGGCACGGGAGTGATCTGCAGAGGGTGGGGGCTTTGAGCTGGGCAGGCAGAGGGCCCGGGGCAGGCGGGCGGCCTTCAGCTGAGGAAGCACACTGTTCCCGAGAGGGCGTGCCTAGAACCTGTCACCCGCAGGACTTCGTGCCCGGCCTGTACACTGCAGGTCGGGAGCACAGCTGTTCCGGGAAGAGGAGCTCCTGGCTGGGAGGCCAGGATGCTGGTGCTTGGCCAGGAGGGGGGCGGAGGGGTGGGGAGCCGAGGTGAGGGCAGCCAGGGTGCTGCCCGGTCCTGCTCAGCCCCGAGCCCGGGGAGCTCAGCGCCTCTTGGTTGTTCATGAAGGCGCTCCGGGGTTGACCGGACAGGGAGGCAGGCAGAGCGTGTATAGATGGGACCATCATGGCTCCCACCCCATGAGGTGATCTGGGAGGCACCTCCATGCTTCCTCAGAGGCACCAGTGGTCCTGGGCCTCTCCTGGGGACCTTCAAGTTTAGGGCGTATTCCAGGGCACACTCCAGAGTGTGTGGGAGACTTGAAGGCCTGGGAGGGAGGTACAGATGGGCGAGAAGCTTCAAGGACCCCTTATAGACAGATGGAGTGGGGCATTCACTCTAGACCAGGGGTCCTCAAACTACGGCCCGTGGGCCACATGCAAATACAAATATTGTATTTGTTGCCGTTTTGTTTTTTTACTTCAAAATAAGATATGTGCAGTGTGCATAGGAATTTGTTCATAGTTTTTTTTTAAACTATAGTCCGGCCCTCCAATCGTCTGAGGGACAGTGAACTGGCCCCCTGTTTAAAAAGTTTGAGGACCCCTACTCTAGACTGTAGGGCAGGAGTCCTCCAATACTTAGAGGCTGTCTGGCTCAACTGGGAGCCCTGGGTCACTTGGAGTGGACTCAGAGGCAGCCATCTCCCCAATCCAGATCTCAGGGGGCCCCAACAAGCCCACAGCCATGACCCCAGCCTCCAAGAGTGTGAGGGAGTGTGGCTGGCTCAGCCCTCAGCATCCCATGAAGCCCATGGCCAGCGGGGTGAGCTCAGGGAGAGCGCCCTGCACGCTGGTTCCTCTGGGCATGTTGACTGCTGTCTCGGGGTTGGGGGTCAGCCATCCTGAGCTCACATGGTCCCTGTCTCCTGGCAGGATTCTCAGCGAGGGCCCTCAGTACCTCTCTGATCCCCGTTTCCCTGACAGCAAGGTGGGGCTGCAAAGTCATCGGGTCTATATCCTTTATCCAGCTCCATGAACGATGGGCCAGGCTGCAAGAATTTCTGGAAATTCAGTCCTACGTGCCTGATGTATACTTTCCAGGGCAAGTCTGTGGAGCAGGGTAGCCCCCACTGTGCCTAATTTCAGGCCACATGGGCGGTCATGCCCACCAGCCAGAGACCACAGGGCACGTCGGAGAGGATGCCCCCCTCGGGAGCCATGGGGTGGGGGGCGGGTGCTGGGGGTCTGGGCCCTGGCGGGGGCAGAGGCCAAGGCAGCCAGCTTTCTGTGGATGGGGGCAGGGCCCTGCTTCGGGCTTGTGGTGGCGCAGGGACCTGTTCTTGTCGGTGCTTCCTTGGCCTCAGGGTGACCTTATTCGACGTGGATGCTCTGGAGCCTGTTTGCCGGTGGGCAGGTCGGTTTGTGAAGACTGAAGTCGGCTGTGAGCGTCCGCTCGGTTCCCCACGGAGCCATGGGGAATGGCGGGCAGGCCCAGGGCCTTTCCTCGGCTAGTTTATAAATTATTCAGGCAGTTCTCAGAACTGAATCTCACCCACCGTGGTCCAGAGGTGCCTGTTTTTTTCCACTCTTCCTTGTGAGTCAGGCCCTGAAAATGGCACTCATGTAATGCAGTCTCAGCCATCCAGGGGTGGCCCCTCATCGTTACTCTGGTTCGAAGGAGGGGACCCCCAGCTTCATGGTCATGAATAGTAATTCAGAGCTGCGGGTTTGCTCAATGGTTAGAACATTGGCCCGCAGACTGAAGGGTCACGGGTTCGATTCTGGTCAAGGGCACATGCCTCAATTGCAGGCTCGATTGCTGGCCCTGGTCAGGGGGGCGTGTGGGAGGCAGCCAATCAATGTGTCTCACATCGATGTTTCTTTCTCTCTCTGTCTCTTCCCCTCCCTTCTACTCTTTCTAAAAATCAATGGAAAAATATCCTCAGATGAGGATTAAAAACAACAAAACAAACAAAAACCAGTGATTTCATTCAGCAAATCCCAGAGCTGGGTCTACCCTGTGGCGGGCGGCAGCGTGAGCGGGTGGCCTTCTCCCCGACGCTGCCCCTGGTGCACGTGGACACCAGCCACGGGCTCTCACCTGGGGCTCAGCCGGCACCGAATGACCGTGTGTCGGGAGGACACACTCACCCTCTCAGCTGCTCTTGTCTGTCAGATAGGGACAGTGGTACTTAAACTCGGAGGATGGGACAAGAGCCTTTCTGCAAAGTGCTTAGTTTTCGTCTCCACATGCACACGCCAAAATGGTAGCTGTGATGTGAACCGAAGGCGGTTAAGTTCAGGAGACACTTTGGCTGGGAGACGATGGGACTGGGAGGCCAGGGGTTATTTTGGAATTGCCATGAGAGCTGTACCCTGAGAGATAGGGAAGGTTGGGGTTTTAGGGGTGGAGGTGGGGTATTCGAGGGTGCCTTCTAGGTGAGGAGTGGCTGGCCCGGGAGCATGAGCAACAGGCTGGACGAGGAAGGGGAAGGAGGGAGGCCGGGTATGGTCGGCCTGAGGGCCTGGGGGTAGTGTCTGAAGCTTTGGGGGCCATGAAGGACCCATGGAATGTGAACTCTGGCCTCAGGGTGAAGGGGTTACAGGGAGCAGCAACTGGTAGCAGGCAGGAAATGATGTCATAGACAGACAGGTGATAGATAGATGATAGGTATATGTCTGGTATCTATCTATCTATCTATCTATCTGTCTGTCTATCTATCAGTTCAGCCAGTTCTCAGAACTGAATCTAACAGTGGGTTCTGAGAATGGGCTGAATAGATAAACAGATAGATACATAGATAGGGTGGGTAGGTTAATAAACATATAGATTGGTAGATAGGTAGACAGGTAGGGTGGGCAGATAGATAGGTGGATTCATAGATGGATAGGTAGGTGAATAATTGGATGGATGGATGGATAGATAGGTAGATAGGTAGGTAGGTAGGCAGGTAGAGTGAGGAACAGCAGGGCCCAGGTGGGAGGACCAAGGGGAGAAGTTGTAAGTTAAGCAACACCACCTCATGGGCAGCGTGGACACTCTTTACACTGTGGCTGTGTTTTCTACACCACAGGCCACTCGCAAAGATCACGTATTTGGTCCTTAAGCCTTCATCTTCACTGTCCAGGGCGTGGGGAGTCCAGGTGGTGGTCCTGGCCACACAGGCAGGCAGGACTCATGCCCAGCGCTCTGGCTCTGAGTCCGGGCCTCCATTCTCCGGGTGCCCCAGGAGGCAGGAGGCCCGCTCATCACTGGGACCTCACTTGGGGAATGCTTGTTGCAGATCCAAGACATTGTCCGGAGGCGGCAGCTGCTGACCATCTTCCGGGAAGGCAAGGATGGCCAGCAGGACGTGGACGTGGCCATCCTGCAAGCCTTGCTGAAAGGTGAGAGGCCGGCATGGCAGGGGCCACGGGGAGAAGCTAGAACAAGGGTGTTCAGGCCCTGAGTTCTGGTGGGTTGGACACACTGGTCGGAGGGCGGCTGGCAGGTGGGTGCTCATTGCTGACGTTGGGGTGCAGGCGTCTTTCTCAACTTGTCTTTTTAACTAAAATCTGAGCGTGGTAATTTATCTCTTTGTGGTCATCCTGGTTTCTCATAAAACCTCAGGGTAAAAAGAAAGAACCTTGGAATTCCCACTCCTGACTCCCCACACTTGGTTCCATGCTTGAGCTCCCTGCCCCCCACAGCAGAGTCAGCACGCAGGGGGTCCTCATGACCGACAGAACTCTGGGCATGAGTCCTGACTCTCCTTGGTCCGGCCTCTGCCCTCTGGCCACTCTTCCCAGGCCCACACTTCCCTCTTGCCTCTTCTCCCTCTGCTGGGGAAGTGAGTACCTCCCCGTCCTTCCTGTCCTCTGGCTCCACATGGCTGACGCAGAAGCTCCCATGAGACAGTGTCAAACGTGACCTCTTTCCTGGACGTCCATCCACTCCATGCCCCTCCGTGACCGAAGGCCTGAATGTTGCCCATAAAGCCTCACCTAACCAACGAGATGGTTAACTTTAGACTGGACACTTCGGTGTAAAGGCCTTTGTTCAGAAAGATTCTTGCTGGGACAGAGAAGAACCGGGGAGAGCGGGTCCAGCAGAACCAGAGCTGCTCCGTCCTGGCGGCAGCAGACCAACGGGTGGGGCTGGAACAAGGAGGCGCGACTCACTGCCTGTCTGTCTGGTGGAGGCGGGTCTGAGGGTGTCCCAGCACAGACGGGGTGCGGAAGCATCGCGTCTGTCTGTTCCCTGCCTCCTTCTCCTACGGGACCAAAGGTCCAAGAGAGGGACACCAGGCAGCTCATCCCTGGGGACATCCCAGGCTGCTGTGGCCTTCAAAGGCCAAGACAAAGGGTGGGACACTGAGTCTGCCCATCGGTGCCCGGCTGGGAGAGGAAGGACCCTACTCGTGGCTCAAGATGGACCCAGGGCCCTCGCTGGTTTTGTTCCGTGGATAGACAGTTTCGGCCTGCAGACTGAAGGGTTTCAGGTTTGAGTCTGGTCAGGGCACGTGCCTGGGTTTCAGGCTCAATCCCCAGTAGGAGGCGTGCAGGAGGCAGCGGATCAATGATGCTCTCTCATCATTGATGTTTCTATCTCTCCCTCTCCCTTCCTCTCTGAAATCAATAAAAAATGAAAAAAGGTGAACCCCCAGGGAGGTGGGGCACCAAGTCCCGGCAGCCTGTGACGATGCTCAGAGTCAGCAAAGCTAGTGCTGTGGTCGTGGTCCCCTCTGTGCAGGTGCTGAGTGGGAGGGGCGCGTGCACGCCCCAGGGCATTGGAATGTTTCCGTCTTGATCGTGGTGGTGGCCATGTGGTGTTGATAGCAGTAAAAAGCCATCAAGCTATGCGTTTAAGATTTGCCCACTATAGAATTCCGTTAACCTCGGTGAGAAGCTTTAGCGAGATGATGTTGGCGTAGCCCCATGTTGTCACAGGTGTCAGAACTCAGTTCCTTTTTGCTGCTGATGTTATTCTGTCAGGAGCGGTATTCTCTCACCCATTCATCTGTTGTTGGGCATTGTGGCTGCCTCCAGTTTGGGGCTGTTATGAACACGCCCATTTTTTTTCATTTCTCTGATCCATGTCTAGGAGTGGAATGACGGGTTCTTTAGGGTGAGTGTATGTTTAACTTTATAAGAAACTGTCAAACCTTTTCCAAATATGGTACAGTTTACCTCTGTGCAGCCTTGCCAACGTGTGGCATCTATTGTCAGCCCTAGGCTGCAGCCACCTGGTGGGTGGGAGGTGGCCTCGCCCAGTGGTCCCCTGACGACTAACGGTGTGAGCGTCTTTCCCTGGGCTTGTGGGCCATGTGGATAGCATCTTGGTGGACTGTCTCTCAGATCACTTGTCCATGTTCACTTGGTTGTTGGTCTTTTCATTTTTGTGTTGTAAGAGCCTTGATATATCCTAACACCAATCCTTTGTCAGATATAGGTGCTGGGATATTTTCTCTCGGCTCCTGGTCGGCTTTTATATTTCCTTCAGGGTGTCTTTGAAGAGCAGAAGGCTTAAGTTTTAAGGCATTTTAATTTACCAACTTGTTCCTTTCATGTTCATGTTCTTTGCACCCTGAGAAATCTGCGCCCATCCCACTGTTGCAAACACTTCCTTCTGTTCGTCATGGCAGCTCTGAGGGCACAGCTCTCATGCTTAAGTCTATGATCCACCTGAGTTAACTTTGTGTGTGGTGTGAGGTAAGGGTCAGAGTTCTTTTTTTTTTCTTCCCCAAACAACAACCCATGTTTTAAAATCTTAAACCCGAAAGAGAGAACATAAACTACTTGGGCAAAATCCTTGTACTGACCTGGGTGAGGTGGTGGTTTTGTAATCAAGATTGAAAAGGAGTGTGACGGTGACATTTTAGTGTGAACGTGGAAGTGCCCACCTTTTGGAGACTGGAGACTGTGTGTTCTTTCAACTTAGGGCTTGACCAGGAGGTGGACTGGGCAGGGGAGCTGGGGGAGCCAGAATGGCGACCAAAACCCCAAATCCCTCATTTGAACAGTGGAAGGAAAAGCTTTTCTAAAGGTGTGTGTGTAGGGGGAGGACTTTGCAACGGAGCCCTGTACTTGTTGAGTTAAAATCACTGAGCGCTGAGGTTGGTGCCCAGCCCTGCCTCCCTGGCTTTGTTAGAGGGCAGGGTGCTGATGGGCAGTGGCTTTGAGGTGCCGCTTGAAGCCTGGGGTGCTGGGTTTCTCACCTGCAGCCTCTCGGAGCCATGACCACTTTGGCCACGAGAACTGGGACCACCAGCTGAAGCTGGCCGTGGCGTGGAACCGTGTGGACATTGCCCGGAGCGAGATCTTCACAGATGAGCGGCAGTGGAAGGTATGGCCTCTCGGGGCTGCCCTGGGGGTGGCGAGGGGAGGGGGTGTCGCTGGGCGCACAGGAATCAGGCCATCGGAGCAGGATGGCCTTTCTAGACCCAGCCCTTCCCTTGGTGAGGGTGGCCCAGCCAAGTTTCTCCTCCCCAAATTGGAGACCACAGTCATCCTGTCCAAGGGAGTTGAAGCCAGGATTACGGGGGGTGGGGGGGGGCAATGTCCAGATGCAGGCCCCCCACCCCATGGCACTCTCTCTCAGCCTTCAGAGCTGCACCCCATGATGACGGCCGCCCTCATCTCCAACAAGCCCGAGTTTGTGAAGCTCTTCCTGGAGAACGGGCTGCGGCTGAAGGAGTTTGTCACGTGGGACACCCTGCTCTACCTGTACAAGAACCTGGACCCCTCCTGCCTGTTCCACTGCAAGCTGCAGAAGGTGCTGGCCGAGGAGCCGGAGCGCGTGGCCTGTGCGCCCGCCCTGCCCGCCGTGCAGATGCACCACGTGGCGCAGGTGCTGCGGGAGCTCCTGGGCGACTCCACGCAGCTGCTGTACCCCCGGCCCCGCTCCAGCGACCGGCCACGGCTCTTGCTGCCCGTGCCCCACATCAAGCTCAACGTGCGTGCTGGTAACGTGGCCCCCGCTCGGCGTGGCCTGCATGCTGGGCCACTGCTGTGTACTTTGCGCTTTCTAAAAAAATAGTTAGGTTATATTTTTATTAGAAAAGAAATACACTCCCTGCCTTCCTCTGCTCAGCTGCCATAACAAAGTACAGCAGACTGGGGCTTACACAGCAAAAGTGTGTTCTCCCACAGCTATGCAGGCTGGAAGCCCGAGACCATGGTGCCAGTGGGCTGGTTTAAGTAAGGCCTTCCTTCCTGGTTGCAGACGGCTTTTCTTCTGCTTGTGTCCATCAGGAGAGAGTGCTCTGTGCGGCTCCCTCTTCTTATAAAGACTCTAATCCTGTTGGGTTAGGGCCCCACCCATATGACCTCATTTAACCCCAACCACCTCCTTAGAGACCCTGTCTCCAAATACAGTCTTTCTGAAAATTTCGAATGATACACAAGGTTATGTAAGGAAAATGATCCCCACTGTGCCCTGGACCCCCAGTCCTGCTCACTGGCGGTAATTGGTTTTCTGGGTGGGCTCACAGACAGGTCAGGATATTCCACCGTGTCTGTGTGAGGTGCCCAGCACCGCCAGGAGCGGGTGTTGCTAGTCTCATCCTCATCTGTGTTAGCACGGCGCTGTGTATCTCGGAGTATTGGTCTCCTGTCATTGAGATTTCACAAGCGAAGCCTCAGTGCCGTTTTGTCAGTTTCCCTTTGAGAACAAACTGCTCTTTGACCTTCAGGCATTATTTTAATAGATTTTCTGATAGTGAAATGTTTTTATTGCTGTTTTGACTCTCACCTTGATGGCAGTGTAAGATGTGTTTAATATGACACTGGATTCTGCTGCCAATATGTTCAGGGTTTTTGCATAAGAATGTTTAAGGCTTTGATTGTGCTTTTATTTTGGGGGCTGTCTTTGTCAGGTTCTGGTACCAGTTCCGTGTTAGTCTTGTAGAATCCACTGGCAAGCCTTCCTTCTTTCTCTGCTCTGGAGCAGTTTATGTGGCCGGAATTCACTGCTTCTTACAAGCTCAGCAGACTCCCCTGGAGTCCGTCGGGGCCCGGGGCCTTTTTTGGGTAGAAGCTCTTCATTTTCTATCCTGATGATTTCTTTGTGGCATTGATGGTGGTCCTGCAATCTGTCTGAGATCAGATTGGTGTTTTTTTTTTTCCTGCTAGAAAATGACCCACTTCTTTTAGGTTTTCGCATCTGTTCGTTGTCCCAGGCAAGCTGTGCCTGGCCCCCGAGAAAGACGTGACTGTGGCCGAGATTTACGTGTTTGCGGTTCTGCTCTTCGTGATTCCAGGGTATTTAAGCTACCCTGTGGGAAGGTGCTTTAAAAAGTCCAAAATGGAAGCTCACACTTGACCATGTCTGTAATTTAAGAAGATAAACTGATTTTTTTTTTTTTTTTTATAAAGATGGGCATTTGGGAAACTTCCAAAACCACTTACAGAAAGTGCCGCTTTGTGTGTGAGATGGACGAAGTGAGCTCTATCTCTGGGAATTGTTTCCAGGCTGTCTGACCAGCAGGGAGCCTGTGTCCCTACGTGGCCTGAGTGTGTCTGCAGCCCAGGTGCCTTCCTGTTCTCACAGACCCTCAGCGTCTGTTCAGCAGCCTTTCCTCCTTGCTTTCTCTGTTACAAGACACGGTGCGGGTCCCTGAGGAGCTCATAGCCATGGCTCTGGCAACAGACCCTGTGGTAGAATTTTTCTTCATAGGAAGGGGCTTGGATGGGGTCAGGTAGGACTGAGGAACCCTGAGCTGCCTGGAGTGTAACAGGATCTGCAAATGTTGGTGCAGGAGCCACTGGTATCCCACTTTCTGGATGTTTCTACGTGTGTCCAGAGTGATGGGCTTATAACCCCGTGTTCAGGGTGCTGTTGAAAACGCAGGTCGCAGGGCTCGTCCCCCGGGGACAGAGGTTGAGAAGATGTGCGCCGCGCTCAGGGCCTTCACCCCTGGGGAGCCTGATGCTCGGGGGACCGCGGCAGGGGCTCTGACTGTCCACCGCTCACAGGTGCAGGGCGTGAGCCTCCGGTCCCTCTACAAACGCTCATCAGGCCAGGTCGCCTTCACCATGGACCCGGTCCGCGATCTTCTCATTTGGGCCATCGTGCAGAACCGCCGGGAGCTGGCAGAAATCATTTGGGCTCAGGTAACCAGACATGTGGCTGTGAGTGGGCCAGTGACAGGGAGCCTGGCCGGCGAGCCCAGCACTGACAGCAGGTGGGGTGGCCAGAGCCGTGGAGGGAGGGCAGTGGGCGTCACAACACCTGGAGGGACTCGGGGTGTCCAGTGTTGAGAACAGAGGGTTTAGCTCTAGGCAAGGAAATAATTGGTTAAAAGGCAAGACACACAAACTCCTGCAGGTCTATGCAGGGAGGAGGCTGGCCAGCAAGAGCCATCCTCCGTGGCCCCCGTGGGTTCTGGGGGTCAGCGTCTGAGCTGTGGCCGTTCCGTTCAGAGGCTGCAGGGCGGGATCTGTCCCGGTAGGACAGATCCATTGGCTGTTGCGTCTCTCCATTGGCTGTTGGGGATCCCAAGGAGACCATCTGTTGTGTGGTTGGGAGCAGGCCCTGGTGCCCCTGCCTGAGCCTGGCTCCAGCTGATTCTCCTCTTTAGGGGAAGGTAAAATTTAATAAGTGTTTCTCAGAGAGGCCCCTGTTTTTAGGGATTTCCAAATTGCTCTCGAGGAGTTAACTCTCTCCCCCGTTGTCACCAGCAGCGTGGCATTGGTGGTGGTCCTGGGAGGCTTGTCCTCTCCCGGGGGGCAGGGTGGTCAGTGCTGGGCTGGGCCGGGCCTGACTGTGGCCTCAGGTGCTCCGTGGGGCTTGCGGGTGGAAGGCCAAACGCAGACTCCCAGGCTCTGACACCAGCCCTCATGCTGGGCCGGTGCTGCCCGTAGACCCAGCACCCCCTTGAGATGTTCTCAGTCGCCCTCTGGGCCTGGGCCTGGCGGTACCACTGAGGCAGGGAGCCCTGAGCCCGGACGGAGACCTGCAGGGCCTGGTCCTGTTTCTCCCCATTGGTGTTCTGGCCCTCAGCACCACACCCGGGGTTGACCAGATGCCCTGGGAACCTGTGCCTCCCGCCAGCAGTGCTGGGCTGGCGCCCTGTGTCCAGTCTGTGTTTGGGTGGGTAGGTGGCTGCCTGGCAAGAAGACCACTTCCACTGGCCAGTGCAGGAGGCTGGGCCTCAGAAACGGTATCTGTGTTGATGTGGGTGATCCAGATGGTCTATAAGGAGAGGGGCCACAGCAGGCAACGCCCAGGGGCCCCTGCTGCCCCAGGGTCTCTGCTTTCATCACCCCGGGCAGTGTGCCTGTGGGGCCCTGGCTGGACCCCACGGGCCCTGACGGTGGCTCCCCTGGCCCAGAGCCAGGACTGCATCGCAGCGGCCTTGGCCTGCAGCAAGATCCTCAAGGAGCTCTCCAAGGAGGAGGAGGACACGGACAGCTCCGAGGAGATGCTGGCCCTCGCCGACCAGTACGAGCTCAGAGCCATCGGTGAGTCAAGGGCCTGGCCTCCTGCTCGCTCAGCACCTGAGTCGCCCTGGGGTCCTCGTCCCGGGTCCCAGCCCCTCAGTGTCACTCTGTGTCACCCCGAGGTCCCTGCCCAGATTTCAGCTCCACTCCTGTCCCGCCTGTGCCATCCAGAGGGGGTGCTTTGTGGGGGCCCTGCTGCTGTGACAGGGTCCCCCTCTCCGCAGGCGTCTTCACTGAGTGCTACCGGAAGGACGAGGAGAGAGCACAGAAACTGCTCACCCGGGTGTCAGAGGCCTGGGGCAAGACCACCTGCCTGCAGCTGGCCCTGGAGGCCAAGGACATGAAGTTTGTGTCCCACGGGGGCATCCAGGTGACCGGAGGGGGGCCGGCTCCCAGAAGTAGCCGCCCTGGTGCTGGCGTGGAGAGGCGGCCTCCGCTCAGTAGAGGGCGCACGTGTTCACCAGGCTCAGGTCCCTTGGGACCAGGGATGGTGCCCGACCCCGGAGGATCCCCCCCCCCCCCCCCCTCCCCGTTTATGGGGAAGGAAACTGATGCTAAATGAGAGGCGGGAGGCGAGTCACCTCCACACAGGGTGTTCCTACCTGGAACACTGACCCCCTCGTGACCCCAGGGGCCAGGCGTCAGTCCCCCACCTGGGGCCTCGGGAGAGGGCAGAGAGCCATGAGCAGGGAGAGTTTGGCAAGTGCCTTCAGAACACCAGCGTTTCCTTGAGCATCGCTTTGTGCTGTCACCATGTCCGGGGAGCATTATCATGCCCGGTGCTGTGCTGGGGCCTGGGAAGACAGTGGGGAGGAGTCCTGTCCCTTCGCCCCCCCCTCCCCCGCCGCCTCCACACAGTGCTCAGAGGGGCCAGCTGTTGAGAGCTGGGAGGATGGGCCCTGAGCCAGAAGCCAGGGTATGGGCCCCCTTTCTCTGCCCTTACCTCTGGGAGAGCCCAGCCTGGCCCACCTGGAGCCGCTCCTCAGCCGGCAGGTGGCAGACCTGCCCTGTGCCACCCACTGAATCTTGTGGTTGGAGGGGCCCAGAGGGCACTGTGTTGGAGCAAGTGGACTCCCCCTCAAGGGTGGGGCACAGGGAGCCCCAGGTCAGGATGGGGTGAGGGGCCCACTGTCCTGAAGCTGGGCCCTCTGTCCACAGGCCTTCCTGACCAAGGTGTGGTGGGGCCAGCTCTCCGTGGACAACGGGCTCTGGCGGGTGATCCTGTGCATGCTGGCCTTCCCGCTGCTCACCACCGGCCTCATCTCCTTCAGGTGCCACCCGGCTGCGGGGTTGGGGAGTGCAGGGCTGCGGGGCTGCGGGGCTGCGGGGCTGGGGGCTGCGGGGCTGCAGGGCTGCGGGGCTGTGGGCTGCAGGGCTGTGGGGCTGTGGGCTGCAGGGCTGTGGGATGCAGGGCTGCAGGGCTGTGGGGCTGGGGGCTGCAGGGCTGCGGGGCTGGGGGCTGCAGGGCTGTGGGCTGCAGGGCTGCGGGGCTGGGGGCTGCAGGGCTGTGGGGCTGGGGGCTGCAGGGCTGCGGGGCTGGGGGCTGCAGGGCTGTGGGCTGCAGGGCTTCGGGGCTGGGGGCTGCGGGGCTGCGGGGCTGGGGGCTGCGGGGCTGGGGGCTGCAGGGCTGCGGGCTTGTGGAGCTACAGGATGCGGGGCTGCAGGGCCGCGGGTGATCCCAAATGCCCTCACCAGGGGCAAGTTGCATGTATTCTCAGGGCTGTGACTGGATCCTAGGTGGTGGGGATGCATTCAGACAGGAGGCAGAGGGAAGGGCCTCACCTGTGCCTGAACACCTGCTGTCCCTGAGCACCCACCTGCCCTGGGCACCCACCTGCCCTGGGCACTCACCTGCCTGATCACCCACCTACCCTGAGCACCCACCTGCCCTGAGCACCCACCTGCCTTGGGCACCCATCTGTCCTGGGCACCCACCTGCCCTGGGCACCCATCTGTTTTGGGCACCCACCTGCCCTGGGCACCCATCTGTCCTGGGCACCCACCTGCCCTGAGCACCCACCTGCTCTGGGCGACCATCTGTCCTGGGCACCCACCTGCCCTGAGCACCCACCTGCTCTGGGCACCCATCTGTCCTGGGCACCCACCTGCCCTGAGCACCTGCCTGCCCTGGGCACCCACCTGCCCTGAGTGGCTGAGGACCTGCTACAGCTCCGGGAACCAGGCTCCAGGCTCTGTTGGGGTCCTTGCTCTTCGGGGAGTCTGGTGGGGCCTCTGCTGTAGCTGTGTGTGCTGGGCTATAGGTCCGTGTCCGCCCTTCCCTGCCACATGGTGTGCGCACATGCAGGGACTCCCTGAGCACGTGGGCCTGGGCCAGGGTGGCTCAGGTCCTCAGGCTGCCAGCCCCTCACGGCCTCGCTGTCGCCGCAGGGACAGGAGGCTGCAGGCGGTGCGGGGCCTGGCCCGGGTCCGCGCCTTCTTCAACGCGCCCGTGGTCATCTTCCACCTGAACATCCTGTCCTACTTCTCCTTCCTCTGCCTCTTCGCCTACGTGCTCATGGTGGACTTCCAGCCCTCGCCCTCCTGGTGCGAGCGCCTCATCTACCTCTGGCTCTTCTCCCTGGTCTGCGAGGAGCTGCGGCAGGTGCGTCCACCCCTCCCTCGCCGTCCTCGGGGCTGGGGGGGTGTCTCCCTGCCCACTGGTCCCCTCCCACCTGCCACGGCCACTGTCTCACGTGGCCCTTGAGCCACGTTGCTCACACTGTAAACGTCGCCACCTGTCAGGACCTGAGCAATGGAAGGAGGTGCGGGCGACGTGGTGCTGCCGCCCTGTGTGCCAGCCTCCCTTCTGCCCTCCTCTCTTCACGGCCTCCTGCAGCCAGACCTTCCCAGGAGGGGCCAGGCTCACAGGGGCCGCCCCACAACCGAGGGCACACCCTTCTCCCCCAGTCAGTCCGGTGGTCCGGTGGACCTGGTTGTTCCCATGGGGCTGCCTGCCCCACCCTGCAGCTGCCTGGGTCTGGGGCCCGGCACCCAGAGGAGGGTGTGGGGACCCCTGCCAGGCTCTCATGGTCACTCCAGGGTCTCCCCCTCTTGGAGCTGCACCTGGAGTGCTCAGTGGCACCTCCTGCCCAGGCCCCTCTCCTGCTGCTCCTGACCCAGGGCGCTGGGAATCCGCCCCTCCCCAGTAGCCTCGCTCTCCGGAGGGAGCGAGCAGTTCAGTTTGGGGGCGATGGGAGGGCGGCAGCCAGGCCCCCATCGCGACCCTCTCGCAGCTCCTCTACGACCCTGACGAGTGCGGGCTGGTGAAGATGGCGCTCCTGTACTTCAGCGACTTCTGGAACAAGCTGGACATCGCGGCCATCCTGCTCTTCACAGCCGGCCTGACGCTCCGGTGAGCGGCCTCTCCCCCAGGCGCCCGCCACAGGGGTGGGCTCGAGCCTGGACCAGAGCCGGCCGCCCTCGGGGGCTTAGCTGCCTCTGAAGGAGTCTGTCGTCTGTCCAGGGGGCGACCCTGCCCACCTGGGGATGGCTGCCACGTGCACGGTCCCCTTTCTCCGTGAAGCTGAGGGACCCCGCCAGGCTCCTGTCCCGGGGTGCCTGCACAGCCTGGCTACCTGCCCGGGGCTGGGCTTCTAGATCTTTCTGGAGAATAAGCGCCACACCCCACGGGAGACTCGGTCCCCTGAGCTCACACCCGGTTTTTAGCACTTCAGGGCCCAGGAGTCGCTAGAGCCCTTTGCCTCCAGGGCCCACACAGGGGCACGGGCAGGTGAGAGGGCGGCTGGGGACAGGCTGTGGGAGCAGCAGGCTGAGGTCCCTGACTCTGCCCTGGCCAGGCTGATCCCGGGATTGCTGTACCCCGGACGCATTGTCCTCTCTCTGGACTTCATCATGTTCTGCCTCCGGCTGATGCACATATTTACCATCAGTAAGACGCTGGGGCCCAAGATAATCATCGTGAAGCGGATGGTAAGGAGATGAGGGGCCTGATGCCAGTTGCAAGTGAGGCGTACCAGGGCTTAAGCATACATACACCCAGCGCCCCACATCCCTGCTTGGCCCTGGGCTCTCACCTTCTGGCACACCTGTCTCAGGTCTTTACCTGTATATCACCTCTTCCAGGCAGTCCTCCCTGATTGCCACAGCACATTCCTGATCCCTGTTACAGCTCCTATTGATCCCCTCTGTGGGTCACAGTCACATCCAACCCCTCCTACACACTGGGGTGTGCTCAGGACCCCATTAGCACATGGCAGCAGTCCCCCAGGGCCGTGTCCCCGGAGCGCCTGCAGGGTGGGTGTCGGCTACTTCTCCCTCCACTGCAGGGTTCACAGACAGGCATGGAGGGTGGGGTCTGCCTGCTGTCAGGGAGAGCAAGGCGTGTGTGGGGCTGCAGCCAGTGCCGCCTTGTCTCTGCAGATGAAGGATGTCTTCTTCTTCCTCTTCCTGTTGGCCGTGTGGGTGGTGTCCTTCGGGGTGGCCAAGCAGGCCATCCTCATCCACAATGAGAGCCGGGTGGACTGGATCTTCCGGGGGGTCGTGTACCAGTCGTACCTCACCATCTTCGGGCAGATGCCGGCCTATATCGACGGTAAGACGAGGTCCTGACAATGGTGGGAAAGGAGCCCCCATGCCAGCAGGGGTCCTGGGAGGAGGGGAGGGCGGGTATTCCCCTCCTGCCCAGTACTGCTCCTGGGTGGGAGCTCCCGGGGTTCCACTGGGGAAAGAACGGGCAGGTGCATACACTGCCCAGCCGAGCGGGGAAGGCACCAGCCGGGGTGGGGATGGGTGCTGAGCTGCACCTCCAAGCTTCAGCTGAGATCCGGGCGGACCGAGGGCGTGGCCTGGGGCACTGGGCATCGGTGCCACCCCCTCCCCAGCATTAGTGCCATCGTATTCCTTCTCTTCCACCCCAGTCAGAAATAACTTCCTCCCTCCCAGGTGGAAAGAGCACTTTTTGTATACTGAGTTTTTCCTTTATTTACTAATTTTAGAATCTAAAATGTAGGATCTAGTTTTACATTTGCAAATACCCACTTACCTTTAGAATCTGATTTAACGTTTGCATCACCCCAAAAAGACACCCACACAAGTTAGCAGTCACTCCCCATTCCCTCCTCTGCTCAGCCATGGGGAACCTTCTTTTCATCTCTGTAGAGGGTTTTTGTGGACATTGTATGTAAATTGGATAACGTGACATGTAGTCTTTTGTGTCTTGCAGAATGTTTCCAGGATTCGTTCATATCCTAGCCTGTGTTAGTATTTCACTCCTTTTTCGTGGCTAAATAATATTCCATTGTGTGGCTAGACCACGTTTTGTTTCTCCCTACGTGGGTGAGCATTAGAGTTGTTTCCCCTCTTTGGCTACTAGGAACAGCGTCGCTATGAACAGTTATGTATGAGTTTTTGTGTTGACATATGTTTTTATTTCTCCTGGATATATACCTACCAGCAAAACTGCTGGGTTAATGGTAACTCCGCGAGAAACTGCCAAACTATCCCAGGCGCCTGCGCCGTTTTTATCCTGCCAGCCGTGCTCGAGGCGCCGTGTCTCCGCCTCTTCGTTGACACTCGTCACTGGCCGGCTTCTTGTGTCCCAGCAGCTCTGGTGGGTGTGAAGTGTGTCTCGCTGTGGCTTTGGTGTGCATTTCCCTGATGGCCGATGATGTTGAGCACCTCTTCATGTACTTACAGGGCCATTTCTGTATCTTCTTTGGAGAAATACCTATTCCTAGCCTTTGCCCATTTTCCAAGTGGGTTGTCTTTTTATTAAGTTGTTAGAGTTCTTTACATACGGATACCACCCCATTCCATCGATCTGTAAGTCTGTCCTTGTGCCAGTATAACACTCTCTTGGTTTCTATAGCTTTACGTTAAGTTTAAAAATCAGGAAGCTTGAGTCTGCCCTTCAACTTTGTTCTTCTTTTTCAAGATTGTTTTGGCTTCTGGGTCCTTTGGATCCTTATGAATTTTTGGATCAGCTGATCAATTTCTAAAAAGAAAAAAAAAGGCATCTAGGGTTTGGATTGTGAACGTGGAATGTCTTTCCACTTAGGTCTATAATTTCTTTCAATACCATTTTGTAGTTTTCAGTGTATAAGTCGTTCTACTTTTATTAAATTTATTCCTAATGGTTTTATTTTTTTTCCATACTGTTGTAAATAGAATGGTTCTATTAATTTTGTTTTGGATTATTTGTTGCTCCTGTATAGAAATACACTATATTTTTGTATCCTGAAGTCTTGCCAAACTTTTTTATTAGCTCAAGTAGATTTTGTAATGGGTTGCTTGGGATTTTCTCTATAGAAGATCATGTCTTCTGCAAATAGAGATACTTTCATCTGTTCCTTTCCAATCTGGATGCCTTTTATTTCTTTTTTTGCCTACTTATCCTGCTACAATCACTGGTACAATGATGAGTATAAGTATTGAGAGCACATCTCTTTATCTTGTTCTGGATCTTAGGGGTGGGAAGCTTTCAGTTAAGTAGGATGTGGTGGGTTTCCTGTAAATGTCCTTTATCTGGTTGAAGAAGTTCCCTTCTATTCCTGGTTTCTTGAGTGTTTTTATTATGAAAGGATGTTAGATTTTGTCAAATGCCTTTCCCGCATCTATTGAAATGTTACTATATTCATTGATTTTTAGATGTCAACCAACTCAAGGTTCCTGGGATACATCTCACTGCGTCATGGTGTATATTCTCTTTACATGCTGCTGGGCTCCGCTTCCTAGCATGTTGTTGAGGGGTTTTGCATCTATATTCACAAAGAGTATTGGTCTGTAGTTTCCTTGTCATGTTTTGTCTTCTTTTGGTATCGGGAGATGCTGGCCTCATAGAGTGACTTAGGACTCCAGATTCATTCCCTTCCTTCTTATATTTTGGAAAAGTTTGTGAAAGATTTACTTTAATTCTTCTTTCAACATTTGGTAGACTTTACCAGTGAAGCCATCTGGGCCTGAATTTTTTTGTGTGTTAAGTTTTAAAATTACAAATTCAATCTTGTTACTTGTTGTAGGCCTATTTGTATTTTCTGTTTCTTCTTCAGTTGGTAGTTTATGTCTTTCTAGGAATATGTCCATTTTTCTAAGTTACCTAATTTGTTAGCATACAATTTTTTGTAGTATGTCTTTATGGTTCTCTTTATTTTTGTAACATTAGTAGTGATGTCCTCTCTTCATTTATGATTTTAGTAATCTGAGCCATTCCCCCCCCCTTTGATCAGTATAGATAAAATCAGTATAGATAAAGGGTTGTGATTTTGTCGCTCATTTTCAAGAACCAGATTTTGGTTTTGTTCATTTTCCTTGTTTTTAAAATATATATTTTATTTTGTTTGTTTGCATCCTGACCTTTTTTACTTACTTCTGCTTGCTTCGGATTTAGTTTGCTTTTCTCTTTTTAGTTCACTGAGGTGGAAGGTTACGTTATTATTTTGAGCTCTTCTTTTTATATAGATATTTATAACTATTATAGTGAGTTTCTATCTCAGAAAATTAGTAACACTTTCAAAAATATACTTGATTACAAAAAAACAGTGCATATTCATTATTGAAAATTTTTTAAAATTCAAGCTAAGTACAAAGAAAAATGTGGTCCCTAATCCACATCCCAGAGCTAACCACTGTTAACGACTTTGTGTGCTTCCTTAGATATTTTTCATGCACAACTGAAATTTGAGTTTTATGGAATGTCCTCTTCTCTACCAGCGTGGCACTGCATCTGGCTGTGACCACCTGCTGCCAGTCCATGGCCTCTGCAGCCGTGTTTTCTCATCCTCCTTCTCTTTTCACTAGTTGTTAATTTTCTCCTTTTGAATCCTCTCCACCGCATGGGGCTCTCCAGGCTGGGACCCGTGTGTTAGCAATGACGGTGCCCTCCCGGAGCCAGCCTTGCCTGGGGCTGGGAGATGCTGGTGGGGAGGGCTGGTCCTGCGCAGGGTCTTGTGCCAGCCTGCAGAGGAGGCCGGCTCGGGGGGCTTCCCTTGGCAGCCACACATCCTGCCCCCAGGGGATGCCTGGGTGCAGACGGACGCCTCTCTTTGGGGCTGAGCCGCCCGCTGCGGTCACCCCGATGTGCAGGTGCCCAGGCCTGTGCCTGCACAGTTTAGCATACAATTTGTTCCCTGTCCCCACCCCATGCCAGGCGTGAACTTCAGCCTGGACCAGTGCAGCCCCAATGGCACCGACCCCTACAAGCCCAAGTGCCCTGAGAGCGACGCCACCCGGCACCGGCCCATCTTCCCCGAGTGGCTGACGGTCATCCTGCTCTGCCTGTACCTGCTCTTCACGAACATTCTGCTGCTCAACCTGCTCATCGCCATGTTCAAGTGAGTGCCGCTGGGGCTCGCCCAGCCAGCTCACTGCCCCCGCCCCCCGCCGTCACTGCCATCAGTGCTGATGGACCCTGAGCTGGGACCCAGGGCACAACACTGAGGTGCCCCGTTCAACCCAGGCTGGACTGTGCCAGCCACTCTCCCTGGCCACTGTCTGGGGCCCTGCTGTCTGTCCGGGGCACTGCTGTCTGTCCGGGGCCCTGCTCTGTGTCCGGGGCCCTGCTGTCTGTCCAGGGCCCTGCTGTCTGTCCGGGGCCCTGCTGTCTGTCCGGGGCACTGCTGTCTGTCCGGGGCCCTGCTGTCTGTCCGGGACCCTGCTGTCTGTCCGGGGCACTGCTGTCTGTCCGGGGCAGTGCTGTCGGTCCGGGGCCCTGCTGTCTGTCCGGGGCACTGCTGTCTGTCCGGGGCCCTGCTGTCTGTCCGGGGCCCTGCTGTCTGTCCGGGGCACTGCTGTCTGTCCGGGGCCCTGCTGTCTGTCCGGGACCCTGCTGTCTGTCCGGGGCCCTGCTGTCTGTCCGGGGCACTGCTGTCTGTCCGGGGCCCTGCTGTCTGTCCGGGGCACTGCTGTCTGTCCGGGGCCCTGCTGTCTGTCCGGGGCCCTGCTGTCTGTCCGGGGCACTGCTGTCTGTCCGGGGCCCTGCTGTCTGTCCGGGGCACTGCTGTCTGTCCGGGGCCCTGCTGTCTGTCCGGGGCCCTGCTGTCTGTCCGGGGCACTGCTGTCTGTCCGGGGCCCTGCTGTCTGTCCGGGACCCTGCTGTCTGTCCGGGGCCCTGCTGTCTGTCCGGGGCCCTGCTGTCTGTCCGGGGCACTGCTGTCTGTCCGGGGCCCTGCTGTCTGTCCGGGACCCTGCTGTCTGTCCGGGGCACTGCTGTCTGTCCGGGGCAGTGCTGTCGGTCCGGGGCCCTGCTGTCTGTCCGGGGCCCTGCTGTCTGTCTGGGGCACTGCTGTCTGTCCGGGGCACTGCTGTCTGTCTGGGGCACTGCTGTCTGTCCGGGCCCTGCTGTGTGTCCGGGGCACTGCTATTGGGGACCAGTGGTCTGGTCATTCAGCTGTGAGCCAGGCTGCGGGAGGACATGGTGGCTGGGGGCCGGCAAAGGCTCACTCCTCCCTGTGCCTGGGGTCAGGGGGCTGTAGGGGGTGGACTCCAGGTTCATGGTCAAGGAATTGCTGGGCGTCTCACAGAGAAGTCACCTCCCCGAGGGGCCGGGCACAGCCACATGCGGGGGCAGCGGGATTCGCACGCAGGTGCTCGCGCAGTCTCGGTGCCCTGGGAGAAAGCACTGTTCCGCAGGGTGTTTGGTGCATGAAGTAAGGTCCCGAGGGGGGAAGCTTTTGGCGCAGGCCTCCCACTGTGCAGAGGAGGGACGCTGGGCGGGCGGCGGCTGTCGGAGGCCGTCCGGGTGGAGGAGTGCGTGTCAGCACAAGTGACAGTGCTGCTCCCGGGACTGGGCCCTGGCTTGGTCAGGCCCCTTCCTCTTCCCCTTCGTCAGCCAACTTGCTGAGGTTGTCACTTCTGATTTGCTGTGACAGACCCTGAACATGTGCTGGGACTCGATACGAGCCCCTAGGGGACCAGTGGGCGGGGCTCAGCCCGTAGCACGGAAAGCAGGTGCCTTTCTGAGTCAGCGGGTCTGCCTGTTGCAGACACCGTCCCTTCGTTTGTCGGACTGAACCGATACACTCCTTTGAGAGTTCAACACCATGACAGGGTCCCCCTCCCACGATGTCCGCTTGCTTTTATCACCAACGAGGCGCACACACCATGATCCTGGTGTTCTTTCCTGCTCCCCTGGCCTCGCAGGCAGCTCGGAATTCTCCGTCCGGCTGCTCGGCTGTCTCTTTCTGCCCCTCGAGTCACCCTGGGAGGTGTGTGTCTGTTCAGGGGCCGTCACCGGCCCCCGGGGCAGTGAGATGGCGTGTGCTTGTTCTTGCCTCGTTGCCCTGCATCTGGTCATTCTCTGCAACTGGCGTGCTCCTTGCCTCCCGCCAGCTACACGTTCCAGCAGGTCCAGGAGCACACGGACCAGATCTGGAAGTTCCAGCGCCACGACCTGATCGAGGAGTACCAGGGCCGGCCCCCGGCCCCGCCCCCCTTCATCCTCCTCAGCCACCTGCATCTCTTCATCAAGAGGGTCATCCTGAAGATCCCGGCCAAGCGGCACAAGCAGCTCAGTGAGCCGCCCTCCGCCTCCCAGAGTGTCTGTCCTCGCGGGTCTTGGGGCCACATGTGGGCTTGGGGTGGCTATGGTGACTCCTTCTAGATGAGTCCTAGGAGCTTGGGAAGAACACAGACCATGCAGGGCACTGAGCTCCCAGCAGGCCCCTCGGGGTGGGCGTGGCTCAGGTGCAGGACCCTGGGAGGACCTGGGAGGGGGCTGGAGCCCCTCATGCATCCTCCCCACGCAGAGAACAAGCTGGAGAAGAACGAGGAGGCCGCGCTCCTGTCCTGGGAGATCTACCTGAAGGAGAACTACCTGCAGAACCAGCAGTACCAGCAGAAGCAGAGGACGGAGCAGAAGATCCATGACATTAGCAACAGGTACGGGAGGCCATTCGGTTCTGAGACATACCAGGGACATGGTCCTCCTGGGGGAGGCCCAGCAACTGGTCACCTGGAACGGGAAACCTCAGTGCCATGGCCTGAGCAATTCTCCCAGCTGACCCACAGCCCTCCCTCTGGGTCTTGGGAAGGCCACTGTGTGTGTGGAGCTGACCCTGAAAGGCCGGGGTGGGGTGGGGTGGGCTGGAGGAGGGACAGGTGGGCCCGCAGGAGGCCATCTGGAGGCCTGGAGGGTGGACAGTGAGCGCGCTGGCACGCTGCCAAGTCGCAGTTCCCATAGGGCCTCGGTAGCCCGCCCGACTCTCAGGCCCACTCAGCACATCTCAGTTCCTGCTCAGCTCTTCCCACCCCACTTGCTTCCAGGGTGCGAGGTCCGTGTTGGGGGAGAAGTCTGTCACTCCCTCTCTCCACCCGCCCTCAGCCCTGTGGGCACCAGAGGGCCTGGCTGCCTGGGACACGATGTGGAAGAGTTTGGTCCTGCTGCTTGTGTGTGTCTCGCTGTGGGCCAGGAGGAGGGGGCACGGGGACAGGTAGTCATGGCAGCTCCTGGCCCTGGCACAGTGGTTCCCACAGGCCGAAGAGAGGGCGTTCTGAGGAGCATGCCCCCCGACCTCTCCTTAGAGACGGGCAGCTGCCTTTCTCCATCTCTTGGCTCATCTGTGAAATGGTGACAGTGACAGTATCCATCGCCTGGAGTCACCTCCAGAACATGGGAGCACGTGTGACATGTGAGCACTTCCTGGGCTAGAGACGCCAGCACACACTGGCTGTGTGTGGCTTTATGTCACCGTTGCACAGGAGTGATGGTGATGGTGCCCCTTCATGGGCATCTTCTCTCCCTGAGGCGGGCGAGGGATTCCAGGCCCAGAGGCAGCTTGGCACCCGGGCTGAGCCGGCCCCGCTGCACCCACACCTCAGGGCGTACCTTGGTGGTGGGGACAGTTCCTGTTTGTCACAGGGACTGAGTCACAGCCAGCCAATCGCATGCTGTCGCCTTCCCTCCAGTAGCCAGGTCGCACACTCACAAGGCTGGCCAGGATAGGGCGTGGAGTACTCACGTGGCTTTTTAGAAATTAATCAACACGTAGCGAGGGCGCAAGTTAACTGCCGGGCCCTCAGTGAGGTAATTGTCTCCCCTTTCTCGCGATAGCCTTTCCCAGTGGGCTGCAGCCCGGCTCAGTGTGCGGTGGCTACTAAAAGGGTTGCCCATGTTATTAAAGAAGAACAATGTAGGGCTGGCACCGAAGGAGACAGGAAGTGAAGACCCCTGGCCATCAACAGCCAGAGAGTCTGGGTGGACTGGGCGGTGGAATTATTTCACCCATAAACATAGCCAGCCAGAGTCGGGCGAGATTCCCACATTGTAGCAAAATAAGACAAAACCCAAGCAACCGTTCCCCAAATGACAGCACCGCCCAGCAGGAGCTTTGTTGCGTGTGACTTAGGTTCTGGAGCTCATGGCTGAGGTGAGGGGCTCAGGTATGTGTGCACCTCCCACCTGCATCTCTCGCCAGGATGCTCTGTGGGCCGTCAGAGTGGCAGTGAGAGCCTGAGGCATCTGCTGGCTAAGAGATCTCCCTCCTTGGGCCCCAGGCAGTCTATACAGAAATATCTGTACGAATAAAAGGGTAATGTGCTAATTAGACCTGGTGTCCTTCTGGTCAAAGCCACAGCAGCTCAGCGGCTGAGAGGCCCGGGGCTCAGTGAGCCATGAGCCCTAGCGGCTGCAAGGCCCAGGGCTCAGTGAACTGTGAGCCCCAGTGGATGCGAGGCCTGGGGCTCAGGCCTCGCAGCTGCAGCAGCCAACAGTGGCAGCAGCAGCAGGGTGATGGGGGCAGAGCCTTCCCCTGATCGGCCAGATTGTCTCCCGCAGAGGGAGGCCAGACTGTGGCTTAGGCCTGTTCCCTGTGGGGAGTGGGCCTAAGCCATCAGTAGGACATCCTCTGAGGGCTCCTGGACTGTGAGAGGGGGCAGGCTGGGCTGAGGGACCTCGCCCCAGTGCACGAATTTTCGTGCACTGGGCCTCTAATGTATATAAACACTTTCAAATTAAGAGGAAGATGCCTGAAATTAAGGCCGACAGAGCCCTGGCTGTTGACTCGGATGAGGCAGCCACGGCAAGCTGGCCCCGTGCTACCTCACCGTCCAGGCCCGCCAGGCTGAGCTGTGCACTCTTCCAGGGTGGACACCATGGTGGACCTGCTGGAAATGGACCGACTGAAGGGTTCAGGCTCCATGGAGCAGAGATTGGCCTCCCTGGAGAGGCAGGTGGGTTTTGGGCCGGGGCCTGCGTTTCTGGGGCACAGGTCCGACGGGCCTGGCTGGTTTGAGAATGAGCACCCTGGGAACAACCAAGATGAGGTGGGGAATGTGGGGCACCCGTTCCTCATGGGAAGAGGTGCCTTCGTTTTCCTCTGGAAAATTCCGCCCAGGTCCCCTGGCCGGGCTCCACACACTGTACTGCGAGCACCACCTAGGGGCCGGTCTGAGGAGTAAACCCTCGTCCCCTCCTCGGCCTCCTCCGACCTGTCCCCGGACCTGGGGGCTGTGGGCATCGCCCCAGCCCTGGCTGCCTCAGCCCTCCTGGCAGAGCTCTGCTGGCTTCCACGGCCGCCTGGGGAGCGCAGCCGTAGGGGTAGCCTGTGTGCGGGGCAGGTGCTGACCAGAGGCGGTCTGGGACTTTCTCGCAGGTGGCCCAGACGGCCAGAGCGCTGCACTGGGTCGTGAAGACCCTGAGGGACAGCGGCTTCAGCTCGGACGAGGGCGCCCCCTCCCTGGGTGAGTGGGTGGCTGTTCTTTTCAGCCTGGGGACTGTGGGGTGGAGAGGCACCGGGCAGGGCTCCTGCTGGGCCTGGAGGAAGGACCGTGGAGGGTCCCCGGCCTGTGGGCCAGATGCCCGAGCCGGGCCAGCTTTGCCCACGCTCGTGTGGCTGTCCCCAGCCTCCCAGCCGTCCTCGGAGGGGCAGGACCCGGAGCTGGACAGCAGGCAGAAGGCAGAGGACCTGGGCGACGCCCACCACGTGAACGCCCGGCACCTCCTCTACCCCAACTCCCCCATCGTGCGTTTCCCTGTGCCCAACGAGAAGGTGCCCTGGGAGGTGAGTGCTGTCCTGGCTGCACCCCCACCAGGCTCGGGGGCCGGGGTGCTGGGAGAGCTGTCCGGCCTGAACCCTCTGACCTGGCCGGGCATCAGGTGGGCTGGCCCACGCAGTTTCACAGGGACGTGCTGGACAGATGCGGACCCCGAGGCCCAGGTCCACACAGCTGGGGGTGGCGGGTCCACACAGCCTAGGGAGCCCCATGAGCCTCTGATCCACAGACAGCCGACCGCCCCTCACCTCTGGTCGCCCCACTTACCCGGGTCCCACTGTCCCCAGTGCATGGTCAGTGCCCCCTTTCCCGAGTGCCAGGTGAGCAGGAGCATCTGAGAGAGGGAACGAGAGGGAGACGTGGGTAATGGCATCCACCCCAACCTGCAGGCTTTGTCCCTGGCCCTCCCGGAACATTCCGGGCTGTTACCTCCATTGCCTTCTCTCTAGCCCTGCCTGTGGAAATCCTCACCTCTCAGGTCCAGCCAGACCCCTGCCTGACCTGGGAAGCCTCCCCTAGACACCAGTTCTGTCTCTGGCCCTGGGCCTGCCCAGCTCAGAGCTGCCGCGGGCACCTGGGGTGGTCTCAGGGTTGCGTGCTGTGTGCGCCTGGAGGAGCAGCCACCGCCACAGTCCTCTGGGTGCCTGGGCCTGCGCTGTGGACGGGTGACAGTCTGAGGGACCCCTGTTTTGTGCAGACAGAGTTTCTCATCTACGACCCCCCCTTTTACTCGGCTGAGAGGAAGGACAAGGACTTGGTGGACCCCGTGGGAAAGTGAGTGTGCTCTCCTCCCTCCCTCACACCCAGGGCCGGGGGTGGGGGTGGGGTGGGCCGGGAGATGTGGAGCAGGAGCCCACCCAGGGCGAGGGCCTGCTTCCTGCCGGCCGCTTTGCCCTCCCAGGGTCTGGGGACTTGCTGGGAGGGGCAGGGGGCTGGGGGCGCCTGTGGCCTGTGGGGCCTCCTGTCCTCTGCCTCTCAGGTGTGATCACCCAGCGCTCTGCCCTCCCTTCTCGCCCTCTCTGATCCGGGACCTGACTGCTTGTCCTCTCCCAGCGCCCTGGACCCTCTGTCCGGGATCACCTACAACGCCGTGGACGGGCCCACCGACCGCCGGAGCTTCCACGGCAGCTACGCGGTTCAGGACGGGTTCCCTCTGTGAGTGCGGCACTGTCCCCCCCACCCCCCGTCCCCCCCACGGTTCCCGGCCTCCCTGGGGCCTTTGGGGTGTTCCTTCTGGGGTCAGGTTTCCCCTCTTGGTGACTAGGCTGCAGCCCTTGGTGAAGGCTGGTGCATGCCAGCCAGGCTTCTGGGAGAAAGGGCCTCCTGCCTGGGGTGAGCAGGAGGAAGGGACCGGCTGGGGGCTGGGGGCCGTCAGAGTCCGAGGAGGACGACAGGTGGCTGGGGACGGGGGAGCCCCAAGGAGCAGGCGGAGCAGGGCCCGAGGGAGGAGGCAGTGGCGGCCTCAGCGAAATGCTCTGGAAAAGGTGTGCCAGGATCGAGAGGACAGGCTGGCCGCGGGGACGGGGACGGGGTCAGACCTGGGCGATGGGCTTTTCCCTCCTGTTCCAGTGGTGAATTCACATGAACCCACCCAGTGTCCAGCATTTGTTCTCTCTGAGAGGACCGGGCAGGGTGGAGGAGTTGGCCCTGGCCAGTGGGGACCCTCAGTCTCCGTGTCAGGGTCCTGGGCTCGGGGAGCAGGGACAAGCCATGTGCTCCCAGGCGGGGTCCACGCTGGTGACTCCTTCCTCTGGTGCCTGGCCCGGAACCCCCACTGCCCCTCCCCTCACACGTGTGGGTGGCACGATGGGTCAGTCCCGCCCTCGGGGCACAGGAAGGCCACTTGGACGCCTTATGCATCTGCAGTGGGACCAGACCTGTGCTCCCAAGAACACCCTTTTCTTTTCCAACTGACCCCCTGGTAACCTGAAGCCCCCGCCTCACCCCTTGGGGTCCCCACGGGCTGGTCCTCCCGGCGGCAGGCTGAGCAGACCCCTCTCCACCCCAGCAACCCCATGGGCCGCACTGGGCTACGAGGGCGCGGGGCCCTCTGCTGCTTCGGACCCAACCACACGCTGCAGCCTGTGGTCACTCGGTGAGTCCGCCAGTGATGAGGGCACCCACGCACCCCACGAGGGACTCACTTCCGGGCCCTTCCCATGCGCCCAGAGAGCCCCGAGGACAGCTCTCATTTGGTACATGCCTCACGGCATGACGCACCCCGAGACACAGGGCAGGAATGTCAGGGCCCCCTGGACCGCCCAGGCCCGTCCCCCATCCCCTCACAGCTCCCCTCATTTCTCTGTGGGTCCCCTCCCTGAGAGACCTGTGGGAGGAGGGACAAGGTGGCCAGGGCCCACTGCCACAGACGAACCGAAAATATGCAAAATGTGGCCCAGCCGGATCCCTAAAAAATATTCTCCAAAGGCTGGCCATGGCCGTGCTAGTCCTCCAGCGGCCATGGGAGTGGGGGCACACCCTGATGGTGCCGGACCGGAGCAGGTCCTCGGAGGACACAGGGCTGGGCCCCGGGAAGGCTGGGGGGCGGGGCTGGCACAGAGCCTGGGGAGGGCAGGTGTGAGCCCGGTCCCCCTGCAGGTGGAGGAGGAACCAGGACGGAGCCATTTGCTGGAGAAGCATCAAGAAAGTGCTGGAGGTGCTGGTGGTCAAGCACGACCTGGCAGAGCACTGGGCCTTGCCAGGGGTGAGCCACCAACTGCCCACGTGCCCCTTGCCACTCGTCCTTCATCCATCCGCCCGACTGAACGGCACCCACCTGTGGCCCCTGTCCCTGGTTCCTAATGACAAAGCCAGGGACTGGGCGGTGCTGCAGGTCTTTGGGCCCCAATCGATTCCAGGGCGCTGGGCGGCTCTAACCCTGCACCCCGAGCCCCATGGCTCCCACTTGAGGGAGCGTGGCTCTGAGCACCGGGCACGGGGGGTGTCTGCTGAGCCTGCACTGGTCCCGAAGTCCAAGGCAGAATGGACATGGCTGTGAGGGACTGTGACCAACAGGCAGGGTCCCCTAGGTGGGTGGGAACAGCGAGGGGTCGTGTCCATGGACAGGTGGCCTCGGGAGTGGCCGAGTTGCCGGGAGCCCAGCGTGGTGAGAGATGTGGTCTGAGGAATGCAAACAAACAATAAAAAACGGCCTCCCGATGGCGGCCGGGGGTGGAGGTCAGGGCGCTGGCGACCTTACAGGGAGCCGAGAGGCACCGGTGTCCGGCCTGCACTCCTCCAAGGCTGTGCCTGTGGCCTCACAGTCTGCTGTGGAGTGGGCTGACGTGGACAGTGGGCTCTGGGCAATGTCACTCTGGCCCCGAGACAGTCAGCCTGCCAGACGCTTGTCGGCCTGCGGCTCTGGGGGTCTGGCTGGCTGCCCGGCTGCCCATGCCGGGCAGGTGGCCAGTGGAGGTGGGTCCCCGGATGGCCTTGCGGACGAGCCTTGCCTCCCTCTCTGCTCAGGGCTCCCGGGAACCCGGAGAGACGCTGCCCCGGAAGCTGAAGCAGGTCCTCCAGAGAGAGTTCTGGCCTTCCTTCGAGAACCTGCTGCTGCAGGGCACGGAGGTAGGTGGCCTGTGTGTCCCGGGCCCCGCGGGGCGCTGGTGCTGAGGCTGCAGGATGAGCAGGGGACAGGGAGCCTGCTCCGGCCCCCATCTCCACGCTCCTGGAGGAAGGAGCTGGGACCAGGGGCCGGGCCGTGGCTGGGGGGCCCCTCGCCTCCCCTCTCTGTCCCCATTTCTTCTCTAAATTGATGGGGCTCGGCCTCTCCTTCCCACTCACCCTGGCCCTGTGCACAGCGGGCTCCCAGGGGCCCCTCAGCACTGGTGCCTCCCAGGGCAGAAGGGCTGGGGATGCTCGCCAAGCCCCGTCGGGAACGTGCAGCTGAGTTCTCACACACGTCAGGCCTGTTTGCCTTATTGAATCATTTCTTTTTATTTTTAAATGTATTTTTATTGGTTTCAGAGAGGAAGGGAGAGGGGAAGAGAGAGCGAGAGAAACATCAATGATGGGAGAGAATCATTGACCGGCTGCCTCCTGCACGCCCCCTACTGGGGATCGAGCCCACAACCCAGGCATGTGCCCTTGACCGGAATCGAACCTGGGACCCGTTAGTCCACAGGCTGACGCTCTAGCCACTGAGTCAAACTGGCTAGGGCTGAATCCTTTCTTAATTACAAAAGCAACATGTGTTTGCTACAGCATCAAAAATGCAGCCCGGTCCACGCTGAACATCAAAGCCATCTACCCGCACGTGCCCAGGTGCCACCGGGCACGGACACCTGTTTGCTTCTCATGCCCCCGGTGGCCCCTGGGCGTGTGAGGGTAGAGGTGGCTTCGAGGGTCACCGGGTGGGCTCTGTCTGCCGCTTTCTGTCCACACGGGAGCACACACATACTTCTTCAATAAGAACGGCCGCTGGCCTCGTTCTCTGCACCTTGCTTTTTCACGTAATCGGTGATGGTCATATTTCTGGGTTCATATTTGCAAGGTTTGTTTTTCACGACTATATAATGTCCTGCAGACTTTATGTATTTTGTGCCATGATTTGCTTAAACAGTCCTCTAGGTGGCATCTAAGTGGTCACCGGTCCTGTTTCTACGCATGTCGGGATGAAACAGGCGATTGCTGGTACTTACGGCTCTGACCTGCACCAGCTGGTCCTTATGGTTCGTCCCTGTCCCATGCTTTTACCTCTGGGACACTGCCGTCTCCCGTTTCCTTACTTTGTAAAAATAGTCAGTTTATCCAGGTGATATCCAAACAGCATAAAATTAACCATTTAAAGCAGACCGTTCGGTGGCATCTAGTACATCGACAGTGCTGTGCAACCATCACCTCTAATTCGAAACATTTCCATCACCCCAAAAAGAGCCCCCGCACCCCATCTGCGGTCACTTCCTTCCCTCCCCCAGCCCCTGGCCGCCTCATCTGTCTTCTGTCTCTGGGTTTGCCTGTTCGGGACATTTATATTCCGTGGAGCACACAGCATGTGGTCTCTGGCGTCTGGTTCACTGTAATGTTTTCAAGGCCCACTGTCATTTTTAACCCTCCGTGGACAGTCCGGGTGGACCCGGATGGCAGGCCAGAGGCCAGGAGGGACATGCGTGAGCCTGTGGGCTGCCTCAGGGTGCTGGTCAAGGCTGAAGGCTGGGGTGGCAGGAGCTGGGCAGGCAAGGGGAGGGCCAGGCCAGGGGCCTGGATGCCATGCAGCTGCGCTCAGAGTGTCCCAGGGTCCGCCAAGCTTGGGACGGGGAGGCCCTTGCTCTGGAGGAAGCCGGCAGGCTCAGGGTCGGTTGGGGGATCTGGCTCACCCTGCGCTGCTCTCTAGGTGTACAAAGGCTACGTGGACGACCCTCGGAACACGGACAACGCCTGGATCGAGACAGTGGCCGTCAGTGTGCACTTCCCAGACCAGAGTGACGTGGAACTGAAGAGGCTGAACTCTGTATGGGGCTTGGGCTGCAGGCTCCCAGGAGGGGAGGGTGCAGGGCTTGTAGGGAGGAATCTGATGGGCTGGCTCCTGGGCCAGGGCCAGAGCTGCTGGGGACCCTGAGATGGGGTCCTCCAGGAGCCCCCAGGCTTGCATTGGGGGCGGCTGGTTTATACACCTTTATGGGGATACTGTCGCCTGAATTTAGCTCAGTCCGACACGTCCCTAATCCAGACCTGGGACCACGAGGTCCCAGGGAGCAAACCCAGGCCGTCATCGGCAGGATAGAACCTCTGAGCAAGGAGCCTGCCCTGTTCTCGCCCGAGGGCTTTCGGGCTCCGCAGGCATTTTCTGAGCTGCTTCTGAAGTGGGTGTTTTTGCTCCCGTGTGATAAAAGCCCAGTTGAGGCCCAGAGATGGGGGTCAGAGCAACATTTGGGGTGCTGGGTGCTGGCGGCAACTCCGGGGTCAGGATGTGCCTTTCCTTGCAGCACCTGCACGCCTGCGACCCCGGGATGTCCGTCCGATGGCAGGTCGTGGACAAGCGCATCTCGCTGTATGCCAACCACAAGGCCATCCTGCAGAAGGTGGCCACCCTGTTCGGGGCCTACTACTGACCCGAGGGCTCAGCAGGGCCAGTCTGTCCCCAGCCCCTCGGAGATTGGGATGCAGCTGTGGACCTCGGGGAGACCAGGAGTGCAGCGTGATGGGGTTTGGGAACCTGCCACCCCTCAGCCAACTGGAGTCCCCCACCGGACGAGTTCGTGAACTGGCAAGGCGCTCTGAGAAGGGAGCCAAGGCCGGGGACAGGCTGGCCCGGTCACATGGCGTTTCCTTAGGATTGTGGTGGCCACGGGGACCCCGCCAGCCATCACTGCCTCTCCTGAGCCGGCAGGCAGCCGGTTGAGGGGCTGGAGCCTCCTGACAGCCTTGGCCTTTGGCCCGAGTCGAGTCTCCCCTGGTAACGCTGTCATGCACAGCGCACCCCCTGCCAGAGGTACATCGGTCCAAGGCCTGTGTCCCCTGGAGCGTTGGGGTTCCCGTGTGGCCTCCTCCTCAGGCCCATGCCTCCAAGATGGCCTCCACCGTGGCCAGACTCAGACCCTCGCCTGGCCTGGGGCAGGCCCTGTGGGAACCCCAGTTTACAGCCCGGGCCACCGTCAGGGCTGAGCAGGGGCAGGAGGCCTGTGAGTGCAGGCCTGCTCCAGAGACGCAGAGGGTCCCTGGCTGTGAGCCCATGGAGTGTGGGTGTGGATGGGGGCACCCCGTTTAGTGTCAGCGAGTCACAGACCATCAGCATAAGCCGTCAGGAGCATCAGGACCAGGAAGGTTGTCAAACCCGACGTTAAGTCTGCTGCCCGTGCCACCCGGCCGCCCCCTGCCACCCGGCCAGCTCTTCTGTGCCTCCTGCAAATAAAGTTCCAGAGGTGCAGTGGTCAGGAGCCGTGTCTGGGCCACCGAAACCTCTACCAACCCACGGCCACGCTTCCCGTGGCCCGAGGGCCTCTCCTGTGGCCGTCTCCCGTGTTTGTGGGCATGTGTGCGTGTGGATGTGTGTGCGTGAGTATGTGTGTGTGTGTATATTTGTGTATGTGTGTGTAGATGTGTCTGTGTGTGTTTCTGTGTGTAAGTGTATGTGTGTGTACGTGTATAGATGTGGATGTGTGTGTCTGTGTGAGTATATGTGTACATGTATAGATGTGGATGTGTATTTGTGTGTGTATGAATGGGTGTGTGAGTACATGTATATGTGTGTGTGAGCGTATGTATGTGTGTATATGAGTGCGTGTGAGGATGTGTGTGTGAGTGTGTGTGTGTGTGAGTGTCTGAGTGTGTGTGTGTGTGTCTGAGTATGTCTGAGTGTGTGTGTGAGTGAGTGTGTGAGTGTGTGCAGGGAGAGCTGGCAGAGGGGACAGGCCTGGACACCCCGGGAGCGATACTAGAGGAGGTGAAGGCAGCCCTCTGCTCTGCAGTGAAACTCAGCAGCCAGGACTGGGGGGCGGGGCGCAGTTGGTTCTGAAGGGCCCTGCGGGGAGTTCCGGGGGGCTGGTGCAGGCAGGGAGACTGCTCAGGCCCTGTGTGCCTGGGAAGCCTGGAAGGGGAACCATTGCTGGCCTTATTTTAGGTTTTCCAGTCTGGATTTTCAAGAGCAGGCAGAGAACCAGGAATTCTGGAAGAGCCAGGAATTCGGAGGTTTAGGAATTCTCTGAGTGTCGTGGGAGGTCAGTGTGGCCAAGGCTGGTGGGGACAGTTTTGCCAAAGGCAATCCATCCACAAAGGTTCTTGGCCAGCGTGGGGTCCCTGGCCTTGGCTTTTTGCTTCCCATGCAACAAGTGGGTTCTCGGCCAGCTGCCTTGTCCTGCTTCTGAGTTGGCTGCTCCGGCCCTGCCTGGGAGTTGGCTGACCTCGCGGTGCCCAGCAGCCTGGGCTTCTGTCTGAGGGTCCCCATGGGCAGGTGGGGACAGTGTGGAGCCTGGGTAGCAGAGGGCTGAGCCAGGCACAGTGGAAGGGCAGGAGGGGGAGCAGCCGGAACAGCCCTGGACACTGGCCATGGCCCAAGGAAGGGCCCCCCAGGCCACTGTTCGGTCTGTGTGGGGCGGGCAGTGTCTGGGCCTCCCCGGATGTTTGTTCATCTGTCTGATTTCATCCCCCCGGTGGTGCCGCACGCTCGGCTCCTCCTCCCTCCTCCCCCGAGAGCGGCACTCAGACCTCACCCTGCAAAACAGCCTCCCTGATGCGGAGGCAATTAACCAGCCGCAGAGCTGCATTCGCTCCCTGGGGCCACGATGCCGGATTCCGGGTGGATAAATAGGCCAGATCATCAGCGCAGAGTCCAATTACAGTAAGAAGGGTGGCCCGGTGGGCAGAGCACGTGGCCGGGATGGCATCGGAAGGTGCTGGTGTGTTTGGGAACACTGACTCATGGCCTGGAATGAACAGCGAGCTAGGCTCTCACAGGGCCCTGCAGCCTGGGCCTGGCCGGCAGCCAGAGCCTCTGTGGACCTCTGACATCATCACTAGTCAGGAGGCCACAGAGCCAGGGGCCGGGAGACGGCTCAACACAGCCTTACACGGGCACCTGGGACTGACTGATCCATCCACCCGTCCACGTGTACGTCATTCACACATGGACTCCCCTGTGAGCGGCCCGCCTTCGTCACTGCACACATGTGAGTGTGATCCGCTTGGTGGATTTTTTATGTTAACAAGCAGCACCCAGATCCAGATACATAACACCCACCCCAGGAGCCCCACCCCATCCCCATCCTGAGGTCCACCACCCTGCAGTGTTGCCTGCTCTTGAGCTTCCCATAAACAGAAGCACACAGTGTGAGCTCTGAGTGTCTGGCCCCTCCCACTCACACTGTCCTTCTCTTGGTGGTCACCATATACTTTGTTTAAATATTAAAAATATTCCATAATTTGGGGGCTCCCTTTGGCACCTCTTCAATTGCCCAGAAAATAACATACCTGCAGCCTGGGTCTGGCCGGGTGGCTACAGCTTCCTGGCTGACAGTATTTTAATCTCTTTAAAAGGCCGTTGGCTGTGTAAGGCAGAAAGAATAATGTCTGTGGGGTTCCCGCACATGTGGACATAAACCGTACGACCACAGCACAGCCCCCAGGGGTGCGGCACGGCTGCTGGGCTCTCACTGATGGAGTGGCCCAGGGTGGCCTGGCGAGGGACTGTGATGCCGGACGCTATCCCCCAAAGCAGGAAACAACACAGCGACCGTTACAGACAGGAGACAACTAAGGAGAGAAAATGGACCCAAAAATGTTCAATCCAAGGGAAGTCAGGAAAAGAGGACACGGGATCAAAGGGGAAGAAAGAGGCAGACGGACTGGCGCCCAACTGCCCCAATTATCCCTTCACAGGAGCTTTGAAGCAGGACGTCATCCGTGGGAAAGCGCGACCCGGAACGACCGGCCTTAGTGTCACTCGTTTTTCCACGAACGTCCTGTCTATTCGAGGCCCCACACTGCACTTAGCTCTTTCCCCTTCGTCTTTTCCAGTCCGGAACAGTGACTCAGGCCTTTCTTGTCTTACGACCGCTTCCTTCATTTTTGGAGCATACTCATCCGTCCTTTGTAGCCGTCTTTCAATGTGCGTCTGGAGTGTTCTCACGACTGCAGACTGTGCATCTGGGGCAAGAACACCACAAAAGTGATGCGGAGTCTTTCTCAGTCCATCGCATCAGAGGCTACATGATGGCTGGCTGTCTTCTTACTGACGATTTAACCTTGGTCACAGACTCAGGTGGCTTCTCCGCTGGAGGGTTGTTATTCTCACCTTTGTAGTTAACAAATATATTTAAAAAGATACTTGAACGCTATGGCAATCCCGAAGGAAGCTAAGTATCAGACGCTCGAGGTTAAAAGTACCATGGAAACAGGTAGCCCATGCTAACCTAATGAAAAGACGGCCGGGGTGGCTGTTAGAGTCAGACAGAACAGCGTTCAGGACAAAGAATCTGGGGGTAAGAAGGGCCATTTTACAATGATAAGGTGACCACTTAATCAGGAGGACATAATCTGAATATAGGCTTCCAAATGCATAAAGCAAAACAAACACAGAACTGCAAGGAGAAAAGGATTAATCTACAATCAGAGTCGGAGACTGCAACACCCATTCTCAATATGAATAGAGCAAGTGGGCAGAAAGTCAGTCATAATATAGAGGTGAATATCATACCATCAGCAGACGTGACCTCATCAACATTCTACTGAGCAACAATAGAACTCACGTTTAAGTGCACACATAACAATGATTAACAAAGGCCCTATTCTGGGCCATAAAATCAGTCTCAACAAATGTAAAAGGGTTCAAAACATACAGAGTATGTTCTCCAACAACAATAAATTTAAATTAATAAGTAAAAAACAGAAAGATCTCTGGAAAATACCCACATGTCTGAAAACAAAATAACACACTTCTAAATCCGTGGATCACAAAAAGAAAAGAAATCAAAAGGCAAATTAGAAAATATTTTTAACCCAATGAATATGAAAATACAACATATCGCCCTAGCTGGTTTGGCTCAGTGAATAGAGTGTTGGCCTGCGGACTGAAGGGTCCTGGGTTCGATTCCAGCCAAGGGCACATGCCCAGGTTGCGGGTTAGATCCTTAGTGGGGAGTGTGCAGGAGGCAGCCAATCAATGATTCTCTCTTATCATTGATGTTTCTATCTGTCTCTCCCTCTCCCTCTCTGAAATCAATAAAAAAAAAAAAAACAACGAAAATACAACGTATCAAAATTTTGGGGGTGCATAGAAAACAGGACTCTGAGGGAAATTTATAGCCTGTATTAAAGAAGAAGGCCTCAAATTAGTGACCAAGCTTCCGCCTTAAGAAACCAGAAAAAGAAGAGAAACTTAAACCCAATGTTAGCAAAAGAAAGCATACAGATCATAGTGGATAAAGTCAATAAAAAAGGGAAACAATAGAGCAACCAATGCAACAAAAAACTGGTTCTTTGAGAATATCCATAAAACTGACCAATTTCTCTCCTGACTGATGAGTAAAAGGAAAGCGTGAAGACACAAGTGAATGAGAAAGGTGCCATCACTGTACATGGAAAGATTAATAACAGAATATTATGAACAACTTCATGATGATAAATTCAACAATTTAGATAAATGGACGATTCCTTAAGAAATACAAACTATCAACATTCAATCAAGGAAAAAATAACCTCAGAAGTTCCATCTCTACTGAATAGTTTAACAACATATAAAATGATACTCACCACGTGAATCTGAGGTAGGCAAAGATTTCTTGTGATTTATCCCAACGACACAAGGTTGACTTGACACTTGAAAATCAACCAGTATAATCCATAATATTAACAGAATAAAAAAAAAAAGATTTTCAATAAATGCAGAAAACATTTCACAAAGTCCAACAACCACTTCTGATAGAAACTCTCAGCAAACTAGTAATAGAAGGACACTTCCTCACACGGACAAGGATAGCCACAAGAAACCTGCAGCCAACATTGTTTTTAAAGACTCAATGCTTTCCTTTCCCCCTGATATCAGGAACAAGGAGATCTCCTCTTACTTCTGGTCAGTATTAAACTAGAGTCTCAAGCCAGTGCAATTGGGCATGAAAAGGAATTTAAAACACATCCAAACTGATGTATTTTAAATACATGGATATTCTCAAAGAGAAAGAACTCATAATCTTTTTATTTACAGAGAAGATGATTGCATATGTAGAAAATCCTGAAGTGTTTATTTAAAAGTTCCTAGAACTAATAAATGAGTTTAGCAAAGTTAAGATCAGAATACAAAAATCAATTTTGTTTCTACATATTAGTAATTAAAAACCAGAAATTGAAACAAAAATGCCATTAACAATAAATACTCAGAGATAAATCTGACAAAAGATGTGCAAGGTCTGTAACCAGAAACTATAAAACCAAGATGAAAGAAATAAAAGAAGCTCTAAATAAATGAAAGGATATACCATGTTCATGGATTGGAGACTTAATGTTGTCAAGATGTTAGTTCTCTCAAACTGATCTATAGAGTCAATGCAATCCCAAACAAAATCCTACTAGGCTTTTTTTTAGTAGAAGTTGGGAAAATAAGGAAATATATCTTGGATGACCAAAAAAATTTTACAAAAGAACAAAGTTGGAAAATTTATATTTCCTGATTTCAAGAATTATTATAAAGATCCAGCTATGAAGACAGCTTGGAACATTTGCATAAAATAGGCAAATAGACCAAATGAACACAGAGTGTACAGAAATAGACTCACACAGATACGGATCACTGATTTTCAACAAAAGTACAAAAGTAATCCAGTAGAGAAATAATAATTTTTCAACAGTTCTGGAACACTGAATATCCATATGCACACACACAAAAATAAACTTGGTCTCAAATTTCACACCATGTATCAAAATTAATTCAAGTTGGATATTAAAACCAAAGGCAAAACTTACACTATAAAAACCCTTGTGACGCTGAGTTAGGCAAAGATTTCTTACATATGACACCAAAAGCACCATCCATATAAGAAAAATTGATAAATTGGACTTCATAATAATGAAAACCTTCTCTTTGAAAAGCTCTTAAGAGAATGAAAAGACAAGCCACAGACTCACAGAAAATATTTACAAATCACATATCTGATAAGGGACTTGTATCCAGAATATATAACGAATTCTCAAAACTCAAAATAAGAAAACAACTCATTTAGAGGTGGGTAAAAGATCTGAACAGAGCACTTCACTGAAGAAAATAGATGGCAAAAACAAAACAAAACAAAACAAAAGACAGATGAAAGATGCTCACCATCATTAGTCGCTGGAGAAGTACAAATTCCAACCACAATGAGATTCCAGTACACACCTAGTAGAGTGTCTGAAATTAAGAAGGCTGACATGCCAAGTGCTGGCGAGGGTGTGAGCACACACTATGGGCAGGAACGTAAACGTGTACAATCATCCGGTCAGTTTCTTTCACATTAAACTTACAGCTACCTGTGACCCAGCCATCCCACTCCCAGATATTTACCCAAGAGAAACGAGTATTGGTCCAAACACCGGTAGGACACGATGTTTGTATCACTTTATTTGTAACAGGCAACGAATGGAAACAACCCAAATGTCCAGGAACAGGCAAACAGACACGGAACTGGAACATTCCTAGGATGAATGACTAGTCAGCCCTAAAAGGAACAACTTGATAAACACATAATCCTGCTGAGGGAAAGAAACTAGCCCGAAAAAGCACATACCTGTGATTCCATGTGCATAAATGATAAGAAATGCCCACTTAATCCGCAGCGAGGGGCAGATCAGCGCTTGCCTGGGACGGGGGTAAGGAGGGGAGGGAGTACCAAGGGTGGGACTGGAGTGTGTACTGCGTGGATTATGGTGATGGTTTCACGAGTGTATACAAATGTCAAAACTTACCAAATTTAGATGTGCGGTTTCTTGTATACCAACCACACCACAATAAAGCCGCTTTTAAATGCCCCGGCTTACACAGTCCCCGTCCTTCTCCAGGCCCCCGTGCACGGACCCTAATACACAGAAGGTGGGGGTGCAGTGAGAGTCCTGGGCAGGAGGGGACGCGGGTGGGTGGAGACCTAACCGCACTCCCCAGCTTCTGGGCCGAGGGACGCACCCCAAGAGGGACTCACCGCAAGGGCTTGGCGCGGATCCGAGGGTCTTCAGGCCGCTTGCGTGCAGGTGTCAGCGCCAAGAGGGGACTCGCGCCCCCACTCCTCACGGCGCGCAGCTGGGTGGACCCGGGAGGGGCGGGGCTCTGTGTGCTTACGGGCCCGCCCAGCCCGTAGGCCCCGCCCACAGTCCCTGAGACACACCCACTCAAAAGATCCAGCCCCGCCCCACGCTTTCCCACAGGCCACGCCCAGGGCCCTGCCCCCCTAGCCCTCTAGTCCCGCCCCAGGCTCCGCCCTCGACCAGGCTCCCGCGTCGTCCTGGCCCCGCCCTGCCCCGCCTCGCCGAGGCCCCGCCCCCAGGCCCCGCCCGCGAAGTGCAGGCAGAGCCCCGGCAGCCCTCGGTGCCGGCCTCGGGGTCCCCGCCGCGCCAGGGTGTGGCGCCGGGTCGGGCTCGAGCCACGGAGATCCTCGCGCAGAGCAGCCTCCGTTCGCGGCCGCGCAGGTAAAGCCCCCGCCCCTCCCGAAAGTGTGGACACCGCGTCCCTGTCTATTACCCGCCCTTGGTTCCCCGGGTCCTGGGGATCTCGGGGGGTCTCGGAGTCCCGGGGTCCGAGCCCCTCCAGCCCAGGCCCCGCGCGGCCCCGCCACTCCACGCCCCAGCGCAGCGCGCGCCCAGGGCTTGTCTTTTCTCTGTTCTCCTCTTCCTTCCTTCCCAAGCATAATGGAAATAAAAGGCTCCCACCCCAGGGCAGGTGCCGGTGGCTGTTCCTGTTAGGGCGGGCAGAGAAGAGCTTTATCCATTATAATTTTTAAGGGTTGTCACAACAAAGTGCTAAGCTTCTGCAAGAGCCTGGCCGGGAGTGATGAGCCGCTGGTTCCCGGTGGTTGTGGGTTGGTTCGGACTCTGCATTCAGTCTTTCCGGTTCCCACCCTGAGGGGCTGGGAGAGGGTGGACGCCAGGCTGCCATCACCCAGCGCTGTCCAGGCCCCTGGTCCCTGGGTGTCTAGAGGGTGTGTCCAGCTTAGGTGGCAGGGCTGTCCCACCATGTTGAGGGTGCCTCCCCCCAACCAGGGGTCAGTAGAGCCTGCTCTTGCTCTTCTGATGGCATTGGGAGTCCCCAGAAATAAGTTAGAGAGACCCCCACTGTCAGAGGCTTCAATTTGCCTGTGGTATCTCCTCAAAGTCAAGGTGTGCCTGGGTGCCGGCTGAACCCCGTGGACAATGCCCATTGCTCCTCTGTTTCACGTTTTCCTGGCAGGCGAGGACAAGAGTTTATGTCCCTATCGGAAGCAGCGTCCAGGGAAGCAGGGAAGGATGTAGGCCCACAGCCCTGGGCCAGAGGAGCACGCCGTCTGCCCCTAGGTGCGGTCAGGATGGGCCCCACGGGCAAGCAGAGCCTCTCGTCCGTGCCGGCCCCCATGGGAGGCTCTTGCCTCCTCCTCCTCTTCTGCCTTCGCCTGGGCACCTCGTGCCCGCAGAGCTGCCAGTGCCCCGACCACGATGGGGCCGTGGCCGTCCACTGTAGTGCGAGCGGCCTGCAGGAGATCCCCAAGGACATCCCCGCCAACACCGTGTTCCTGAAGCTCGACGCCAACAAGATCGCCCGCGTCCCCAACGGAGCCTTCCAGCACCTGAGCCAGCTGAGAGAGCTGGACCTGTCCCAGAACGCCATCGAGACCATCGGCCCTGCTGCCTTCTCGGGCCTGGCCGGCGGCCTGCGGCTGCTGGACCTGTCTCACAATCGCATCCGCAGGATCCCCAAGGACGCCCTGGGCAAGCTCAGCGCCAAGATCCGCCTGTCCCACAACCCCCTGCACTGTGAGTGTGCCCTGCAGGAGGCCCTGTGGGAGCTGAAGCTGGACCCCGACTCGGTGGACGAGATCGCCTGCCACACCTCCGTGCAGGAGGAGTACGTGGGGAAGCCGCTGATCCAGGCCCTGGACGCCGGCGTCAGCTTCTGCAGCACCCACCACAAGACCACCGACGTGGCCATGCTGGTCACCATGTTCGGCTGGTTCGCCATGGTGATCACCTACGTCGTGTACTATGTGCGTCAGAACCAGGAGGATGCCAGGAGGCACCTGGAGTACCTGAAATCCCTGCCCAGCACCCCCGTGTCCAAGGACCCCCTCAGCCCTGCATCCTAGTGCCCGCTGAGGGCCATCACTCTGTGGCAGGTGGTGACTGACTCCCCCTCCTGGTGTCCCCCCCGGCCAGGTGGGAGTCACAGCTGCTTCTGTGCAGTGCACACTCTGATCAAACACTTCCTCCAATTGCACTGAGTCACCGCAGTGCCCTTCGAGCCAGGAGACTCTATCAGACCCGCTGAGGGAGGAAGAAACGAAAGCTTAGAGAACTTGCCTGTGATGTCACAGGAAACGATCCAGTCGGGACTTAAAACCAGGCTGCCTCTAAGATGTCCCTTCTACTCGCATGCGTCTCCTGTGTGGCACCGTGGGAGCGAACGCATTCAGAGAAGGAGGGGCTTGTGTCCATGACTACGGATATCCCCGGTGGAGTTTGGGGTGCAGATTCACCCGTCGAAGGCACAGGTGACCCCACACTGCGGAACGGACTCGCCTCTGCTCCCCTAGTAGTTCCTGAACACATTGGACCACAGAATCTGTCCGGAGCCAAGTAGGAGAGGCCAGGAGAGGGAAGGGAGTGAACAACCGTGTTTATTCTCAAATGATTGTGAGGAATAACACTTGGACCCAAATTTCAGTCCGGCGAGAGGGGGAAAACCCCAAAACCTGAAACTGAAACACCACAGAGAGGAACCTGAGGACAAGCTCGGCCCGAGTCCCACGCGGTCTGCCTGGCTCGTGGGAAGGCCGGTCATCATGGTCGCCGCCGTGCCTTGCTTTTCTACTCACCAACATCTAAAGCAGCTCCTTTCAAAGGACAGGACCGATGAGTGATGTTTCAAGGCCAATCGACGGGACTCCTCCTTTTCTCCAACAAGTTCGTTCGTTCTCTCTCTCTCCCTCCCTCCCCCCCCCCCCTCCCTCTTTCTCTCTCTCTCTCCACCTTTGCTGCCAGGACTCTCAGAGCTCACTGAGTGCTCCATTTTCTTATACTATAGCTACACGTCCAGGGCAGACGTTACCTCCACCGGTATGACTGATTCATCTTCCCAGTTTTCTGTTACTGTCTTTTGTATGAGTGTTTATATTTTACACGACTTTGAATATTTTTTGGGGGGAGGGAGCAAATAGGGATAAATTGCTAGGAACTGAATGTGTAAAGGACAGGAGCCTCATCAAGCAGAAGCTCAGGAGTGAACGATGGTGGGTGGTTGGTACTAGGAAAGTTCCGAGTGACTTGACGTGGGAAATGAATGTGGGGTCGCATTTACACGCTGATCGCTGATCCGGAGACACAGCCGCTGCACAGAGACCCGAAAGGCTCGTCCGAATGCGGCTGTGACTTCTCAGTCACGTTGCATAAACAAGGACCCGCCAAGAGGTTCCCAATGCCTCCCACACCCTAAGGCGCTGCGCCCGTGCTCACGGGGTGGGGGTGGGGGCGTGGGCGTGCACAGCACGTGCAGGGTAAAGAGAGGGGCTCACTGTCCAGAGTGGCCGTGGGAGGCAGGGCTGACTCGGCCATCGATGCCCACCTGCTGCTCCACAGGCTGCCAGCCCACAGCCCTGCCCACCTTTCCAGTGACAACGGAAACCACGAAGTCTGTCCACGTGTGTGACAAAGGCTGTGTGGAGCAGGTAGGCTCCGCTGCGGGCTGCCCGGCAGGACACAGCCTCCTTGGGTGATTTGGGTCCCCTCCCCCCCCATCCCATGTGCACTGGTAGGGACAGGGTCCCACCCCACAAGGAGCTCACCTCCTGTGGGCCTCCCTGATGGCTGTGACCCCGGGGTCAGGGGAAGAGAGCAGCACAGGCCCAGGGGTAGAAGGGAGTGTCAGGGTCCTGCAAGGCCTCTGTGGGTGCCACCAGCCTCAGCACTTTGGGGGGCCCCTCCTTGCTTCTAGGGACTCCATTTGCTCTTACCCCCAAATCAGCCAGTGCCTGATGCCACCACACGTGGCTCTTCAGGGGGTGCATGGAGAGTAGGTGGGCTTTCCCCCTCCCCGCCCCTTTGCTGGCCCCCAGCCCAAGGCCACCTTCCCTTGGTGTGGACCCTGTGGGGACGGGGAGGTGGGCGAGAAGCGGGCGAGGACCTGGAGCACTCAAGGGCCCTCTCCCTCGCATTGAGAGCCGTCAGGGGCTGCCCACCTCCAGCCTTTTGGGGCTCCTCGCCCCTCATGGAGTATCCCAGGGGAGGACACCTCCCTCCAGGAAGACCCCCAGGACCTCAACTCCAAGGCCCCCAGCTCCTCCCTGCTCTTGGAGCTCCCAGCCCTGGTGCCTGAGACCGGTTTCAGGGCACAGCCCTCTCCTCTTCTCTTTTCTTCTCCCCCTTCCCCTCCTCCTTCCTCTCTCTCAAGGAACCCCTTAGGATGATGCCCTGCTTGCACCCCCACATTCTTTGCTGCCATATTGAGTATGGGCCCCTGGGTGCCCTCCAGGCCCTTGACTGGCACAGCCTTCCCCACCCCACACCATTGAGTCCAGTGTTTGACCCCATCTTACATCTGTAGAGGCCAGGGTCAGGCTGGCCCTGTCCAGGGGACCAGTGTTGACAATGGTGGTGACATGGAAAAAGGGCTGCCTCCGCTGGTCCATTCCATGGCTCTCTTTGCCATCCAGGTAACAGGCTCTTCACAGGGCCTGGGGGTCCAGGCCAGACAACTTTGGGGTTCCTCATGGGGTAGAGGGGTGTAGTGAGCAGAGGCCCCAGGGCACCCGCATGGGCGCTGGGCACCGGCCCTGCCTGCTGACTGGCTCTCCTGCAGAGGGTCCTCAACAGAAGCGTTTGCAGGGACTTTGATCCTGGACTGAGTTACCTGGGGAGGCAGGGCTGCTGGCACAGGCTGTGGGAGGTGGAATGTTCTGGACTCAAGGCAGCTCCCGGCCATGGCAGCAGCCTGGAGTGGCGCTGGGAGTTCTCCTGGAAGTTCCGTCTAAAGTCTGATTCCACCGTCCTCCCCCCTCGCTGAGCCCTCAATAAACCTCCTTGTGCTTAAATCGGCTGGAGTGGATTCTGTTGTCTGCACCTCTGCGGCCCCCGCCCTGCCCCTAACTGCAGACCTGACCAGGCAGCGGAGCCAGGCCTGCGAGCCCATGGCGTGAGGCCAAACGCACACCCTGTGGGACACAGCAAGGTCAGCAGCCGCTCTCAGGCCTCAGGGTGGCCCCGGGCCGGCCGGCCATTGGGGAGGGGGCAGCAGCCATGAAGTCCCTGGACAGCCCACCCGGGGCTGGTGCTCACGGTGGCTGGCACGATAGAGAACATTTCCATTCCAACCCGAGGCTGTGAGGACTGGAGGGGACGGCCAGCCAGGAGGCGGTTTGTTTGGGGCAGAGCTGGGCTGGAATCCGCTCTCTGACGTCTGGGCCTGGGAGTTCTCACTCGGGAAACACGAGCCTTGGAACGTCACCAACACAGGAGGCGAGTCCTCGGTTCAGCCCCAGACCCCAGACCGAGGAGGGGCCGGCGCGGGAGGAGGCAGGGCAGCCGGATTCACAGTCCAGCCTGGGATGCTGCATCAGAGCCCCTGGGTTGCTGCATCTGTAACCATGGCAACAGCACGGGCAGGAAAGGGAGTGGACCTGGGTTGGCCACCAGGCCCCCCTCCCAGGCGCAGCTGACAACGCTGGCCTGCTTTCTGTGCAAAGAGAGGTGGAGAGAGCATCCCCGAGTGGCAAGCCGCCGGGCGGACCTTCCCTGCCAGCTCAGCGGCTCTGGGAGAGGAGGGAGGGCCGCAGAGCAGCGGAGGGAGAAACCAGGGAGTCGTGGAGAGCGGCCACCCAGCTGGAAAGCGGGTTCCAGAGGCCATGTTAACAGCTGGCTCTATGGCTGGGGAAACTGAGGCACGGATCGGTGAGACGATTTGTCCCAGGTTCCAGGGGCTGGTGAATGCTGAGCTGGGGTGTGACCAGGCTCCAGGCAGCCGTGGACGGCAGACAGACGTCAGCAGCCGGGCAGGAAGGCGGAGCAATTAAGATGCGGAGAAAACCCCGAAGGGAGACCAGCGCATTTATTTACAGACGTGGTGACTCTTCTTTCACCCAGTTTGTCACTGTGGCAGGCGAACCCCCAGACAGTCAGGAGACAGAGCTGTCAGCCACTGAAGTCTCTTATCACATTAAGTCACAGCCACTCCCGCCTCCCGGCCAGCCCGGGGCAGGGATCTGATGAGAATGCTTGCTCAGCCCTGCCGCCCTCCTCCCTTCACCCCTGCCCACCGCACACACTCAGACCTCCAGAAGGTCAGTGGCGAGGGCCTGGCGGCGTCTCCGAGCAGCGGACACCTCTGCACTGGACTTCCCCGAGGGGGCCGTGTGCTTGATGGGCAGCTAGGCCAGCCCCTCCAGCACAGCTCTTAGGTGCTGCCCTGCCAGGCCCCACCAGGGCACCCTCCCCATCCAACTGGGCGAGCTGGAGGTGCCCCCCTTGGACAGGCACCTGCTGTCCTGCTCCTGAGAGCCCTCAGCACCCCCACTGTCTCTGGCTCAGCTGCCACCCTCTCTGCGCCCACTTCTGGACACCCGGGCCGGGTCCTGCTGTCTCTGTGTGGGAGATCTCGGAGTTAGTGGTGCTGACCAGAGGGTCGCCCTGCGGGTGGTCAGCTGGACCCCGCCACCTGCCAGGCTCCCGGGTGCTTTGCGGTCTCTCCGTAGCCCCCGCAGAAGCCACTGGACCAAGGGTTCAGAATGGTCGCCAAGCTTCCTGTCCTTGCCCTGGGCTGAGAAGTCGTCTTCAAAAATCAGTCTGTTGGTCTGGATGTCACAACAACGAGGCCACCAAGACTGAGGTTTTTCGAGCCACTCATTTGCATTCTTGTCGCAAACCAAGGGGAAGTGCCGGCTCCGTTTTAACTGCTGAGCAGCTCCCGGGAAGGACCCAGGCAGGTCCTTGTCACCCCGGCGGCCGCCGGCCCAGGGATGCCTGCTGATGCGGCACTCACTCTTGACTGTGGGTGTGACTCGTCAGAACTTAAGTCTGTTTTCATCGCTGGGATGTCTTCTGTTGGGAAAGTTTGCCCACACCCTCTGCTCTGGGTCCCGTGTGGGGCATAGGGTCCCGTGTTTGTTAGAGCTCCTCAGACCCTGAGGACTGTGCATGAATTGAGCCCTGGGCGTGCCAAGAGCATCACCATCTGTGCTGGTGTCTCACTTCCACTTACTTATATATTAACGTAACAGTATATGCTCAACGGATATGAAACCATCTATCTGCCATCTCCCTCTTCCCTTTCATTTTCTCCCATTGTCTTACCTTGAGAAAGGTAAAGTGTTTCCTCCAAATTGGGGGCGCGGGGGGGGGGGGAGGGGAATCTATTCTAGAACCTTTTGCTTTCCAATATCTGTAACTTTAACTTTACCAAATTATGCCAATACCAGGTTGAATGGTTTAATGTTAGTAGAATTTAATACCTGGAGGCCAAGCTTTCCCTCATTTTTTCAAAGTCCCCCCCATCCCCCCTGCCTGTTAATTCTTTGAAATGCTCCGTGGATCACTTCATTAATTAAAAAGGCAAGCTTCGGGCCCTAGCTGGTTTGGCTCAGTGGATAGAGCGTCGGGCCTGCGGACTGAAGGGTCCCGGGTTTGTTTCCGGGCCTGGGTTGATGCCTGGGTTGCAGGCTCAGTCCCCAGTAGGGGGCATGCAGGAGGCAGCTGATCAATGATTCTCTCTCATCATCGATGTTTCCAGATCTCTCTCCCTCACCCTTCCTCTCTGAAATCAATAAAAAATATATATATTTTTTAAAAGGGCAAGCTTTGGGATTTTGACTGGCAGTGTGTGTGTGTGTGTGCGTGCGTGTGTGTGTGTGTGCGTGTGTGTGTGTGTGCGTGCGTGTGTGTGTGTGTGTGTGTGTGTGTGCGTGCGGCGGAGGGCAGGGTATTGGTGGTGGCAAAGTTCACGGGCGCTACAGGAAAAGCCCAGCCGCGGACACCAGGAGCGATGGCCACGGTGAGAACAGGAGAAGCTTCTCAGCAGCCCTCCACTTCCCAACCTGGCAGATGGTGAGACAGAAAGGCCCAGGCTCGGCAGGACCCATGGAACAGGGGCCGCTCCGCACATCTGGCCGTGCTTGGCCTTGCTCGGGGTTCAGGGGGAGCCCTGGAAGTCAGGAGCAGATGCAAACATTGCTGTGGACAACATTTCTCCAGAAACCGCGACCTCGAAGGAGCCACCCCAAATAAAAATACAATTTGTGCTGAGATGTCCTTAAAGGGTTTGCTATTTATCTCAGTGGAGACTGTTGAGAAGAATCCCCGTGGATCTACAAAGGTGCCCAGCTCAGCGGAGTGGGGACTCTTGCACAGGAAACACAACACGCTTGTCAAAAAGACAAGAACGTAGCACGTCAAACCATACGCAAATTCATGTGCAACCACCGCAGGCTGCCCTGCGACCCATTTATCAGCCGGACAAAAACCAGACCGCCTTACTTGAAAAGATGTAAATATTTCAGTGTTCTCTGCATTTCCCTCCTCTTGTTTGCATCCATAATCTAAGCAAGTCTTGATTTGTGGTTTTTGTTTCCACCCAGTAGAAGAGATGGGATATTGTGCCGAGGCGAGGTGGCACCATTGGCTTGCGGAGGAAGTCCTCGGCAGGGTCCGTGGTGGCTCCCCGCTGGGCTGGGGACCCGTGTGCCTGCCTCCTTCCTCTCTGGGCGCCAATCCTCCCACCCCCCACCCCCCTACCCTGTCCCTGCAGTGAGCCAGACCCTATAGTGACACCCTCAGGGCAGAGAGAAAACTGGACATCTGGGTTACCCAGAGAGAGAGAAGCTGTGAAGGGGGCGTGCTTGGAGGTCATGGGCAGTGCCCAGCTGGCCCCTCCCCCAGGGGTAAATTGAGGCTCAGGGATTGGGAAGTGGCAGGTGGGAGGGACTAAACACTCTGGGGCCCTGGCTGCCCAGGGCAGGGATACTGCCAGGCCTAAGGGACAGTGACAGCAGAAATGTGGGGTCTCGCAGGGACACAGGGGCTGCTGCGGTGGGGCCTGACTTGGTGTGAAGGGCACATCTTCCTTCTCCAAAATAATGACTAATGAGTGTGTCCGGGGGTGGGAGTGGGGGTAGGTCCACGCCTGTGGGATTCCAGGGGGTGCAGGCACCGGGACTTCCCTCTCACAGTTCCCCTGGCCTGGCCCAGACCTCTCCCCGCCCCGACCCCTGCCCTTTGCTCTACTCCTTGGGGCGGGGACATCCTTGTCTGGGGTCAGCCCCACCCTCCCCAAGGCATGGAGGAGGCTCTAGAAAAATCTCAGCCTTCAGAAGTCAGAAGGGCCCTCCTTAGGGCCTGGAACCCCCCGATCTGATTGGACGCAGTGTAGGCCTCCTCCCCTGGCTGTGGGGCGCCCGCCCTGTCCTCATGGGGAACTGACCACGGGGAGCCAGGGCTCCGGGGGCCGGAGCCGCCACTGTGCCCTGGCTGTGTGATCTTGGGCAAAAGTCACTGAGAGCTTTAAGGAGGAAAGGGCAGAGTGTTCAACCCAGCGTGGGGCCTGCCTGCTGCTCAGCGCCCGCCCCCACGTCCCTCCTGCGGCAGTCGCCTCCCAGGGCAGGCGGCGCGGACAGCGGGCGGGCCTGGCCTTGTGACCACCGGTGGTCTCCTGGCTCCACGTGGACCCCGCGGCTTCCCCAGCAAAGCTGGTGCCCGAGGCCTGGGTGGTGCCGCCCCCCCCCCCCCCTCAGTTTCCCAGGGTGTCCTGTCACACCAGCAGCATCCCAGGGAGGCAGGAGGCCCCCTGGTGGACGGTTCGGGGTGTTAAGGCGGAACCAAGGGAGCACTGGCCCCGAGGAGGCAGCCCAGTCCATCCTGCACACCCACCAGCTGCAGTGAGGGGTAAACTGAGGCCGCAGGAAGCAGCTCTGTGTAGGAGAGGTGTCCCCCGACGGCACTGGTGACTAGGGACCTGTGGGGTCTTCTGCTTGGGTGGCAGAGCGAGGCCCCAGGACGTGCTCACGGAGAGCGGAGGGCCCCAGAAACACGCAGACGCAGCCCTGCTCCGTATAAAGAGTCATAAATATATTTCAGTGTAGACAACGAACAATAAATAGCTGCATGAACCTGTAGGACAGCCTCACGCCTGCTCCCCATCTGGGCTCGACAACCAGGGCCGCGCGGCCAGGCCCCAAACTGACGCCGCAGGGAAGGTGACCGGCTTCTGTGTGTGAGGTAAACAGTTGTATGAACTTTCCTGTAAAGCGACACCCCCGCAGGGCAGCTCTGGTTTCCGGGCGAACACCCACGAGCCACCGGCATCTGTCCGCGCGGGGCACCAGCCAGAGAGGTGACCGACGTCTCCAGTTGGGGGAGGGCCAGGACAGCGAGACGGCAGCTCTGGAGGCGAGGAGCATCTCCCCAGAGGCCCCAGGGCTTCTCGGGGGGGCTCCGGGGTGCAGTGAGGTGGGTCCTGTTCCCGGGGGCCAGGCCCGTCACCCTGTCCTGAGCTTCAGCACCCGGGAAAGGGGCTCCTTGGCGCTGGAGTAGACGAGGTAGGAGCCGGCCGTGGTGCGGAAGGTCTCCCAGTCCCGGCAGCCGAAGGTCGGGAGGCTGTGCACAGCCACGAAGCCTTCGTACCCCTGCCACCTGCGGGAGAGACACGTCAGCCTCGGGCGGGCGGTCTGTGCCGGGTGCTGGCAGGGCAGGGAGAAGCTGCCCGCACGTCCAGGCTACGATGCCCCGGGCTCCTGCCCCTCCCAGTGGGCAGCCTGGCCCTCCGTGCTCTTCCCCAGGCCTCTCCCCGCCTCCCCGCTGTGCACAGCACGAGGGGCCACATGTCCCCGGGCGGCACAGCTGCCTGGTTATACTCTCAGAGAGCTAGACGAGGAGCCTGCAAAGGGGGAAACTGAGGCCTGGAAGGAGGAGCCTGCCCTGTCCACCACCCTGCAGCTCCTCATATCCACCCAGACACTGGTCCCAGCCAGAGTGCCCTGGGGACTCTGCCACCTGGGGGTGGGGGTGGGAGGAGGCAGCGGCAGGGAAGGGTCCTGGCAGTGTTGATGGGTAACTAAGCCCACACCGTCCCCACTCCTGGGTCACAGCTGACATCGAGGCGCCTGCCCTCAGACACACACCTGCCACCACATGGGTACGGCACCCTGCTTTTCAGAGAAGGAAGCACGCTCCCCGCACACTGCTCTGCACCTCCCTGCTCCCCCCCCAGTTTGGACCCAGAACCCTGCCCGTGGCCCGCGGCTTCCGGGTTTTGCCTTCAAAAGGGATTTACCGACAGGTGGTTCCAACTTTTGTAGGGTGGCGCTCTCACAGCGGGTGCCGGGTTCAAAGGCAGGAGTCGTTTTAATTTTGTTATTTTTCCAGACTACTTTCCAGAAAGGCCGGCGGTCCCTGCCCTGATGGGAAAGGGCCGGGGTTCCGCTCCCCGCCGCCCCCCCCCCCCCCGCCCCCCGCTTCCACGCACCACTCCCAGAAGAATGCAGGAAAGAGAATGTGTCATCCTCCTGCTTTTAGAATAACAACGTCCAATGTTTATTCACATCTTTCATTGTTTTCGTCTGAAAATTCCTGTTCATATATTTTGCCCATTTTTCTGAATTAAAAAAATATTTTATTACTTTGTAGGGGTTCCTTTTCTGTCATAAGTGTGGTAAAGTTTGTCTTTTATTTATTTTTATTTTTTAATATATTTTTATTGATTTCAGAGAGGAAGGGAGAGGGAGAGATAGAAACATCAATGATGAGAGAGAATCATTGATCGGCTGCCTCCTGCACGCCCCACACTGGGGATAGAGCTTGCACCTGGGCATGTGCCCTTGACCGAAATTGAACCCAGGACCTTTCAGTCTGCAGGCTGACGCTCTATCCAATGAGTCAAACCAGGTAGGGCAGTGGTCGGCAAACTGCGGCTCGCGAGCCACATGCGGCTCTTTGGCCCCTTAAGTGTGGCTCTTCCACAAAATACCGACTTCTGCGCATGGGCCACGAAGTTTCAACCGCACTGTACGTGCGCACCTGCACGTGGTATTTTGTGGAAGAGCCACACTCAAGGGGCCAAAGAGCCGCATGTGGCTCGCGAGCTGCAGTTTGCCGACCACTGAGCTAGGGCAAAGTTTGTCTTTTGATTTTGAATAGGATGTCTTTTTCCATTTAAAACTTTTAAAGGTAGGTAGCCAGCCAGGTGACCTATTTCCAGCCTTGTTTAAGGAGATCGCCATGTCTTCTTGTACAACTTTATGGTTATAAAAAATCATCTTAGCTTTTTCCTAATATTTCTATAGTTCAATTTTTTTACATTTAGATGCCTAATCCTCATAAAACTTATTTTTCTATATAATATGAAGCAGGAATAGAGCTTTATTTTCTTCCAGATGGACAGAAAATGATATACAAATTATTTTACTAAGTACTGCCTCCTTTTTTCATTGAATTGAAATACAATATTTATCACATTAAATGGCCATAATTATTGGCTTTCTTGTGGAGTGTATTACATCCCTCCTACAGGTTTATTTCTGCAAAAGCCACACGGCTTTCCTGGCACGCCGTCAGAGCCTCCTTCGCTGTTTTTATTCTTCCAATTTTTCTTGGCCATGTTTGAAAATTTAGTCTTACTAAATTTAATTAATTTTAAAATTATGCTGTCATGTTGAACACTCTACAGCAAAAAAAATTAGAAAGCCTAAAGAAAGTTGATTTTCCTAGTAAAACATAGGTGACCAAAATTGTCTCAAGAAGAGACGGAAAACCTGGTTACGCCAATGACCACGGGAGACGCTGGAAAAGGGACCTGGCCCAGGTGGCTTTAGGATGGGGTGTGACCTAATCATAAAGGAAATAGCTAAATCCCACTATTGAAGTGCTTCCCGCCCAGAGGCGTGGGCGGAAAAGTTGGTAGCGGGTACCTATTAAGTCATGCTCCACCTCAACCTGGGTAGAGGTACGGCCCCAGAAGAAAACCACAGAGCAATTTCAGTTCCTAATAAGATGCAAAGCTCTTAAATCATTCCGAAACAATTGGTAGCCACTGGCATAGTAAGTAATTGCATAGGATCCAGTGGCACTGGTCCCAGGAATTCGAGGAAACCTCTCAGAAGTCATTGCATCAACAGATTAACAGAGAAGAGCCAGGCCGCAGGCGGAGGAAGGCCGGCCCACGGGACCAGCGGTCTCGGCCAGCCCCCGTCCTGCTCAGCCCCGCGGCCTGAGCCTGCGCTCACCACGTCAGCCGGGCGCACTGCTGGCCTCACGGGTCTCCGGGAGGCTCCAGCTCCTGGGAACACCAGGTAGACAGTGAAAACACGCGCAGGAAAGAGGCCAGGTGGCTGGTATGCACAGAGGCAGTTGTGTTCTCAGGACTCCCACGCGCCTCGGCTCCAGAAAACGGTCAGAGTTGATCGTTTGGTGGTTTGGCTGGGTGGCTAGACACAGAAATTGTCACCAAAAGCAGCTGGAAACGGGACCGGAAAACCCACGCGCTGTGCTTACAATACGTGAGCCACAGCCAGAGAGAACGGAGCAAGGGGGGCGCCGTGCCCGTGTGAGGGCGTGGCCTGTTCCCGAAGGCGCGACACGTGCGGAGACCTGCGGCGTCCTGGGGGGGCATGTGATAGGGTCCTGTGTCTGCACACTGCACCCGGCCAGGCTCAAGGATGTGAGCATCGGCCTGGCTGGGGTCACCTGGCTGACCCAGGGCATGACCGGGACTGGGCAGGGAAGGGGAGTCTACCCCAGGTGAACCAGGTGGGGAGAAGGGTGCCGCCTTCCCAAGCTGTTTACCTGTAAATAATACTGTTTACTGAGAAGGTATTTCCGTCAAAGGAGTTGGCAACCACCAAGAAGTAATCTTCGCCCACGGAGAAGAACTCCCAATCCAGGGCACTGCGGGAACAAGGGGACAGCATTAGGGGCCAACGTTAGGGGACAGGCACTAGGGGGCAACGTTAGGGGTCAGGCACTAGGGGGCAACGTTAGGGGACAGCATTAGGGCACAGAGCCCGAGGTACCCCAGAGTTCGGATGCTGGTTTCCAGCCAGTTCTCCTAATCCCAGAACTTGGGGCCCAGGCCCCACCCCAAACCCACAGAGGAGGGGCCAGGCCCGAAGGGAATGATTTTCTCAGCCACACAGGGAGCTTAGTCATTCACTTGAAATTTAAAAAAAGTGTTTAATTGTAGTAAAATACATATAAAATTTTAACAATTTTTAAAAATCCTCACCCAAGGATGTGGAGAGAGAGAGAGAGAGAGAGAGAGAGAGAGAGAGAGAGAGAGAGAGAGAGAGAGAGGGGGACATCGATGGGCTGCCATCCAGACATCAAACCTGCAACCCAGGTATGTGCCCTGGCTGGGAGTTGAACCGGCAACCTTTTGGTGCATGGGACGACGCCCAACCGACTGAGCACTCCAGCAGGGCTCATTTTAATCACCTTTAAGGGCACAGCTCAGTGGCATTAAGCACATTCACAGTGTTGTGCAACCACCACCACCATCCACCTCCGGAGCGTTCCAGTCTTTGTGTGTCCGGCTTATTTTACTCAGCATCTTGTCCTCTAGGTTTTCCCATACGGCAGCCTTGTTGGAATTTCATTCCTCGTTAAGGCTGAATACTATCTACAGTTGCTAATCCCTTCACCGGTCGATGGACACTTGGGTTGCAAGTGTGAATGGTGCTGCTATGAAACGGGTACAAAGTCTTTCGCTTTGAAGAGGTTGATACAATCAGAAAAGTGCCAAGCTCAGGGGCATTCCTAAGGGCTGGCAGCGCCCTGGAGGTGGACACGTGAGGAAAGTGGCCTTCCCTCCTCCCCTTCCCGCTCCTTCCCGGACACCAATAAGGTGCCCACATAGAAACGCCCCCTACACTGGGAAGCTGTGTTTCTTGTTGCAAACGGACATGTGCATTCTTAGTCGAGAAGCTCCTGAATCGGCTAAGGATGAGCCTGTGCACGGACTCGGCCAGTTCTGAGGGCTCTGGCAGATAACTTCCTGTGAGACCACCCAGAACCCTGTCCCTCCGGGAGGCCCCACCATCACCTCTCTGGTGACTGCAGGCCCTGTGCCCACTTTACAGGTGAGGAAACTGAGGCTGCAGCCACACACTAGTCAGTCAGACGCCGAGGCCCGACCAGTGAGTCTGTGTCTGGTGGCCGTGGGCTGAGGCCTGGTCGGGCAGCAGAGGGCCCCCTGTCTGGTGGAGACTCACTGCAGGTTCCCTCCCAGTGGGGACTGAGAGCTCTGGCCTAGAGCAGAGTGCTCAGGCAGGACCCCGGGAGTGAGGGGGTGTCTAGGAGGTATTGGGGGCATGCAGGGATGGCTGAGGCCGGCGGGGACCCTGGCGCACCTCACACCTCCCTTCTCCCATTGGCCAGGATCACGTCTTGGCCCCTTCCAGCCACGGCCACTTATGATTCAGCCCCAAAGTGGAGGCCACAACTGTGCTCGCTGAGGAGTGGCTTGAGAGGCGTGGCCCTGGGAAGGGTCAGTGGTGTCGTTCCACGTGAGTTGTTCCTCCAGTCGTAACTGGGTTCTGAAACCAAGACCCATGGGAAAGCTGCGAGCAGCAGCCGTTCACAGCCCGCACCCCGCGCACCGCGGAGACCGCCTGGCCTCGCCGGGAGGAAGACCGTGGGCGGGATGGCGCCGCAGCGTGACAGCAGTTACCCTGACTATCCTCTGAGGGTTTTTTTTTTTATTCTTTGGAACAACTGCATTTAGTCAAAAGGTGGAAATGACCTACTTGTGCATCAACGGACAACTGGGCGAGTGAAATGTGGCCTTTCCACACGATGCCTATCATTTGGCCACACAAGGAACGCAGCATGACGCGTGTTCTTGTGTGTGAATGTCCACCACAGGGGGTCCGCGGGTGTCGGGAGCCGGTCCATGCTTGCTGTTTCAAGGGACCTGGCATATATGGCATACTGTTCTTAATATGTTTGCTCACCTTCTTGGCACTATGTGTTTTAACCAAGGTCTCTGAGAAAGGTTGTTTCCCCAGGTAGGGATTTTCCCCTGAAGTTAGGGAGGGAATAAAACCCCTTAACTAAGTTCCAGGCGGGTAATTAATCACTTTAACTACGAACAATCATGCTTAAGCTACATAATCTTTACTCCCTGGAATGAAGATAAGAAACGCCCTAACCTTTGGAATAGAGATTGATAGGATTGGAATCAACTGGTATAAATACAGATGTAACAAGACAACAGGACAGAACCTAGACACAGAACCTACACAGAACCTAGAGACAGAACCTAGCGAGAGAACATGGCAAAAGATCCTGTACAGAAACTGGAGACAGAACCTAGAGACAGAACCTAGTGAGAGAACATGGCAAAAGATCCTGGACAGAAACTGGCCACAGAACCTGGAGACAGAACCTAGCGAGAGAACCTGGCTGAAGAACCTAGAGACAGAACCTGGCTACAGAACCTGGATAGAACGTGGCAAGAGAACCTGACTAGAACCTGGTGACTGAACCTGGCTGGAGAACCTGGACAGAACCTGGCTGGAGAACCTAGCAAGGGAACATGGCTACAGAACCTGGCTGGAGAACCTGGAGAACCTGGCTGGAGAACCTAGCAAGAGAACCTGGACACAGAACCTGGCTGGAGATCCTAACCAGAACTTCGCTGGAGATCCTGACCAGAACTTGGCTAGAGATCCTGGCTAGGCTGCTGATCAACTGAACGCTGTCTCCATGTAATTCCTTCTTCGCCGACTCCGTCCACACCTTTGGGGACCGCTGGACCTGCTGGGGTTGGACCCCGGCACATGGGGACTGGCAGCCGACTGGTGGTGCCCGGGGCTGGGGACCAGGGGGAGGGGTGACAGTGAAAGGCAGGGGCTTCTTTCCCAGGCATGTGATGTTCTAAGCCACCTGTGGCGATGGTTGCACATACCTGCGAATTTAATACAAACGAACCACACTCTTTCAAAGGAATTACAGTCAAGATTATAAACATGAGCCACCAAATCCCTCCACTGGCCCTGGAGAAGCCATTCACCATGCAGGAGTGAGGCCACACCCCACTGACGAGGGACGCAGGCAGCCTTCCATGCTGGTGGCCGCCGCGTGTGGCTTTGGGGACCGTCACGAGGCTGGGCCTGCCGCCTCCTCTGGGTGGGCTTGGTGGGGAGCGCAGCGGGGAGGTCGCTGTGAGCCGAGCCGATGCTGTGCCCGGCCGGCCTCGCCCTCCCTCCCAGCCACTTACGGCTCCGAATACCTGCAGGTCAGGATCTCCTGGAACTTGACGAATGTCTGCGCGGTGACGTTCAGCTCGTAGATGACCGAGTTGATGACGTAGGAGTCATTTTGCACTTGCATTTCCACATCGTAGCTGTGACTGTTGGCAACAGCCAGAAAGATCCTGTCTCCAATGTGGAAGACTTCCCAGTCCGCGGCGCCAAATGTCTGGGCGGGAAGGAGAGGAGGGCAGGGCACACTCATGAACAGAGACGGCAGGAGCCGCCAAGTGACGCCACACACACACACACACACACACACACACACACACCCCGCCGAGCTCGTTGGGCAAGGTCCCCGCTCTCCAGCCTGGATTCGCTCAGTTTCCCAAGGCGGCGACTCTCACTCCCTTTACAAATATGAGTGCCACTTGTGCCTGTACCTGAACTGTGCCACATCTGGGGTGACTGCTTCTTAGCCATCTGTGCCACCCACTCCCCCAAGCCCTAGTGCTGCCCTTCCTTCAAGGTCTAGCTGCTACCACACCTCTTCCAGGGAGCCCTCCCTGCTTCCTCCAGTCTGGCCCTGAACTCTGAAGCAACCTTTTGTGTTCTCACTATGAGCTGTTCCTGCCTGAGGTTCTTTGGGTCTCCCCACAGCCCCATCTCTGGGTTCCCGTGCACACTGTTGCTCCTAAATCACTTGTCACCCCTGAGGCTGAGGTGTGCAGGGCCAACAGGGCTGGGCTTTGGCGCGAGTGGCCAGCTGCGGAGCCTGTGCCCCCCGACCGTGAGCTGCATGAGCTGATTTGCATGTGGGCCCACGAGGAGGAAGGTGACGTGTAGCTCACGGCCAGCATCTTGGGCCGAGTGGCGGTGCTGGTGCAGGGGGAGGAGAGGACCAGAGAAACCCAGATCCAGGCCCTGGCTGAGCTCTGGAGAGAGAGGGCAGGGCAGAAACGAAAGGAGGCATTTTCCTGGGGAGCGAGGGGCAGGTGCCCGGAGAGGCCCAGGGGTGAGAGAGGGAGACCCTGGCAGGGCACTGTGGCAGGGGACAGTGTTTTGCCCCACGCCCAGCAGAGGGCGACATTGTCCGCCTCAGCCCAGCCCAGGTAGCTGCTGTCTGAGAACATTCCTGGGGGCCCCTAAGCTGGGCTCGGAGCCAGGAGCTCTAGAAACAGGTCTGGATCAGTCCTGAGGAGTGGAGCCAAGTAAGGTTAAGCTAAAGGATGACTCACTAGGACAAGGACCGGAACCAGACACCTGGCGGTCCCTGATCCCTCACGGGGGCCAGGAGCTTGGTAAGGCCTTTCTGGATCAGCCTGTCCTCTCCTTCACGCGGCTCCGGGAGGTGGCACCATTCTTTCCCTGGGGCGCCCCACGACTTCTGAGCAGGCTCAGACACTGGGGGCCGCAGGGGCCTTCAGCATCACCCGCCCAGTGGCTGCTTCACAGACAGTGACAGTTACAGACCCACACGGGGCAGAGAGTCACACGCATACGGCGGTGACTTCGCAGAAACCCAACAGGAGATGTCAGACTGTTACTAGTAGATCCTAGCTCCTCTGACCTGTGCTGGGGAGACCATGTCAATGGGAAACAGCACCCACGTGTGCACGAGTAAATGCACATACCCGTGTGCACACACCTGCATGTACACACACCTGTGCACACACTCCTGCATGGATGCATGCACACGGGTACTCCCACACAGTTCGGGGGCCAGGAGCTGTAAGAGGGGATCTCCCCAGGACTTCGTGGGGCTCTGAGCCACTGGACTCAGACCGCTCCCTTCTCCTGAGCCCCAGCACAAGGGTGACAGAAGGGGACCCGGGAGGGTGCTGGGGCACTGGGGCACTGGCAGCCGGGGAAGAAGAGGCCCTGAGGTGTGGCGGGGGGGGGGGGGGGGGGCAGGGAGGAGTGTCAGGTGGGCGTGGCTCAGAGGGGCTGTCATCCGCCTCTGCTCCGTGTGCCCAGTGGCCCAGCCAGTTGGAGCCAATACAGCAAATACGAGGAGCTTCGTTCCATGCGAATTTCAGAGAAACAATTTTCCGGGACTTGTGTATCCCATGCAATACTCAGGACATGCTTTTACTAAAAAATCGTTCCTCGTTTCTCTAGAATTCAAATGGAACAGGCGCTCTGTAGTTGATCTGGCCACAGGCTAGCAGAGACCTGCATGGGGCTGGCTGGGTCACAGTCACTACTGTCAGCGACCCCTCATCCCCACAGCGTGGCTGGCAGGAGCCCTCCAGAGCGGGGCCAACACCTGCACCCTGGGCCAGAGGCTGGGCTCCCCGCACTGGGAAGCAGGTCTGAAGCTGCCTGGGGCTGCACCAGCCTGAGGCACCTGCTGGGCTGGGCGGGCTCTCCCCTCCTTCCCTCCTTCCAAGGGAATCCCCCCGGAGCCCTGCCCTGCCAGCCTAGGCATGGCGCCCAGGGGCTCGGGAGCACCTCTTGGGGTGATGGTGCCACCCAGAGCCCCTGGAGCCCCTGACAGCCCCCCTCGAGGGTGGGTGGCCTCCCAAGGTCATTGGACCAGTGTGGGCAAGGAGGTCCTCAGGTTCCAGCTTGGATGGAGCAAAGAACCAAGGGAGTGGGAGTACCCAGGAGAGGGCAGGGGGGTGGGGACACTGTCAGCTCCTGCCTCCCAGAGCCCGCGGAAGTCACAGGAGAAAGCACCCTCTCCCTGGAGCATCCGCCCGCATTGAGCCCGGCCCTCCCCGGTCCCTCCTGGGCGTGGGACCACAGGGAATGCTCTCTCACACCACCCTCCTTACAGAGGTGGATCTTAATCAACTTTCTTGCCTCTTTCTTTCTTTCCATTTGCTTCTGGACATTTACATTCTTAGTAGAGACAGTTTCCAACAAGCCCACAGCTTCCCCACCACCTGCACACCCGCTGGCCACTCCGTGCAGCAGCTCCATGCGTCCCAACCACCTGCCTGGCTCAATGCTCCCTCCATCACTGACCGACTCCTGGGGGCCCTGGGCACTCAGCCACCCTCTGCCCCAAGCCTCCCCGGCTCTGGGCCCTCAGGTCCACCAGGGACTTAGCCATCAGCCCCACCTCCCAAGGCAGCGAACCCTGAACCCAGAACCTTGGTCAGCGGTGCCCCTCTCCCCATCCTTACCATTTCCCCTCCTCATCCCCGCGCCCTCCACTTGGGCCTCCATTTGATCATGTGACCAAAGCCCCGCAACCCCACATCCTTCACTTAGGGAGCAGACACCCCAGCAGCCGGAGACTGGGTTCCATGCACAGAGCCGTTCCCTCCTGGACACGCCCAGCTCAGGCCTCCTTTGGTCCCAGATGATGAGGACAAGTGGCTGGGGCCTGGGTTTCTGCCACCTGGAGGGAGGATCCCGGAGTCCCTGGTGGGTGGGCAGCCAGCCTCCACTCACATCAGGACCCAAAGCCCTGCGTGCCCGGATTCCCCAGGAGCAGCAGCTCCGCGTCCCCCAGACCCACCTCCGCTCCGCCCAGCGAGGGCAGGGTGCACAGCTCTGCAAACGGCCCAAACCTGCGCCCCGAACCCTGCGAAGGGGCCCCCGCGATGCCAGCACCTCTCCCCCCACACGTCTCTGAGCACCCTGCCTCTCCTGCTTCAAAGCTCACGGTCACAGCAAACTCCACACCAAACAGTAAACACATCGAGGCATCTCCAAGGCTTGAAAGGACCTAAACACAATACAAAATGCTAGCAAAGTAGGAAAGTGGAATTCTGTGGAGTTGGAGGAATTATTACGAGGTGTGAACAGATGCGGCTTGTAAGAGAAGGAGGCCTTCAGGCAGGAAACAAAGCTGGTGGATGCCCTCAGAGCTTGGGCGGCCGAAGTGCTCTGGGCGTCCATCCGAGCAGCCCGAGTCCTGGCTCCTGGGACAGCTCTGCCCTAGGGCTAGAGACCTCCCTCATGGCCACAGAGTCCTGCTCCCACCACTTGCTCCTGGATGCTTCTCTCCTGCCCTCGGCCCGCGCTCCTTAGGGTCGCATCGCAGGGACGGGCCTTCACCTCCGTGCAGCTGGCCCATTTCTGCCCTCTGCCTCCGCCTCCCTTCTGAGGATGCCCCTGTCCAGGACTGGGCACAGACTGAGCTGGCTCACAGATGCCACCTGAAAATGCAGTGGCCACCTCCCTCCAGGCCGGTTTGTCTGCCGTCATCGACATCCCCATGGGTGGGTCCTGTAACCACCTTCCGGACCCCTCCTCCTGCCTTCCCTTCAGCGTCTTGTCCTGGCCCTTTTTTTGTTTTGTTAATCCTCACTCGGACTGCTGGGGATGCCTCTTCTATTGCTTTTTAGAGAGAGTGGAAAGAGCGGGGGAGGGGGAAAGAGAGAGAGACATCGATTGGTTGCCTCCCGCACACACCCTGACCGGGGCCAGGGATCGAACCTGCAACCCAAGTGTGTGCCCTTGACCACACTCAAACCCGGACCCTCAGTCCATGGGTTGACTCTCTAGCCACTGAGCCACACCAGCCAGGGTGACAATGACAATTTGTACGAATCCTCTTCTGCTTCGGGAACTAGCTCAGTTTCTCCCTGCGAGGGTCTGTGTGTGCACTTTAGCCTCTGTGTCTCAGGTCTCCTGTCCGACCCCTGGGCACCCTGAGTTGTCTGAGTCTGTTGAGTGTGAGGAAGGCTGTGGCTGGAGTTGCTGCTGGCAGTCAGGTCCTGGGGCCTGGGGCTTCCGGTTGTGGCCCTGGGAGACGTGCTGTAAGGAAGACCTTCCTAAATCGGCCTTTTGTCGTATTGCACCTTTCTGTTCAAATGTAGGCGATTTAGGATCACCGTGTTGGTAGCTGTAGGATGGCAATCTCCAGAATGACCCCCAACCCACCACAGGAGGCGCCCCCCCATCACATGATGGTCTGGCCCTGCCAAGGACCTGGCCTGGTTGACCAAAGCCACCAGCTGCCCCTCTGTGCCAGGCTGCGGCCCTGCTCCCAGGACACCACAGAGCTCTGCTCCGGCCCCAGCGCGCCTGCTGGAGACGTGGAAACCATCACCTGAGTCTTCTTCCAGAACAAAGTCTCCGGTTCCTGCGATTGTCCCTCCTTCCATACGACTCAAATCCCTTCCAGACCGCCCACCTCCCCAAGCTCCCAGGGTGCCGAGCTGCAGCTGCACAGCCCCAAGCCCTCCTGGGCGGCACGCTCACCGCTCACCCGGGCGCTGCATCCCTCCCGCTTCCCAGGCACCATGGGGCCTCGGTGACGCATGCGATTAACTTACAGCCCACGGAGTGTCCGCAAGCACAGCCGTCGGCCTGTCGCCTGCACCCCTGCCCGGGCCTCCACGCGGCCCTTGCCCTGCGGCTCCAGGCCACATTCTCATTCTGTCCCCGCTAGTCCAGTCGGGCGTCCTCGGGAACCTGCTTTCCCACCGCAGCCTTGTCCTTTCCCCCCTAACACAGACGCGTTTGCACCTCCTCAGGCTAATTCCAGTCAGAGATCCCGGCCCCCTGGGCAGACCCAGGCCACCCCATTGCTGGGCCCTTTCAGATCAGCACGCACGCCCCCAGCACCTCCTCCCCTCACAGGACGGATGCGCTGTGTCCCCAAGTCTCCGCATGCTTAGGCACCACAGCAATGACTATAAGGAGCATTCGAGAAAGACCCTGCCCAACGCTGAATAAAGCAGCGGCACAGCTGGGTTCCAATCCAAGTTCTGTCGAGAGCAAGTCCGATAACTCCTGAGCCTCTGTTTCCCGTGAGTAACAGGGGACGAGTGGCAGAAGTTACCTCACAGCCCGGCCGGTGTGGCTCAGTGGTTGAGCGTCAGCCTATGAACCAGGAGGTCATGGTTCGATTCCTGATTGGGGCACATGCCCGGGTGTGGGCTTGATCCCCAGTGTGGGTCGTGCGGGAGGCAGCTAATCAGTGATTCTCTCTCATCATTGATGTTTCTATCTCTTTTCCTCTCACTTCCTCTCTGAAATCAATAAAAATATATTTTTAAAAAAGTTACTTCATAGGGCGGCTGTGTGCATACGATGACCTGTTTTCAGAAACCAGGTCCACATCCTTCCAGCGACACCCCCACCTGTCCACACCCCACCCCCGCAGAAGTAGGTTAAGCTCTTGGCATGGAGCTATCAAGCCTAGACGCCGTCACTGCTCAAGAACAACGCCTCAGCCCTGCCAGTGTGGCTCAGGGGTTGAGCGCCAACCTATGAACCAGAGGTCAGGGCACATGCCCAGGTTGCAGGCTCGACCCCCAGGAGGGGTCGTGCAGGATGCAGCCGATCAGTGATTCTCTCTCATCATTGATGTTTCTGTCTCTCTCTCCCTCTCCCCTCCTCCCTGAAATCAATAAAAATATATTTAAAAACAAAACAAAACAAGAAAAAGAATGACGCCTCACCCCAGTCCTGCTTCCCCCAGCAAATCTCCCCACCCCACCTGGGAAACAGCACCCTGATTATTAACCTTGGAGTCATGCTGGCTCTTCCCGGCCTCACTGGTCCAGTCAACAGCTCTCGTGAATTCGGCTTCCTGAACGTGCTTTAGAAGCCTCCACAGCTTCCAGATGGTGCTGCCACCTCCCTCGCCCGGGGCCGCAGCTCCTGCCCCGCGATGGGCACATGCACGCCCCGCCCTGCCCCTGCGCTCCTGTCATGGTCCACGTCACAGCCGCCTGGGACATGTGAGGTCTGCAGGGTGTCTAATGCTGTCCCACCCTAATAAATACTCCTGCAGCCTGATCACAGGTCCTGCTAACCAGCCCATGGCGACTGGGACCAGCTGAGGGACCTTGAGGTCTGAGGGAACGTGGAGAGTGCTGCCCCCACCCGCCACATGTGGCCAGGTCAGCGGTCAGCTGTCTGCCTGCCCCAGGGCAGGAGCCTGACACCCAGGGGTGGCCAGACAGCGGGGGTCAGGAGGCCAGTCTGAGCAGCCGGCACAGCCAGGACACCTTTGTGACAGAGGGACAGCCAAGCCAGCGCACCCCTTCTCTCAGGTTAGGGCTCCCCAGGCTCTTTTGGGGGAGGCTGCCGTGTGCAACATGACTCAGCCTGAGCCTTATTCGGGGGGGAGGCACTTGGGGTGGAGGCACAGGGGTGAAGGTCCCGACCGGCACTGGTCCTGGCTGGGGCCCCCGACCGGCATCACCAGGCACTGTGTGGGATCAGGTAGGCACTGGGGGCACAGGGTGCAGTGCCATTCCTTACCAGGAAAGACTGGAAGAGCCGGAAGGAGCCGACCAGCCAGACGTACAGGTGGGAGTGCACCTTGGTGGACGTGCCGTTGAAGGCGTTGGCCACCACCAAGAACGAGTAGGGCCCCACCGTGAAGAACTCCCAGTCGTAGGCACCGGAGGTGGCGATGGTCTGGTTGGCCTCGAACAGGCGCGTCCGAGGGTTCCACTTGTAGATGACGCTGTCGATGTTGTGGTTGTCTCCTGGAAGCCAAGTGGCTGTGTTGAGGGAGGGGGCATGGATTTCTGTGGCCTCATAGCAGCCTCGACAGAGCTCTGGCCCCTCTGGCCCCTGCCCCAGGCCCCTGCTGCCTGTCCAGCCCAGCCAGGCCTGGGCCACTCTGGGCGTGGCCTGCTCACCCCACACTCTCCTGCACTCCCCAGTGAGAACGCCATTCAGGCGGCTCACTCCTGCCTCTGCCCAGATGAAAGCCCTCAGGGGGCTCCCCTTTGGGTGGCTCAGGACCCTCCCCATGGCCTTGAGGGTCATGGAGGTGGAGCCCCCTGCTTCTTCCCAGCCTCCCCTGTCACAGCCCAGGGCCCCCTGGCTCCCACCTCTCCCGCAGGTCAGGCCGCATGCTCCCTGGGGCCCCCCTGGCCAGCCTCTCACTTCCATGGAGAGCTTGGTGAGCGGGCTCCTGGGGTCGCCCTGCCCATCAGCGGGTGGTGGGGGCTCCTCAGGCCCCCACAGAGTTCCCTCATGGGTCTCGGGCTCAGGGAAACTCTGAGAATGGAGCCCACTGAGGCCTGAGCTAGAGATGCCCTGCAGGGCCGCGGCCACCTTGGACCTGCCCGGCCCTGAGTCACAGGATGGGAAGGGCTTGCCGAGGTCACTAGTGGGGGATGGTGATTGCTGGCCCAGAAACAAGGTTAGCCGGCCCCTCGCAGCCTGTCCCCCACCACACCCACGATTCACAGAGTCTGTGTGCACACGGTGACCTGCTCTCAGAAACCAGGTCCACGTCCTTCTAGCGACACCCCCACCTGTCCACACCCCATCCCCTGGGCTGGTCCTGGGCCTGCTGGTCAGAGAGGTCACCTTCCCACCATGTCAGTCAGATCCTCCCAGAAGGAGGTGAGTTAGTTAGTCAGTCAGTTAATCAGTTAGTGTTAAATGAGGCAGTCTGGGCAGCCAGGTGGCCCTTATTTCCGTGGCCACTCTCCTGGGGGCGGCACCGACCACCCGTCTTCCTGCGTGGACAGAGGGAGGTGCTCAGGTGTGCTCACCCTCAGAGGCCACATCGGGTGGCCGAGCCCGAGGAATCAGGCTGCTGTGATTTATTGTCGTTTTTAATGAGATGAAGACGAGCCTGGCAGGTGAGTCATGCCCGCCCCTGGGAGGGTCACCTTCGGGTTGCAGGTCACAGCCCTACCTTCCCTGTGGTTGGCCACGGCCAGGAAGTGCTCCCCAGCCACCTCGAAGGCCTCCCAGTCCCGGGCGCTGTGGGTGGCCACCCTCTGGTAGGGCGTGAACCGCAGCTTTCTCGGGCTCCATTTGTAGATGACGGAGAACTCCTGGCCCTTTTCGTTGGGGTCAAAGTTGGCCACAGCCAGGAAGATCTGCAAGAGAGGACCGGGACACTTGGCTCCCTGCCCGCAGCCAGGGTCTGTGCAGGCTTCCCAGGAGCCGTGTCTGTCCGCACGGGCACGCGTTTGTCTGCTCACTGTTCTACCTACAGTGGGTGGGTCGGGGTAGGGCCAGGGCTAGCACATGTGTGTAGGTGCAGGGACGGAGCTGAGCCCACCCTCTGTTACTGATGGCCTTGGCGGCCTGGGAGCCGGTCTCCACACCCGTTCATTACGTTTAAAAGCCTTAAATGTGCCGTATGCCCCAGTCCATTACTGCCATGTCTACCTCCCAACCCCAGGAAAAGCTTCATCACAAAAGTGTTCATCGCCCACTGGAGTAAGAAATGCCGTAATGCCCTACTCCCCCCTCCCCCCACCTCCAGAAAGTGGTGTTTGCCACGCAGCCGAGGAGGACACAGAAACCCCCTATGTATGACGTGACCAGCGGGCATGATCGCATGCTTATGTGGCTCTAACTGGGGCCAGGAGCTTGGCCTGTCGGGCGTGTGCTCTGGAACTAGGAGCCAGAATGCCTAGGTAAGTCCTGCATCTGCTTAGGAAACCGGACAGATGATTTCCCCCTTGTTTTTCAGAATTTCCCTATTTTTCTTTATTTAAAGTTATTATTTTTGATAATTAAAACATAAGCACCTTTAAAACATCATCAACCAAATAACCAGAGAGCAAGTCATTCTTTCACCATGTTGGATCGGGCGCAAGAACCATGGCGGGCTGCCAGCCACAGGAGGGCAGGGGCTTGTCTGCTGCTCACCCCCAGTGGGTGGGTCCAGGTGGGGGCAGGGCAGTACCCAGCATGCGTGTGTAGGTGAGTGAACGATTTCGGGACAGGCATGGGAAGGTGTCCCCAAGACACTGTCATTTCGAAGGGAGGACGTAGAAGGAGCTAGGAGAAAATTCATCTGGACAGGGATGGGGGTCCTCTCAGACCCTCCACCCACAGGCCCTCTCAGTGCAGCCCTGCCTGGAAGAGGGTCGGGGGGCTGCCCTCGAGGGTCTCTGCCTCCGGGGCCTGTTTGGGGGGGAAAGGCAGGATCACCGGGTGGATCTGCTGCATTCTCTCATGGTTTCTGCCTTATTGACGGGTCCAAGTCAAATGACCTCCACAGGTTTCTAAGTTAGCAATGAGGGTCTGCACAGACCTGGGCAGCATCTTAGCAACGGCCTTTCCTGGTGTGTTGGAAGCTGAGCAGACTTTCTCAGGCCCCGTCTGGGAATAGAGACGCAGCCAGGTGTCTGACCGGGGAGCCGTCTGGAACCCGAAAAAGGCTTCAGAGCCTCGAGAAACACGTTTCCCTGGAGAAGCCATGTCAGGAGCCCAACCCCCGGACTCTGCAATTTTAAAAGGACGAGAGAGTCAGGAACGCAGACTTGCCTTTTTCCCGATGGTGAAGTGCCTCCAGGACTGCGCTTGGTGTGTGCGGATGCTCTGGTACGAGGCGAACTTCCCGTCGGTCCACTTGTAGATGGCGGACGTGGCCTTCCGGTTGGCGGTTGCTATGAAGAGCCCGGCCTCGGGGATGACGAAGACCTCGATGCCCAGCGTCTCCGAGTGCGTGAAGAGGCGCTGGTGCTCCTCCACGTAGTCCAGCCTCTCTTTGGCTTGTGAGAGAGACACGGAGACGCGGTTAATGGTCAACGTTTCCCAGCACGGAAGCCTGGAGGCACCCTCCTGGGAGCAGCACCCCAGGCCCTGAGCTGTGACCCCGGGGCATTAGCGTGGGGCACAGGCAGTTTGCTCAGAGCGCCTGTTCACCGCCAGAGGCCTGCCAAGAAGCCCACTCGGCTTGTGTGGGTTTCAGGGTCCGGCGAGCCCCCAGTGGTACTCACTGGGGGGACCCGGTGTGTTGGGTCCTTATGGGACATCTCCCAGGCTCACTGCAGCTACAAAAGGCTGTCCCCTAAGGTGACCCAGAGGGTGGAGCCAGGAGCTTGAGAGCAGTCCAGCTGGAGCTGGTCCCCTTCTGAGGACACCCAGGGCTACACCAGGAATGGAGCCCTGGATGGCTTGCTCAGTGGTTAGAGCGTCAGCCCGTGGACCGAAGGGTCTAGGGTTCTATTCCCAGTCAAGGGCACATACCTCGGTTGCAGGCTCAATTCTTGGCCCTGGTCTAGGTGTGAATGGGAGGCAACCTGTCGATGTGTCTCTCACATGGATGTTTCTCTCTCTCCTTCCCCCTGCCCCTCACTCCCCTCTACTCTCTAAAATGTCAGTGGAAAAAATATCCTTGGGTGAGAATAAAAAAAAGAAAGGAATGATAGCCACAGGCTTGCTGCAGCAATAATGCCCTTGGGCCCCTGGCCTGTCACATTGAATCTATGACCTGAGCGCAGGCAGGGTTCGAGGAGGGAGAGTGGGGAGGGAGAGGCTGGCTCCAGGGAGCCCCGAGCTCTTCCCTGGACAGGGACGAGGGGAGGTGACGAGCCCTGCCAGCCTGTGTGCCCAGGAGGGCGCATGGTTCCAGAGGAAACATGGGGGCTTGCTGCTCTGAGTGGGGGTGCCTCCTTTTCTCAGGTAACGCTGACTCTGAGCAGAGCCCCTAAGTCTCCAGAGCCCCTGAAGCCACAACCCCCCGTCCACCTCACCTGTCAGCACGGAGACCCACTCGCTGCCCACGCACAGGTACAGCCCCCTCTGCCCGGCGTCAAACCAGAACTGGGCATCCTCCACTTTGGTGCACGGAGGCCGGGATCCCAGCGTCACCTTCATGTCGGTTTCTGGGGGAGACAGGAAGTGTCTGGTGAGTGTCCAGTGGAAACGCACTCCCTAGAGGAGGCGGTCCTGCCTTTGTCCCTGAAGCTGGGCTTCCAGGACCCACTCAGGGTCTCAAACGGGTCCCAGGAGGCAGGGACCCAGGGCGTGTGGCCCGCCCCAGGGCGTCTGCGTGGCAGGACGGGCAAAGCTCCCTGTGGCTCCAGAGTATGTCCACCGCCCGCTGGACCTCCTGCTCTTCTGGAATCCTCGTGACTACGGCACGCCTTCGCACCTCCCACGTCTGTGACCAACGGGCATGAGTTTATCTGAACTTCCCTCTTGCTTAGTTCGGTGGCATTTTGAGCCCATCTCTCCTTGGAATTACGCCTCCATCTCGGGTCCAACACAGACGTCCTAATGTCGCTACTCGGCCACTTCAGAGTAATACTGCCCTGTGGCCCAGGCCCAAGGCCAGGCTGTGACACTGAGCACGCCCTTGACCCTCGCAGCCTGGGGCAGAGGCCCGGGGGCCGAGTCCTGCCCCTGAGAGCCCCTTCGGTTACAGCGGTCCATGTCGCCTGAGGAAGATGCCCAGAGGCCCCTGCCCAGGGGCTTGAAAGCACAGTTACAGGACTGGCTCTCAGTGTCAGCCGCTCAAGGTCGCGGGTGTGCCCAGTGACGCTGGGAGAGGGCCAGGTTGTCCTCCTCACAGAGCAGGTTGCCGAATAGTGGGGGGTTAGGTGGGTGGGTGAGAGGTTGGATTCTCCCTGGCAGGGGCTGTGGTTTACATGAATTGTCAATAGCCCTGCCACCATGGCTCAGTGGCTGAGCATCGACCTATGAACCAGGAGGTCACGGTGCGATTCCCGGTCAGGCCACATGCCTGGGTTGCGGGCTTGATCCCCCGTGTAGGGCGTTCAGGAGGCAGCCAATCAATGATTCTCTCTCATCATTGATGTTTCTATCTCTCTTTCCCTCTCCCTTCCTCTCTCTTAAATCAATAAAAACATATTTTTTAAAATAATAAATAAACAGTCACCATTGTACCTTCAGATTGGGAAGGTGCAAACAGAAACTAAAAAAGCAGAGCTGGGGACCCTCTGAGCAGGGGGTTCACGGAAAATAGAAATGTATCCTGCGAAGGTGGGGCCCCCACTGGGGCAGGGGCTGAGGTGTGGTGTCCCTCGGGGAGGGATGAGGAGAAAGGGCCCCCAATGCTGCTCTGGGGACAAAGCAGGCAGCAGGTGGAAGTGGAGGCTCAAGAGGAAGCAGACTCTGAGTGGGAGCAGGTGGCCTGGCTTACTAACCATAGGGATATTTTAGCACCTCATTATCCTCCGGCTTCCCCGTGAGACCCTGCAGGATTGGGGGGATGGACAGCACGAGCTCCGCATTCCTGCAGGGACACAGCCTGGGAGTGGCGTCGGAGCCGGGCAGCAGGACCAGCTGCCTGACCAGGCCCTGCGGAGAGAGGGACAGTGTGTTCAGACCCTGGGAGACGGTGGAAATGCCGTGGGGGCTAACCACTCTAGAGCTAGGAGGGAAGAGTCTGCATATAAGTTATGGGGGGGCATTGGGTGCATCCATGGAGAATTAGACACACTTCTAAGGTCACTGAACCACAAAGGGACTTTCCTGTGGACGAATCTAGAGTTACTGGCCAACATTGCTTATCTATCCATCCATCCACCTACCCATCCATTCATTTGTCTATTTATCCATCCAGCCATCCAGCCATACACCATCCATACACCCATCCATTCATTTGTCTATTCACCCATCCATCCAACCATCCATCCATCCACCCATCCATTCATTTATCTATCTATCCATATACCATCCATCCAACCATCCATCTATCCAATCATCCATCCATCCATCCATCCACCCACCTATCCACCCATCCACCCAGCCAGCCAGCCAGCCAGCCATCCATCCAAGCATGCCATCAGTGAATATTCACAGAGCACCTGCTATACATCAGGCATGGTTCTAGACAAGGACACACAGGGAACAAGGCTCCCCCACCTCCACTCTGGGAGAGAGACAATGAGCAAACACATGGCTGGCCTGAAGGTGGTCAGGGCTACGATGAAGAGCCAGGGGTCGGATCTGGGAGGGCTGAGTGCGGGGTCATCTTCTCAGAGTGGTGGGAAAGGCCTCCATGGTAAGAGGACATGGGGTAGGGCCCTGAGGGTGGAGGGTGTGAGCCGTGGCAATAAAGGGGCCAGGTGGGCCAGGAAGAGGGGACAGGGAGTGCAAAGGCCTTGTGGCAGGTGTGCCTGGCGTGTGTGGGACTCCACTGAGCCTCTTGTTCCTCATTCCTGTCTGACACATGACAATCTGTGCAGCCAGAGCATCGGGAGAGCAGGCCTGTGGTGACAGCCCCTCTGTGAACACTGCGTGGGGAGGCCAGGCAGGCAGCCCCTCCACACTCACCGTGAACAGGCCTTTGGTCCGCCTCCGGCTGCCGATGAAGAACCGGGCTCCTTGTACCGATAGGGCGGCTGGGAAGGGCACATCGGCAGTTCTGAAAACGGTGGGTGGGGGTTTAGCCGTGGGAGAGCAGCAGTGCAGGCCATTAGTGTAGAAAAGGACAGAGCAGTGCCGCGCGTGGGACGTGCCAGTGTCCTGGGGCGGCTGTAACAAAGGACCACAGGCTGGGCGGCTTCAACCACAGACATCCATTTCCTCACAGTTCTGGGGGCCAGAAGTCCAACACTGAGGTGTTGACAGGCCGGACTCTTGCAGAAGGCTCCAGGGGAGTCCTTCCTGCCTCTTCCTGCTCCTGGGGGCTCCTGGGATCTCCTGGGGACTCCTGGGGGCTCCTGGCTGTGGCTGCATCACTCACTCTCTGCGCTCACCATCACATGGCTTCTCCCCTGGGCCTCTTCTCTTCTTATGAGGACACCGGTCACTGGGTCAGGACCCACCCTCTCCAGGGTGACCTCAACTGAGCTGGCTCACACCTGCAAAGGTGTTGTCTCTAAACAAGGTCCCAGGCCTGATGGGACATGAATTAGGGCGCCCCCCTTCGCCCTAGGATGAGGATCTTCTGCAAGAGCGTGTGCTGCCAGGAGTTCCTCGCCATTTCACGGAACATCCAGTGGCTCCTACGGGCATGGGGTTTCCAGCCCGTTCACCCTCCACTGAGCCCTGGGGGTGGGGGACAGAGGTGTCAGGGCAGAATGGGGTTCCCTCTCTGGTGACTTGAAGGTGTTGGAAAGTGTGGCCGGAGTTGGGTCTTGATGTGCAAGGGGGCAGGGAGGCCAAACTCTGGGGAAAGGTGAGAAGGTGGGCGCCCCATGGAGAGGACTGTGTGGCTGGAGCTCCCGGGGCCGGAAAGCCAGGCACGGGCTCTCTCCTCACTGCCCAGCGTCTCCCGGGCCTGATGCCAGGTCTTCTGCTCCTTCCAGTCTTTGCCGTCTGGCTGCGGCTGGCCGTGGTGAGATCCGCCCAGTGTCCGCGCAATTCCCAGGTCACCTGAGTTCTGGCTTGTGCCCTCCACGGTGCCTGCAAGGTCTGTGAAGCCTGGGGCCTGAAATCCTCCATGGCCACCATGGCTCCAGCCCCGGTTCCCCGCCCCGGCTGGGCCTTTTGCACCCTCTCCGCATGGAGCTGTCAGCTGTTGGCGCTCGGCCTTGAGCAGCCATTGCCCTATAAAAGCTCTGATGTAGCTGAGAGTGTGGTAGGGAGGGGTGGTGACTAAGACATGTTTAAACCAAGTGTATAAATGTTATGGATTCTTTTTATTACGGAATAAGTTTCATAATAAAAAAGCAGAGTAAGATTCTACCTTTGAAAGTACTATTTGGTATAAGGATAGATTTAAAGTAAGCTGGACCACTTGCCATGCAAATGTCTCCAGCCCCACTCAGCAAGGATGGATGTGGAGGCCCATGGGTCAGCAGCTGGCCAGGCCACAGGGACTCACTGTCCCTGGTCCAAAACGAGGCGCTGGCAAGGACAAGAAACGAACTCGGGCTTCCCCGTGCCCGGGGCTGTGTCAAAGTTACTCAGGACTCCTCGGCATGTTTATCTGGAGTTTTAATGAATATTTATCCCCTTGTTTCAGATGAGGAAACGGAGTCAGAGAGGTTAGATGACGTGTTGAAAATCACACAGCAAGACCTGGGCCTCAGGCTGGGGCACAGCTTCCACTTGGCTGTGGTACCCAAGTTCCTATGATCCTCCTCTGTGGCCCTTTTGTCATGGTAACAGCGCCCTGCAGGGCACATCCCCTGGGCAAGCTCAGCCTGGACTCACACTTCAGCCCCAGCCCAGGGCCAGGCGTCAGTGCCACCCCCCCCCGCCCCCCTCCCCCCTCCGCACCCCTTTCCCCCCTCCACTCTCAGACTGATGCCTGCCCTTGTCCCCCCTCACCACGCCCTCGCTGGAGACAGGTGTGCTGTCCACCTGCTGGTGACCCAGGCACTCCTGCCACAAGGGCTCCTCCACAAGCCTGACCCCTCCGGCCCGCCCTGCAAACTCAAGCTGCCCCTGGATGTCCACTCTGGACTCCATGTCAGGCAGCACACCGCACCATGCCACCCTCCCCGCATCCCGGTACCTACATGTCCACGGGGACACCGCAGTCCGTGGTGAGGGAGAAGGAGTCTTCAGACACCGCCAAGACCAGCGTGTGCCACTGGCTGTCCATCAGGGCGGGGCTGCGGAAGGACACTCGGGTCTGCCAGGCGCCCGCCGCGTCCTGGCTGAGGAAGAGGAAGTGCAGCCGGGTGGGCGAGTACCGCAGGCCCAGCAGCAGCGCATCCGGCCCCTCCGCCACCACCGTGAACAGGTACTCATTCTTCTGCAAGAGAGGGCGGGCGGGTGAGTGCGGGCAGGTGCGGGCGGGCGGGCGGTGAGGGTGGGAGGTGACGGTGGGCAGGGAAGGGCAGGGCTCACGGCGCAGGGCCTGCTGCCACAACCCTGTGTGTGTGTGATGAAGCCAGGAGCACTGCTCACACCCATGACCATGCCGGTATCAGGAACACAGGAAGCAGCGTGTGGGTGAGGACTTGGACAAATACGAGCCTGGTGCATCGCGGGTGGGAAGGCAAAATGCTGCAGCCCCTATAAAAAACAGTATGGCGTTTCCTCCACAAATTACAAATGGAACTACCGTATGATCCCGCAATTCCATCTGCTGTAAATCCAAATGGACGGCCAGCTGGGTCTCGGAGAGACACGTGGACACCTGTGCTCCCTGCAGCGTTACTCAGAAAGGCATTATGCCCGTAGAGGCAGCCCAGCTGCCCACGATGAAGGGAGGAGCATACATAATGCGGCCCAGCCACCAAATGGAGCGTCTTCAGCCTTAAAAAGGAAGGTCCGACATCAACAGGATGAGCCCCGAGGACACTGCGCTGAGTGAAACAAGCAGTCACCAAAGGACAAAGGCTTAGGATTTCACTAACTCGGGGACCCGGGAGCCGTGGCATCCACAGACACTGAGTGAAGAGGTGGGCGCCAGGGGCCGGTGGCCGGGAAAGGAGCCGATGTTTAATGGGAACAGAGTCATCCTGGGAAGATGAGAAAGTTCTGAGATGGAGGGTGGTTATGGCTGCACAACAACAACCACCTGTGACTGCTTCGTGCCCTTGAGCCGAACTCGTAAAGATGATCACCCAAACCCCAGCCACCCCAGCCACTCGAACTGCACAGGGAAATGTATGCATGCCTATAAGCAGTTGCAATGTAGAGCCTATACATGCCTAGCCTAACACAGTTGAAAGAGTAGAGAACTGAAAGTGATGAAACCTGGACGATAATTACAGTGTCATTTTTCACAAGCCCTTGCCCATGCCACACTGCGACCCAAATTCCAGGCGACTATTATTCTAAAGAAGGTCAAAGCCTCCACATTCCTCATAATTAATTTAATGCCTAATCAGCAAAATCCACTTGGCTCAGATTGGGTCCCCTGGCTTCTGGCCACTCCTTCACGGACCTTCCTGGGTCGGGGTGAGAGTCCCACCCAGTGCCCCGCCCCGAGGACTTAGGCGCTGTGATCGCTCGGCCACTCGTTCCTAGACATACTCGCGGCAGGAGGAGACCAATGTCTGGTGAGAACCCTGTTTCTCGCCCACCGCCACCGCGGCAATGAAATCAGAGGAAGGAAGCGCTCAGGTGATGAAGTGAGTTTATTGGGGTGCACGAGGAGGTGCTGACAGGTTGAGAGTGGAGGTCAAGTGATGGACAGAGAAATTGGAAAGGAAGGGCAGGTGACCCAGGGGCAGGTGGGGGCTCATCCTGGAGGGCAAGAGCCCTGAGGTTCAGGGCTCCTGGGAGCAGAGGTGAGCTCAGGACAGGGAAGCCTGGGGGACTCCATCCTGAGTAGGGACAGCCATCTAACACAGGTCAGAACCTGACTGAGGGGCGGCTGGGAGAACCACCGTCACAGGGTAAGACCTGAGCCCGGCTGGCCCAGGGGACATGCCTGCTCAGCAGCAGGAAGTCTGGGCTGAGGTGAGGACACAGCAGGCCGGGTGGGAGCACACGGGGGGGCAGAGCAGGGACATGCAGGAGGATGGGCGGCAGCAGCTGGGCTGGCAGGAGGAGGCGGGGCCACAGCAGGAGGAGGTGGGCACACAGCAGGCAGGCCTGCACACGGGGCGGCAGATGAGGGACATGCAGGAGGAGGGTCTGCAGCAGGAGGAGGTGCAGGGGGTGGGCTGGCAGCAGGAGGAGGCCCCAGAGCAGACGGGCACACAGCACAGGGGCTTGCAGCAGATGGGTGTGCAGCAGGCGGGCACACAGCAGGCCTGTTGGCAGGTGGAGGAGGTGCAGCAGGAGGGCTGGCAACACAAGGACATGCAGGAGCTGGTGCAGGTTGACTGGCAGGGGCTTGGCCCACAGGTCGTCTGACAGCAGGGGCTGGACATACAGCTCACTGGGGTGCAAACAAGGGTAAGGCAGGAGGTCGGGGTGCAACAGCTGGGGGCACAGCAGGTGGGGACACAGCAGCTAGAGGTGCAGCAGGAGGGCTGGCAGCAGCTGGGGACACAGCAGGTGGGGACACAGCAGCTGGACGTGCAGCAGGAAGGCTGGCAGCAGCTGGGGACACAGCAGGTGGGGGCACAGCAGGAGGGCTCACAGCAGCTCTCTGGACAGTCGTCCACCTGCCAGGAGGAGTCCGTACAAGAGTCATAGGACCCGGGCAGGCAGGCCCGGCTGCCGTAGCTTCGGTTGCTGGAGCAGACGGACAGGGTGGATGCGGCCATGGTGGGGCAGTGGGGCTGGAGGAGTGTGTGAGTGTGTGAGTGTGTGAGTGAGTGTGAGTGTGTAAGATGCCCAGGGCTGCTGGCTTTTATACCCTCCTGGTGTTTGTTTTCCAAGCAGGAGGCTCCCCACGCCTCCTTTCCTTGTTGGTATTTTGAGCTGAGTCCTGGGCGCCCGTATTTCCTCTGGTTTATTTCCAGGAAAGAGGCTGCTGCTTGTGAGAAGCCTGTGTTGTTGGAGAGGGGTTGGCCCTGTCCTGTGTGTGTGTCCTCAGCAAACACCCCGGAAACATCTGGAGTGGGGAGCCCTGGCAGCCCCCCTGCCCTGTGTGTGTCCTAAGCAAACACCCCTGGAAACATCTGGAGGGGGGGAGCCCTGGCAGCCCCCCTTGCCCTGCCGTGCTCCACTGCCAGCTGTTCTCCCTGACGTTGCAAGGGATGGTTTGAATCCCAGAGTCAGAGGCAGGGCAGCAGGGGCTGAAATTGGGGCTCTGCTGCTCATCGCTGCTGGACATCCCCACACACAGGCGGCTGAGGAGGGGCACCAGCCACAGAGGAACGCAGGAAAGGGGAAGGTAGACGGACGAGGGTCTCCAACAGCAAGAATGACAATAGCGTTGGCTGTTTGAGCTCCTTTGCCTCTCCAAATACTTTACATTCAGCTTATTGACAACAAAAAATAATTCTGCTGCTATTTTTATTGGGATTTTCTTGAACCTCCAGATCAGTGTGAAGGTAACTGACATCACAATGTCTCCACCCGTGAAGATGCTCTAATTCTCCATTTATTCATGTCTTCTTCAGTTCATTTCATCAGTGTTTTTATAGTTCTCATTATGTTAGATTTATGCTATTTTTCATTTTTTATTTTGTTGTAAGTCATAGTTTTAGACACAAAGTTAGAAATCTAATTGTTTATTAGTATTATATGGAGGTGGACAAAAGTAGGTTAAATTACCAGTTATCATTAGCTAAAACAAAAATCATAGGTAAGGATGCAAAACAATAACAATAATAATGAGACAAGTAATACAAATCAATAATACAATTATTAAAAAACAAACAATAACATAAGAATCAGCTCTGTTCGTTCACTCATAACTGTAAATCTCCTTTTGCCCACCTCCGTATAGAACGACAATTAATTTTTATTATAAGTTTGCATTCTTCATCCTTGCCAAACTCTTATATTTCCAAGAGACCATTTGTAGATTCCTGGGGGTGTTCTATGTGGACAATCATGTCCTCTGTGAATAGAGACCATTTCATTTCTGCATTTCCAATATGCCTGCCCTTTACTTCTTTCTCTTGTCTTGTTGTTCTGGCTCAGACCCTCAGTATGAGGCTGAATAGGTGTGATGGCAGGGGCCACCTGTGTCTTGTTCCTAGTCTCAGGGAAAAGTGTCTTTTCAGTGGAATGTGGTGTTGGCTGTGAGAGTTTCATAGATGCCTTATATCAAGTTAAGGATTTTTTTAAAAAAATTATACTTTTATTGATTTCAGAGAGGAAGGGAGACGGAGAGGAGATAGAAACATCAATGATGAGAGAGAATCACTGATTGGCTGCCTCCTGCATGCCCCCACTGGGGACCAAGCCCACAACCCGGGCATGTGCCCTTGACGGGAATCGATCCCAGGACCTTTCCGTCCACACGCCGATGCTCTACCCACTGAGCCGAACCAGCCAGGGCATGCAGTAAGCATTTCTTTTTTTATTATTTAATATATTTTATTCACTTTTTACAGAGAGGAAGCGAGAGATAGTTAGAAACATCGATGAGAGAGAAACATCGATCAGCTGCCTCCTGCACACCTCCTACTATGGATGTGCCCACAACCCAGGTGCATGTCCTGGACCGGAATCGAACCTGGGACCTTTCAGTCCGCAGGCCGACGCTCTATCCAATGAGCCAAACCAGTCAGGGCAAGTTAGGATTTTTTGTTCATGCCTAGGTCACTGTAAACTTCACAGGGAACCTTCCCTAACTCAATCTCTGAGGCCAGTATTACTGATACCAGAGCCAGACAAAGACACTACAAGAAAAGAAAGCTACAGGTCAATAGCCCCTATGAACATTGATGTAAAAACACTAAACAAATTACTAACAAATCAAATTCAGCAGCAGATTAAGAGATTTATACACCTCAGCCAAGAGAGACCTATTGCTGAAATGCAAGGATGGTTCTACATATGATAGTTGTATGTAAAAATACTCAACAAACTAGAACTGGAAGGAAACAACATATGTAAATATATATGAATAAAAAATGAATATGTATGAAAAACCTACAGCAAACATCACACTCAATTTTGAAAAACTGAAAGCTCTTCCTCTAAGATCAGAAACAAGATAAGGATGCCCACTTGTGCCACCTCCATTCTCCATAGGACTGGAAACTCTGGGAAAGCAGATCGACAATGAAAGAAATAAAAGGCATGTAAATGGGAAAGAAGTAAAATAATCTGTGTTCACAGATGCCATCATATTAAATGTAGAAAATCCTAAAAATTCTTGGTAATGGCTCATTCTTTTAGAGTTTGCTATCAGCTTTGTCAGGTGGGACTGGACCACTGGGGCTCATTTTACCCACAACGGAGGCAATGCCCCCTGAGTGGTCTCCCCGATGTCCTGAATCAGGACCATGTTCCACCTGGCAGGTGGGAATGGGCGCTGCTGTGGGCATGTTTGGTGTCTGGGATGAGCCCTCTAGTTTTGTGGGTTTCCCCAATCCCAGACTCACATGGGGTTGCTGGTCATTACTTAGCTGACACTTGAGGGAGACCCTTTGAGGACCAAGAGTAAATCAGAGCAGGTCTCCCCTCTATGGCACTCTGGCCATAAACACCAGCTGCCCTGGGCTCCCCCAAATCCCAGGGCCGCCTCTGACTCAGGGGTGCATGGAGTGCCTGGGTTTTCCATTTTTGCACCAGGGCCTGGACATGCTCTCATGGCGGTGAGTCGGGCCGACTGTGAGGCTCACTCTGTTGGTTCCCCTCTCAGGGGTCCCTGTTCTGTGACCTTCAAGTCCAGCGTCTGAATACCATGGCTCCACGATTGGCTAATTGGTCGGTGTGGCCCTGGCGGGAAGGTCATCAGTCCCTCTGACTCTGTCAGGGTTGGAGCAGCCGCTCCCTGCCTCCCTCCATCAGGTCTCTGCTCACAGTGCCGACCTGTGGGCGGACCACAGGGGAGGCCCCAGGCCCACAGTCTGTGCTGGAAGGAGCCCCCGGCGTTTCAGATGGGACAGTGGGTGAATGGCCCTGGGCCTGACACTCCCAGACCATGACTTGCTGCAGGAGACCAGCCTGAGGAAGCCCAGGCACAGGCCCAGCCGGCACTGACCTCGGGCCCTGGCACCCGCCAGGAGGAGTTAGGCCACTGCCCTTTGGAATATGTCAGCCACTCATTTCTAGAAATATCTGTGGCTGAAGAAGACAATGTCTGGTGAAAACCACGGGCCCCACCCCTCCCGCATGAAATCAGAGGAAGGAAGCCATCAGGTGCTGAGGTGAGTTTATTGGGTGCCCAAGGAGGTGCTGACCAGCTGAGAGTCGAGGTCAAGTGACTCAACAGAGAAACTGGGAGGGAAGGACAGGTGGCCCTGGGCAGGTGGAGGCCTCGTGTAGGAGGCAGAAGCCCAGGGAGCAGTGAGGTCCAGTGGTCCTGTGGGCAGAGGTCAGGTCAGGTTAGTGGAGACTGAAGGACTCCATCTTGAGTAGTGGCAGCCACCTGACACTGCTCAGGACCAGACTGAGGGGCGGCTAGGAGGACCACAGTCACAGGGGGGGACCTGAGCCTTCGGCTGGTCCTGGGGGACATGCCTGCTCAGCAGCAGGACGTCTGGGCCGAGGTGGGGACGCAGCAGGCCGGGCGGGAGCACACGGGGCGGCAGAGCAGGGACATGCAGGAGGATGGGCGGCAGCAGCTGGGCTGGCAGGAGGAGGCAGGGCCACAGCAGGAAGAGGCGGGCACACAGCAGGCAGGCCTGCACACGGGGCGGCAGATGAGGGACACGCAGGAGGAGGGTCTGCAGCAGCTCGAAGGGGCTGGGCAGGGGGTGACCCCAGAACAGACAGGCTTGCAGCAGACGGGTGTGCAGCAGACGGGCCTACAACAGACTGGCTTACAGCAGACAGGTGTGCAGCAGGCGGGCACACAGCAGGCCTGCTGGCAGGAGGAGGAGGTGCAGCAGGAGGGCTGGCAGCTAGACTGCTGGCAGCATGAGGGTGTGCAGGAGCTGGTGCAGGTTGACTGGCAGGGGCTGGACCCACAGGTCACTGGGGCACAGACAAGGGTCAGGAATGGTGTCAGGGTACAACAGCTGGGGGTGCAGCAGGACAGTTGGCAGCAGCTGGGGACACAGCAGCTGGGGGTGCAGCAGGACAGTTGGCAGCAGCTGGGGACACAGCAGCTGGAGGTGCAGCAGGACGACTGGCAGCAGCTGGGGACACAGCAGCTGGGGGCGCAGCAGGAGGGCTCACAGCAGCTCTCTGGACAGTCGTCCACCTGCCAGGAGGAGTCCGTGCAAGAGTTATAGGACCCGGGCAGGCAGGCGCGGCTGCCATAGCTCCGGTTGCTGGAGCAGACGGACAGGGTGGAAGTGGCCATGGTGGGGCAGTGGGGCTGGAGGAGGGTGTGAGTGTGTGAGTGTGTGAGTGAGTGTGAGTGTGTAAGATGCCCAGGGCTGCTGGCTTTTATACCCTCCTGGTGTTTGCTCCCCTCGCCTCCTTTCCTTGTTGGTATTTTGAGCTGAGTCCTGTGCGCCCGTATTTCCTCTGGTTTATTTCCAGGAAAGAGGCTGCTGCTTGTGAGAAGCCTGTATTGTTGGAGAGGGCGTGGCCCTGCCCTGTGTGTGTGTCCCAAGCAAACACTCCGGAAACATCTGGAGTGG